TAGCTTGTCAGAAAAAGAAGGAAAAAGAATGTCTTGACCACAGGGACTCACAGACACAAGTATGGTTGAAAGAAATGAAGCAAAAGACTAAAAAAAATGTACTTAAAGGTGAAAGAAATATTCTCCATGAAAAAATTGGAGAGTAACTTCAAATAGAAAGTGGGGGAAACATTACAGAAGTAAGAGAACTCCCTGAAAATTAGAAAGAGGGGAACAGAACTCAACGATTCCAGGAGAAAAAGAAAAATTAAAACAAAATTGAAAGACTGGGAAACTGTAAGGTAACCCACAACAAAAAACAACCCAGAAAACAGGTTAAGCAGAGATAATTTAAGAATTACTGTATTCCTTGAGAAAGAAAATTGAAAGCAAAAAACTCCATCAGATTGATAAAGTTGGGACCTAGTTTTAAAAACTAGTAAGACATAACTCATTAGGCAGTTTGATTTCCTTTAAGTGAGAAACAAAACTGTTAATATAAAAAATGAAAAAGAATTTACAATATGGAGAAAGAAAATAAAGGAAATTGAAAAACTATTTAACCCAAATTTATGCCAATGAAACAAATTAAATGAAATGTGAATTTATAAAAATAAAAATACCCAGATGAACAGAATAATAGAGAACTTAAAATAATAAACTCATCAAATAAAGTGAAAATGAATAAGCCACAAATAAAGTTACAAAAACTACAGGACCACATGGATTTACAAATGAATTCTATAAAATATTTTTAAAAAAAATTACTTCTAATATTACATAAACTGAAAAAACAAAACAGGCAAAAGGGGATCCTATCAAATTACCTCTATGAAACAAATATAGTCATGCTACCTAATCAGGGAGACAAAGTAAAGAAAGAAAACTATGGATCAATAACCCTTATGGATATTAATGAATAGAATAATGGCAAGGAGGATATAACAAGATATCAGAAAGACTTTGCACTATGACCAGATTGAATTTATACCAGGGATTTAGGTCAGTTCAGTTATTAGGAAACTCTAAATACAACTAAAATATCAATAACAAAAGACAACATCCATTTCTGTTAAAAATCATTAAAAAGCATAAGAATATAAATGACTGTTCTTTAAAGTAAATGTTATCTATCTAAATCCACAAACCCATATTACTTGTACTACAGAAACACTAGAGGCCTTTGCAACAAATCATGGATAAAATAAGGATGTCCATTATAACAGCTATTGTTTGTTAATAATTCTAGAAGACAAGAAAATTAATTGAAGCAAAGAAACAAAATTATTCCTTTTTGCACATCTTATAGATTTAACTAAAAATCAACCAAAAATGAGTAGCTTAAACAGAGCAGCATATAAAACCACATATATTATTAGTATTTCTGTATATTATCAACAAAATCCAGCAAAGAGAAAATCCATACATAGAATGTATAAGAGTTCACCTACCAAGACATATAGAAATTACAAGAACCTAATTACAAAACACTGTTTAAAAAAACTTTTATTTTTAAAATACATTTTTATTGCTATCTTTTGTTTTTTACATCACCAGTTTCCCCTAGTATCCCTCTTCCTGACCCTTCCAGAGAGCCACCTTATATAACAAATAGTATTTTAAAAGAAATAGTAATCATCAAAGTCATTAACCAGTATATATTCTTTTGACCCAGTGATAGCACTACTAAGCATATTTCCCAAAGAGATCAAAGAAAGAAAAGCACCTTTCTGAACACAGTATTTGTAGCAGCACTTTTTGTTGTAGCAAGTAACTGCAAACTAAAGAAGTGCCTTAGCCAATTGGAGAATGACTAACAAATTATGGAATGTAATGTTATGGAATACTACTGTTTATAAGAAATTATGAAAGGGGTAGATTAAAAAAAAACCTTGGAAGACTTGTGTAAACTGATGCAATTAAAAGTGAGCAGATTAATTTATGCAATAACTACAAAATGTAAAATAAAATAACTTTGAAAGATTAAGAAATTTCATAAGAGAGGTGAAATACTGACAGAGAAGTACATAATGAGACATACATTTTCAAGTGGCCTGTGGGTTTTGGGGTTTTTTTGCATGTTTATGTGATTATTTGTTGCAAGGGAAGGCTTTTTTTTTAAAGTGATGTGAAATAAAAAAAATATTAATGAAACATTTTTAAATGCACAGGAAGAACAGAAAGAAGTTCACAGGGAGGCAGAGACAAATAGAACAGCTCTGGAAACAATGTAATCAACTTGTCATATACTTTTAAAAATTAAAAGAGACCATTGGTAACTTCGGAAGACAGTTTTAATCAAGTGGTAGGGTTAGAAAATGGACTGCTAATGTTAAGTACGTGAGAAATTAAGTGAAGGCAACTAAAGTGATTTTGGCTGTGAAAAGGAGGGAAGGCATAGTTTAACATCTTTAGGTACCAGCAGGGCCAAGTAAAGGGTTTTTTATGTTGGGCATTTTATTTTTATTTGGGCATTTTGGTCAGCAGGTGGGAAGAAATGTCAATGGAAAATCTATGTACTAAGTACATAGGAAAATCACAAAAGTTGGAAGCTCCTGGAAGGGGAAAGGACAGTATCAAATCAAGCGCACAAAGTAGAGGGGACAGCCTGGTCATCTTGACGATCTTGTCTTCCAAGGCTGAACACGGAGGTAAGAATGGAAAATGATGTTGAGGTGATTTGAAGCATAAAGTTGGGGAGAACAGTGAGTTCATCATAGAGTGCTTCGACTTTCTTGGTAAAGTTTGAAGTGAAATCCTCTGCTTCCAAGAAATCGGGAATGGAAGGGAAGAAGGATGAAGTACATAGCCTGAGATCTTGAACAGACCCTCTGCAAAGTTCCATCAGGAGTCAATTAGGGAAGAATAAAAGATTAACATACAGCAATGAAGAAGTCAGTTGTAATTAGGTAACCCATTTGTAGTGAAGCCAGAGGATGATTGTGCGACTTCATTCAGCAGCATTAAAGTAGGAGGACAAAAGGCAGGGGTGGGAGTCTCCAAAAGACTGAGGGTATGAACATCCTTGTATCTGGCAGAAATAGTTAAAATACAGGTCAAGGGATTTGAGGACAATGAGCCAGCATGTCTGAGAACATATCAATATATACGTTGAAGTCTTCAAGCTAATGGTAAGGTGTTGGGGCATATAGAAACACCATGAGACACCTACTGAATATCTTGAGAAATGAGGGACAAACACTGTGGAGTGGGTAGGTAACCACCATTTAGTATCTAGATAGACTGAATCTCAAAAAGGTTGCAGTGATTGCAACAGGGAGAAGGTCTAGGAAATGACAGTGGAGAGCAGGGAATGTGCTCACTCTTCCTACCTTAGTATGATGAGGTCAATGAGAGAAGGTGAAGAGATGATTTCTGTAACAGATGAGGTGGTGAAGGATTTAGTGTCCTTTGGGTAAAGAGTCAGGTTTCCTTGATTATAAGATGGGAAAGAGTGTAAAAGGAAGAAGTCTAGTAAGAACAGCAGTTTGTTAACAGTAGAATGGAACACTCCATAGCACATAAGAAAAGGAGAGGGCAGAGCAGGTTAGGGACTAAGGAACGTGACAATAGTTTAGATGTTTTAGTAGTTTCCAAAGAAATACTATGTGTTAATAAGAAATTGTCCAATTAGTTAAATTCATTAAAACATGACTTCATGTTTTAATTCATTCATTAAAACATGACATCCCAGGTCACAGGTTTAATCTCTCAATGGACCATTAATTAGTTTTTCTTCGCTCTCCAAGCCATAGTCAACTGTCTTGCAAGTGAGTGCCATTGTTCACAAGCTAGGTGTGTGCAGGAAAGCATAAAATGTTTACCACTGAGGGGAAGAAACTCAAAACCAAAGAGCGTGCAAACTTTAGAATATTTGGGCCCTAATAATAGGTCAATAATATCATCTTTGTATGGATAATATTGTTAAAATGGAACTTATTGAGACCAGGATTGTTTAATTCTTTGTATTTGTATCTGTAACACTTAGCACAATATCTGGCACACAGTTAGTGCTTAATAAATGCTTGTTGAAGGAAAATGATAAATGTTGGAGAAGATGAAGGAAAATTGGAACACTAATACATTGTTGGTGGAGTTATGAACTGATCCAACCATTCTGGAGAACAATTTGGAACTATGCCCAAAGGGCTATAAAACTGTGCATACCCTTTGATCCAGCAACACCACTTCTAGGTCTGTCTCCCAAAGAGATCATAAAGATGGGAAAAGGACTCACATGTACACAAATATTTGTAATAGCTCTTTTTACAATGGCAAAGAATTGGAAATTGAGGGGATGCCCATCAATTGGAGAATGGCTGAACAAGTTGTGGTACACGAACATAATGGAATACTATTGTGCTATAAGAAATGATGAACAGGCTGACTTCAGAAAAATCTGGAAAGACTTACATGAACTGATGTTGAGTAAAGTGAGCAGAACCAGGGGTACATTATACACAGTAACAGCAACTTTATACGATAACCAACTTTGATACTTCGCTCTTCTCTAGCAATGCCATGATCTAAGACAATTCCAAAGGACTCGTGATGGGAAATGCTATCCGCATCCACAGAAAGAACCGTAGTGTCTAAATATAGACTGAAACATACTATTTTCTCTCTTTTTCTTTCTTGTGGTGTTTCCCTTTGGTTCTGATTCTTCTTTACAAGATGACTAATGTGGAAATATGTTTAATATGATTGTACATGGAGAGTCTATATCAGAATACATTCCATCTTAGGGAGGGGAAGAAAATTTAAAACCCAAAAATCTTACAAAAGTGAATGTTGAAAACTAACAATAAATAAATAAATAAATAAAATTTAAAAAGAATAAGAAAAATAAATGTTTGTTGATAAGTTATATGCTAAGGACATATTTCATTTTATTGACAATACAAATTGTTCTGTCTCCTGTCAGACTCTTCTAATTTTGTGAATCCACATACCTTATAACTTTGAAATATTTAGGACATTATTTCAGAAAAAGAGTATTTAGAAATCCAAGAAGACACAACTTAAATCTTCCCACTAAAATCAGGATTTATTCAGGATAAAGTGCATCAAAAATTTATAACTGGGTAAGTCACCTGGATGTATTCAGTGAATTCCATGCTGAGTAATTTTTTTTAAAGAAAAATTACAAATAGCAATACTTGAATGAATCCCTGAGTCTGAAGATCACTAATGATTTATAATAGTTTTATGAGAAATTAACAGATTTTTAAGTAGATATAATACATGCTTGCATTAATTACAGATATATTATCTGCTGTCATTTATCTTGAGCTTATAACAAGCTTTAGTATAAAATACTACTGTTCTTGGTAGCAAATTATGGATTATTTGTCATTTTAGGCTCTTCCTTAATTTAGGCTGTGAAAGTACCTATTCATAAGGTAACTTACCTCCTTCCTCATAACAGAATTACTGGCAATAATCAAATCTTTATTAATTTCTTAAATAAAAAAATCCCAAACCTGCCAAAATGAAACTAATTGCCAGTTATATATCATTTCTTAATATTTTAGGGTTTCCTCTTATCAAAAGCAAAAAACCCCCAAACAAACCAAAAACCCAAAACAAAAAAACCACCGTGCACAAGTTTCATATTAGATTATATATAAAAATATGCAAAAATTTAAGACAATTGTATAACTAAAAGTGGCTACACCAATTATGTATATACACTTTTGCAAGTCACAGAGAACTTGTATTGTTACCTTTTTTAACAAACTGCTTACAGGCCTTAAAACAATGCTTTAAACTTGGCAACTGTTGATCCTGAAAATATTCATTTATAAAAGAGCATAAAAAAAAAAAACTGAAAACAAAGTTACTATAATGAATCTTGATAAATCCTTCATATCCATTCTAAAATCACTGAGACTTTAAAAAAAAATCTCAAAAACTGTAATTAAGGGTTTCCATTTTGGAGTGAAGAGAGAAAATTTGAAATCAGGTCCAAGTTTAACTTAATAGAGAAAATTCTTTTTGACAAAAGTGGCAGCCCTATCTAGATTTGTTCCATGCTGTGAGCACTTGTAACTTGTAATACAAATAGATACCATCAATATTTTAGTATTTAAATATATCTGCCAAAACCAGCTTAAATAATTTTTTACTACTCAATGCTAAATAGTTATTGCCTTAGTTAATATTTATTCTTTTTCATATGTATTCATATTGGGTCAAATGTTGTCACTTTAGCAGTCAGATTTCAGACAATCTCAATCTGGATCACAGGAAACAAATGGGAAAAATATTTCACGCCACTGAAAAAAAATGGCTACCCCGTTATTTCTGTCAGTATGCTGCTACCCTTAAAGCCTACTGACTTGGAATTGTGCAAAAATAAAATTTACTGATTTAACAGTTGATTATCTGTTCCTTTTTTGGAAACCAAAAATTCTTTCTATATTATACTCGATTGCAAAAAAAGTACAGAGGAAAACTTTTGATAAAGACTGGAAGTAACAATGTGACTTTTCGAAGTGAGAAAGAGACCACCAAAAAAGCAAACAAATAAAGCAGAGAAGCCTGAGACCATCTGAGAACAGGGATACAGACAAACAGCCTCTATACTGACAATAGCTCTAACAAAGATGTTAATTTTTTTTTCAAGTTTTAATAAAGGTTTAAATTTCAGTTATCTGGCAAATTTACTCATCTACAAATGATCATTTCCTGACAATGCCTGGAAAATGAGGCATTGCTGTGTTAATAGACTGCTCTTTAAATTCATTTACAATTTTTTTTCATATTTATAAAAGTTTTTACAGGATAATTAATAACCAATTTATGTTTTTAAATTCAATAACCAACCATGTCACGCATAAAATATTTTATTAAAGCTGTGGCATGGTAATATTGCTATTTTAGGTCTCTTTTTCCCTTCGATCTAAGCTCACTGGCTCAATCTTAACATTTTACTATGGTTTTTACCTCTCTGCCCCCCAAATCATTTTATCTTTGTTTCCCCCATCAGAAACCTCACAGCTCTATCAACAGGCAGACATTTCTTACCTTTCTTTGCTTCTGTCTTCATTACCCAACACCACCCCAAAGTTTCCCATCAACAGAAAAGTCTTCAGGAGGAGATTCCCTTTCTCTGAACTTTTGTACCTTCAAAAGGAACCCCACCATAGACTAAAAGGTCTTGAAAACTCTCATTTGTTCCATGTAATTCATGCATACCTTTAGAAAATTTAGATCCTGAGATTTGGTCTTGACTGGTAATTTACAGCTTACCAGCACAGATGCCTCATGATGGCCCACCATGATTTTCTTTTAAAATGCCGGTGTGTGTTAAAGGGATAATGTCTGCTGGACCTGAGTTGTTCATGGAGCATTTCTCTTTTTATTAAAAAACTGCTAACTTTTAGCACCACCCCTTAGGAAATAAAGGCCTTCAAGAAAATGTAAAGGCTTCAGAACATACGAAATGTTCTGGCAGTTGTCCGTTATATGAAATTAGCACTGTCCCCTAAAAAAATGTCTTAACTAGCACTATTCAGCAGGATGAAGCCAGTAATGGTTACTAATATTCTAGTATGTCTCTATCCAGAGGAACATAAATACATTTTATAAATACAAAACTTTAATTAGTATGAATGAAGCTAAAGTAGTTATACACATCAGCTCTACTTAAACAAGAAAAAATAAATGTAAATTTAAATATCTTCTGAGTACCACTAATACAAAAAGTTTCAAAAGTCTACAAGATCTGAAACGGTAGTGGCATGTAATTCAAAAAGAAAATCATTAAAATTATGTATGGTCAAAAAAAGTGAAGCTCTCCCCCTCCCCATTTTTTTTTAAAGAAATAAGTACTATAATAATGTTTTTCTAATTAGAAACTACAAACAATACCAGGATTAAGCTATTAAAAAACAATATGAAGTAAATTTTTTGGCTTCTAGGTAGGTTTTCTGAAAGTACTTACCAAAAGAAGCTACTCCCACTATACAGTAATTCTGAAATATTTCCTCTAACCTTTGGCATGGTTTGGTCATTTAGGAGATAATAAAGATGGTTAAGTATTTTAATGCATATGTACAGTGATAAAAGTACAAACATGAAGAAATTTTATAAAACTCTGCATGAAGAATAAATTAATGATGTCCCACTTTTAACCTCAGGGAATGTACTATTCTAAAATCTTCATTTTCTGCTACCTTTATATTCTCAATGTAACCTACAAATAGGACTCCTAAGTTATATTCAAATAAGCTACTGTTATGTGAAACATACATTTGTGATTATTAGGAATAAACTATATTTAATTTTAAAGAAAGAAATAATGCCGGTTGTTTCCCTACATACTGATCTTCAATATGCCATTATATACTCTTCAGTTTCTCCTTATTTGGGGGAGTCCAAACTAACAAAATTTCATGTCAGTGTATGGAACATTTAAAGATTATGCTGTATTCCATGAAACAGTTAATTTCCTTCCTGAAGCATTTCTTCAATTTCTTTGTCCCAGTTTTCATCCCGCTTCTCTGATTCTGTCACCACTTCATATTCCTGAAGTTCCTGCTGTAGTTCTTTTTCCCAATCTGCAGATTCTTCTGTCAGAAATAAAATTAAAGTTAAAATACAGAAACAGGGAATTTTCGAGTGAAGAAATACAAGCAATCAATAACCATATTTTTAAAATGCCTCAAATCATTAATAGTAAGAAAAATAAATTAAAATAAGTCTAAACTTTCAGTTCATACTCATCAGATTGGTAAAGATGACCAAAAAAAACCCCCAAACAAAACAAAAAACCACCCAGAATTGTTAAGAGTGGTTGTGAGACAACACATACACTCTTTTTGGTAGTAAAGAACTGGAAACACAAGTAAGTGTCATCAACTGAGTAATGCCTAAACAAATTATAACATACAAATCTGTGAAGAGAAACTTATGAAAAGTCTCAGAACTCTGACCAAAGTAGCAAAAGACTGATGATGAAACACACTTTCCCTATCCTGGTAAACAGGAGCTAGACTACAGGCATAAGAATGAGGCTAGTATTCTTAGATATGGCCAATGTACTGATTTGTATCCCTTAATTTTGTGTCTGTGTGTGTGTGTGTGTTTTTAGAAATTTATTATGAGTGGGTAGCTACTTGAAAGACATTTTACAAAAGAACGTTAATAGATTATTTTTAAAAGACACAGAAGAAAACAAAAAGTAAAAGAAACACAAATACAGCAACTTTATTACTATTTTGTTAAATTACATATACAGATTTTTATTCAATCAATTTTCTTGTTCTTTGTGTGTTGACAATATTTATATACTGTCAAATTCATAATTAAAAAAACTTAATTAAAGAGAAAAATAATATTCTATTGGAAACAACAAAGCTGACTAAAAAAACCACCCAATCAAAGAATGAACTAGTAATTATTCATGCTCAACTTTATCTATGACCATTTAAAAAACCCTAAACTGTTCTCAGGAGACATCTATTACACTTTCCCACTTTATTACTGTGGATGTGTTACATTAATTTTATTACTGAAAATTTTTTCTGAACCTAACAAAGCTAAACAAAACAGACATTTCTATAAACATAGTAAAACTGAAAAAGAAGATTGTACATTAAACTGCAAATCTTTGTTTCTGCATGTACAGCTTGCTTTTCTTTTAAATCATATAATAAATCCAATGAATAACTTTCAAAGCTATTCTGCTTACTTGTGATTCTTTCTAGCCTTCCTTTTTATTCTTCTGTGCATTTAAAAAATACTTTAATTAGACCTTTTTTGGGCTACCCTATCCCTAGCTCCCTCTCTCTGCCAACCCAGTCACCAAACAAAACAAAACAAAAAAAACACCCTTATAACAAATATGTATAGTCAAGCAAAATATATGTATAGGAGGTCTGATTTTTCCAAGTGGATGACAACTATCCACATAGAGGAGACAGCTGAAGTCAGAGGATAAGCTCTAAGGGAATTTGTATGCAAAGAGGAAAAAAGGAAACACAAAAACTGATAACCACAGTTAATGTAATAGTATACATGTTATAATACAGAATCAAAATGTATGCTGGGAGGAGTGAGCATGCTGGGGCATGATAAATTCATAAACTTAAATTTGTTATAGTATGTTTGGATAATTTAGTTGTTTTTTAGCAGATATAAAATTAATGAAGGTTAAATAAGGCTCATACTTCATAACAATTATCGCAAAATAAGTAACCTATAGAAACATTACTGTGTAAATGAGAGGAAGGGATTTGGATTCTCTAAGATCAATACTGACACCGGTAAAATATTCTCTACTTCAGTGGTAGAAGATATGAATTTCTATGTTATTTTCACATACCCTAATATTTTATTAATCAATATATTTTTCTTAAGCATTAAGAATAAACAATTTTGTGGAACTTAAACTTCTTGGAGAAAAAAACAGAACTTTTATAAATTATTGTTTAACAGAACGAAACTTTAGATCTCAAATATCAACGGAATTGTGCTTTTAAGAACCTAATTACTTAGCTTCCTATATAACATTTAACCAACACTTACTGGGCACCAACTACGTGCCAGGCACTGTGATAAATAAAACTATCTCTGCCCTCCTGGAGTTTACATTCTCCAGGGAGAAAACAATATTAGCACATGTAAGCAAAGGAGGCAGGAGGGCATTAGGACTTAAAGAATAAGAACCAACCTCACAAAGGAGGTAGGGATACTATGAGGTTGAGGTGAGGAGGGGTGTCTGTTCTTGCCAACGCCACCTCCCCCTTGTGTGGTAGTAAATTCTCTTCTGTTTTGTACCTTTTGAAGTAGGAGGAGAAAAGTTTGCTATTTCCTGACTCAATGCCTTATGTATATTCCATGGCTAGCTCAACAGGCACCAATAGGCTTTGTATATGTTTAAGAAAAGCTTAGATTCAAGGATAGAGAGAGCAGCTGGAAAGTTTATCTTTTAAAATGACAGATATGTATAACCTATATATCAGATTACTTGCTGTCCTGAGGAGCAGGAAGGGAAAGGAAGGAGGGAGAAAAATTTGGAACTCAAAATTTTACAAAAAACAATGTGAAAACTATCTTTACATGCAATTGGAAAGAAATAAAATACTATTAACTGCAAAAAAAAAAGACTTCAGAGTCATTTGAACAGAAAAAGTAAGTTAAGTAAAATGATGGATAAATGTGCTTTTCTGCCTTGTCTCTCTCCCACATTTCCTTCTGGGACTGTGTAAACCTGGGTTAAACTATTTTGCAAAAGGGGCAGCTAGGTGGTGCAGTGGACGCAGTGCCCTGGCGTCAGGAGGACCTGAGTTCAAATCCGTCCTCAGACACATAATAGTTCTTAGCTGTGTGACTCTGGACAAGTCACTTAACCCCAACTGCCTCACCAAAAACAAACAAACAAACAATCTTGCAAGCAAGACTGATGAGGAAGATGCTAAGAGAATCTGTGACTTCCAGGACAATTTCTCCATTCATATTGCAACAGCTGACAATGTCTCCACCATTACACCCTTTTCTTCCAGTTGGAGAGCGTCTCTATAGAACCTTGGTCTAAGGAAGTACCTACACCAGCCACACCCACTTCAAGCCTGGTTTAGCCCATGGTTCCCTGGCCAACTTTTTAAACTCCTCCTCTCCCCTGGGTGGCTTTCCCCATTAGAATGCAAACTCCTTAAAGGTACAGAATTTCTTTTTGTTGTATTTGTATTCCCTAAACTTAGCATACTGTTACATTCTAAGCACTTAATACGTCTTGATAAATGCTGTATCTACCTAACTATTTACAATCTACCTTATAGTTCACAATGCAAAACAGGCTGATGTTATTTTAAAATCTTTCAAATGGTTATACGACTAATTTTAAAGAATATTTTTAATAATCAATCTAATAATATGAAGTAATATCAAACAGCAATTTACTGTATAAACTAGGTCTTCTTACCTTCCAATACAGTCATTTCTTCCTCTTTTTTGTCAAGCACCAACTGTTCCATTTCCTTTCTTAGATCTTCCTGATTAAAGCTGCAAGCATCAAAGGCATCACTAACAAATTCAGATACACCAGGGCTAGTTGATATCTCTTCCTCATCCTGAAATTCAATTATTGAGTTTTTATAAACTTTTCCACAGCAACTGTAAATATTCTATGATTTTCTTTAAGTCAGTTAACAATGTGGTATATTTATTCTACTTTTTCACCCTGCATGTTGCAAAAGAAAATAATCATGTTTATCCTTCCTAGCACAAAACTTTTATCATTCTCATCCTTGGAACACTAAACATTCACACACACACACACACACACACACACACACACACACACACACACACTATTACTAAATCTAGAATTAGTAATAGCTGTAAATTGTCCTGTGCCTCAACTGCAACGTCTTTGTTTACTCAAGCACTGAATTCTTCCATTTTAAACAGATAAAAGACCCAATATCTTAATTACTTTTAAACAGTATTTGAGTTAAGTAGACAAGTTTATTTTAATTCCATACTTCAACTCCTAAGTACAATATAGAATTATATTACCTCTTGAGGTTTAAGCTGAGATTTAATTGCAACAGGTGGTGTTTTAGGTCGGACTGCCTCTATGAAGTGAGAATACAAAGAGACAATAATTGATGGATTAATTTTAAGTAATTCTAACTAAAATGTCCGTTAATAGATTGTTGCATCACAAATTGCTTAACTTTAAATTATGAGTGCCATTTTTTTTCTTACATTTCCCACCCAATAAAATTTATAAAAAAAAAGCAAAAGAATGAATTGATACTTAATAAAGGTAGGCTTCAGATTAACTCTCTTCCCTAGAGACAAATGTAAGGTATTATTTTATTTTTCAAACCATAGTTATAAAGATTCTTTTTGTTTTTTTGGTGAGGCAATTGGGGTTAAGTGACTTCTTGCCCAGAGTCACACAGCTGGTGAGTGTTATGTATCTGAGGCCTAATTTGAACTCAGGTCCCCCCGAATCCAGGGCCAGCGCTCTATCCATTGTGCCACCTAGCTGCCCCAGTTATAAAGATTCTTAAGGCAGTTCAATCCCATTATCCTTCATTGTACAAAGTCAAGTCAAATCAACAAGCACTTATTAAGCCCTGTCAAGAACTGTTTTAACTACTGAGGAAACAAAGAAAGGCAAAAACAACATCCCAGCTCTCCAGGAGCTCTCATTCCAATGGGGGACACAATACATAATTAACTAGGTACATAAAATACATGTATAGCATAAACAGAAGATAGCATGAGAAGAAACTGGAAGGACCAGGAAAAGCCTCCTGCAGAAGGTGGAATATGGACCAATTCTTCAAGTAAACAAGGGAAGCTAAGAGTCGGATGTAAGGAGGGACAGTGTTCCAGATACAGGAGGCAGGTGGTACAAAGGCAGAGAGAACGAAAATGGAGTATAGTACAGAAGATCCAAAAAAGCCAGAGTTGCTAGACTATAGCATACATGGGGAAGAATCATATATAAGAAAGGAGAAGGTAAAAATGGCCAGGTTATGAAGAGTTTCAAATGCCAAAAATATGAGTTTATATTTGGATCCTGGAGATAACAGGGAGCCAAAGTGTAGACTGGTTTAGACCAATTAAAAAGCTACTGCAATATTCCTGGGAAGAGATGGTGAGGGGGGGAGAAAGTAATATATATAAGAGATCTTGTGAAGGTAGAAATGGCAAAATATGGCAACAGACTGGATCAATGGAAGGACTGAAGTGAAGTTCAAAGGGAAAAACAAACTCTTTTTTTCTTTTCAATACATTGCGTTTGAGATACCTACTGAACAACCACTTCAAGATGTCCAAAAGGCAGACGAAAATGTGGGACTGAGGTTGAGGAGAAAGATGAGGTGGGTTTGGGTCTAGAAATCTGGGAATCATCTACATAGAAATGATAAATGAATCCACTGGACCTGATGAGATCACCAAGTGAAATATCATTTCAATGCCCATAATAAAACACTAAACTTCAAACACACAACATATGAAGTTATGACCGTAGTCTAAATAAAATGCCTGCCACACAATAGGTACACACACACACACACGCATCTCACTTGTTCATGAGAACACATTTTTCTGAACAATAACTAAGACTATACTGTCACAAAGTGAAAGATTAAATTTTTAAATTTCACTGTACCTCGAACAAATAATTGGAATTGAATCAAAACTAAATTTGTGTCAGAGAACAGACATCTATCTATCTTTGGCCATATCAGTTAGCAAACTTGAAGGAGAAATTTGCTGTGGGAGCTCAGTATAAAGAAAGGGAGATAGAATAAGGTATTAAAAAAGGGAAGAACTGAAATAAAGCAAATGGTGAAAGAATAAGAAGAAAAAGGTGGAATATGGGCAGGATGACTGGGGGAATAATGGAGAAGATATGATGTAGAAGTGAAAAAACTGGGAAACTGAAAAAAGTAAAGAAAAGAGAAAGGCTTGAAGAATCAACATTTAATGGGCAGGATAAGAAAAAAAGACAGGTAAGGAGTGACTACTGCTTCTAGAAAAAAACATTTTTAAAAAATCTTATCATTTGAGCTATATAAGGCAACAGGTTAGACGTCTCAAAAAAAAGAAGTCTCAAAGACTTGTGAAAGAAAATAATAAAAATCTTTTTTTTGGGGTGAGGCAATCAGGGTTAAGTGACTTGCCCAGGGTCACACAGCTAGTAAGTGTCAAATGTCTGAGTCTGCATTTGAACTCAGGTCCTCCTGATTCCAAAGCTGAAGCTCTATCCACTGCGCCACCTAGCTGCCCCTAAAAATCATTTTCACAGAGTGAAGTACCTGTCAGTTGTGAATCGCCTTCTCTGCCACTGTTCTCCTCTTTTCCTATGGCTTGTTGCTGGGCTGCCAACGCAGTCAGCTGTGCAGACTGTTTAATCAGGGAGACACGATAAAAGTAATTCCTCCAAAACACTTCCTCTTTTACACTGAAGACAAATATGAATAAAGACATTAAAGACAATCTTTTCATTTTTTGAGGGATAAAAAAAGTTACAGCAAAAAACGAACAGTGATTTCTCTATGGTAGCAAATAAAAATATTACATTAGAAAATAAGGGGAAAGAATACTCTTCTAGGATAGGAGATCTTAATGATAATCTGAGCTCCATCTCTTAAATCTTAGAATCATAAAAACTGTAAGCTCCTTCAGGGCAGGGGCTGACTTTGTTAGTTGTACTGCCCGTGTTATAGTAGGTGCTTAATAAATGTTTATTGAATTGAATGAAGAGACCAGAATTCAATAAATTAAGGTGTGTATATGTACTTGTAATTCACAAAGTATCACTATAGTAAGGTGAACATTCCAGGAAATCAATGTTTATTTGATATTTATTTACCAGCAAATTGCAGAGAAACATTCAGCATTGACTCCCTACTGCTAAAGGGCCCTGGTGTAGCAAAGGGATGATGAGATAGGGCTAAAGGGGATATTATGATGGTTCTGTCATTGTATTTGACATTTTGAGAAATCAACTTAGCCTTTTAAACAAACCCATCCCTACCTATAAAATGAGTTTAATGATCATTTGCTCATTCACTCTTAAAAAGATTACTGCAAACATTAACAAAACAGGAAAATTTTCTCACCTTGAAAAAAATTTAATTACCTACCTGTGGATATCATTACTTTATGGAATTTAAAAAATACAGTTATTCCCCAATTTATATATTAAAAGTCTGCTTCCAAGTCCAGTGTTTGAAACTAGGAAAACAATCTCTTTAAGAAACCAACCAACAAGCATTTATTAAGTTCCTACTCTGTATCAGGTGCTGTAACCACAGGCTGGGGGTCAAACCCACAGCAAACATTCAAAATCCATTGGTGACTGTGAGATTTCTTTCAGACTCCTTCTAGCTCCTCACTGAGATCTGGCTTTCCTTTGAGGACACCACAACCCCAGGCATCCTCTTTAATACTGGCAAAAACTTCTTTCATACCCCAGGACACAATGGTTTTGAAGGTAGTGTCAAAGTACTCCTTTTCATCCTCACTGCCATTTCCAGACTTTCTCCTTTCTACTATCTTTTGAGAAAGTCTCCTCCTTTAGAGTTTGGTCAGTCAGAATGTTCTTCTGAAGCCACATCATGATGACTATGGTATATCGGTTCCCTATGTAATTTTCCTTCCTTTCTCAAGGCTCACTGTCTTCCTCTCTTTCCCAACTCATGCCCTTATACCAGAGCACTTCAACACCCATGCTAATTTTCCCTCAAGCCTCCTACCTTCCAATCCTTTCGTTTCCTTAAATCCTATGACCTACTTTCCTTCACTCCACCTCAGCCACACAAGAGATGCTCATATAGTGTGTATCTTTCCATTACCCATAAGTGCTCAGCTTCATTAATGAGTAACTATGACATTCATCTATCTGATCATAATCACCTAACATCTCTGTTATCCTAAACCTATGCTTTGACCTCAGCAAGGAATTATAATCTCTCCACATTTCAGTACCTTCTTGTGCTACTACCTCTGCTCTCACTTCTTTCCTTTCTTTCCGAACTTGACCCTGGAGTTGGCCATTTCAACTCTACACTGTCCTTTGCTCTTGAATCCCTCATCCTCTTGTCCTATTACTGCTGATCTCTCTCCAAACCCCAGCCCTAGGTAACTGTTATCATGTGACTTTTCTACCCCTACTCATGAGTATCTAAACCGAGCTGAAGGAAGGCATACAACTGTACTGTGCTGAGTACATTATAAATTCATGTTACCCAGTTTCAACTGGGCTCTCTTTTCTCAAGCACCTCATGTCTCTTCCTCCACACTCTCTCTCAGCTAAGGACATCACTTCTCACTTTACTGAGAGCACTGAGGCCATTCACAGGAATTCCCTTTTTTCTCCCATTCTCTTCATCTCAAAAACCACTGACAGCATCTCCTACTCTCCTCCCTCCTCCAAGCCTCTGACAATGAAGTAAGGCCTACTCCTTAGCAAGGACCTCTCTTCCTGTACCTTTCCCATCCCCTCCCATCTTTTCCAAAGACTGCAACCTCAATCATCTCCCCTCTAAGATTCAATTCTTCCCTATCTGCTAATTCCATACCTACTTCCTTCAAACATGCAGAAGTCTCCCCCATCTTTTAAAAAAACCACTAGATACTATGATTCGTGCTATCATCCTCTCTCTTCGCTTTCTCATCCAAATATATCTTCATTTCTTGAAGCATCTTTTTTTTTGGGGGGGGGTGGCGGCAAGGCAATTGGGGTTAAGTGACTTGCCCAGAGTCACAGAGCTATTAAGAGTTATGTATCTCAGGCCGGATTTGAACTCAGGTCTTCCTGACTCCAGAGCCTGTGCTCTATCCATTAAGCCACCTACCTGCCCCTCTTTTTTCTTTAACCCTTTGAAATCTGGCTTTTTTTTTACTTTATCACTCAACTGCTCTCTTTAAAATTACCCATGATCTCTTAGTTGCCAGATCTAATGTCCTTTTCTCAGTCCCCATTCTTCTCAACATGTCTGCTGCATTTGATATTGCTGACCACCTTGATCTTCCAGGATACTGTCTCTTCCCTGAATTTCATGAGAATACTCTTTTTCCTGTTCATTATCTTATCCAACTGATTGTTCCTTCTCCATCTCTTTACTGCTTATCATCCACGTCAGACCCTATACCTGTGAGTGTTCAGCAAGGTTCTGTACGAGGCTCTTTTTCTTCCTTCTCTGGGTTACCTTATCAGTTTCCAGGAGTTTAATCATCACCTCTATGCAGACAACTTACAGATGTATATATTCAGCCCTAGTCTTGTCTCTGAATTTCAATACTGCATCACTCATTTCCTACTGGACATTTCAAAAAGGAAATCCCAAAGACATTTCCAATTTAACTCATTATCTTTTCCCCCACACCTTTCTCTCTTCTATACTTCACTATTTTTGTCTAAAGCACAAAATCCTTCTAGTCTCTCAGCTTCATAACCTCAGTATTAATCCTTGACTCCTCACATTTCCTCATCTGATATATCCAACCAGTCACCAAATTTTGCTGTTTCTATCTCCACAATTATTTCTCATATCTGATCCCTTACCTATTCTCAAATAGTGACCCTATTAGTTCAGCCCTTCATCACCTCTATCCTAGATTATTCCAATAGCTTAACTGGTCTTCCTGCCTCAGTCATTTAACATATTACCACCACAGTAATTTCCCTTAAATGCAGATCTGACCATGTCACTCCTCTACTCAATAAACTCCAGTGGCTCCCTTCTGCTTTTGGGATAAAAACTCACTATTTGACAAAAACTGCTGGGAAACCAGAAAAGAGAGTATGGCAGAAATTAGGCATAGACCAAAATTTCACACCATATACCAAAATAAAGTCAAAACAGTTAATGATTTAGATATAAAGGCTGATACTATAAGCAAACTGGGAGAGCAAGGAATAGTTTACCTGTAAGATTTATGGAGATCAGAAGAATTTAGGACCAAACAGGAGATAGAGAACATTATGAAATGCAAAATGGATAATTCTGATTACATTAAATTGAAAAGTTTTTGCACAAAGGCAATGCAATCAAGATTAGGAGGGCAGCAGAAAACCGGGAAAGAATTTTTATAACCAGTGTCTCTGATAAGTGCCTCATTGCTAAAATATACAGAGAACTAAGTCAAATGTATAAGAATACAAGTCATTCCCCAATTGATAAATGGTCAAAGATACGAACCGGCAGTTTTCAGATGAAGAAATTAAAACCATCTATAGTCATGAAAAAATGCTCTAAATCACTATTAGAGAAATACAAATCAAAACAACTCTGAGGTACCACATCACCATCTATCAGACTGGCCAACATGACAAAACAGGAAAATGATAAATGCTGGAGAAGATGTGGGAAAACTGGAACATTAATGCATTGTTGGTGGAGTTGTGAACTGATCCAACCATTCTGGAGAGCAATTTGGAACTATGCCCAAAGAGTTATAAAAATGTACATACCCTTTGACCCAGCAATAGCACTTCTAGGTCTGTATCCCAAAGAGATCATACAAATGGGAAAAGGACCCACATGTACAAAAATATTTATAGCAGCTCTTTTTGTGCCAAGAATTGGAAATTGAGGGGATGCCCATCAATTGTGGAATGGCTGAACAAAGTTGTGGTATATGAACAAGGTTGTGGTATATGACTGTAATGGACTACTATTGTGCTATAACAAATGATGAGCAGGTGGACTTCAGAAAACCTGGAAAGACTTGTATGGACTGATGCTGAGTGAAGTGAGCAAAACCAGGAGAATATTGTACACAGTAACAGCCACTATGTGCGATGACTAACTTTGATAGACTTAGCCCTTCTCAGCAATACAAGGATCTAAGACATCTCCAAAAGTCTCATGACGGAAAATGCTACCCACATCCAGAGAAAGAACTATGGAGTTTATTTTGTTTTTTTGGCTAGGCAATGGGGTTAAGTGGCTTGCCCAGGGTCACACAGCTAGTGAGTGTTATGTGTCTGAGGTCAGATTTGAACTCAGGTCCTCCTGAATCCACAGCTGGTGCTCTATCCACTGCCCCACCTAGCTGTCCCAGAACTATGGAGTTTGAATGAAGATCGAAGCATACTATTTGCTCTTTTTTTCCCTTATGTTTTGTTTTGTTTCCTCTTTCTTGTGGTTCCTCCTATTGGTTCTAATTCTTCTTTACAAAATAACTAACATGAGAATGTTTAATAGGAATGTATATATAGAGCCTATATCAGATTTTATGCTGTCTTGAGGAGGGAGGGGAAGAAGATTTAAAACTCCAAAGCTTATGGAAGTGATTGCTGAAAACTAAAAATAAATTAATAAAAAAAATTAATTTCTCTGCTTAGCTTTTAAAGAGCTTTACAGCCTGGTTCCACTCTATCTTCCTATATTCACTGGATATTACTCTCTTCTTGCACTTTGCAATATAATCCCACTGGCATCCTCACTGTTCCTCATGCATTTACACTCTATCTCCCATCTCTGGATCTTTACACTTGCTATTCCCCACACCTGGAATGGGCTTTGTCTCCATCTTACTTTCTAAGATGAAGCTCAAGCACCACTCTTCCTTCCAAACTATATTTGTCTACTTTTTCTACTTTTTATTTATTCTTCTTATATTTATTCTGTTTATACTTATATAGGTACTGACTGAATCCCTCTTTTTAATGTAAGTTCCCTGAGAAAAAGAATTGTTTCATTCCTTGTATTTGTATCCCTAGCACTTAGCACAGTGCCTGGCATATGGTAAGCATTTAATAACTCACTTATTGAAAAATTAAACAATGTCAACCCTCAAGGATTTTGCCTTTTTTTAGGGAAGATATCTACACATCAAAGTAAGTAAATGAGTTGGAAGTGCTCAGGAATGGGGGATTCTATGAAAAAGCACAGAAATAGCAAAAGAAATGTCATGTGCAAAGTTAGATTAGCTGGACCAAAGAATGCATGAATGACAGTAATAAATGTGGAAAGGTTGAGCTGGAGTTAGATGGTAAGGGGTTTTAAATGCAGAGCCGCTTGTATTTGATCTTAAGTTATTGCTTCTCCTTGGGAGCCTCTGTAATTTACTGGGAAGAGTGAAACAGATCTATGATTTAGTTATATATTACTCTGGTAGCTGGAAGTGGAGGGACTGGAAAGTGGAAAAGACTTGAAGCAAGAAGGGCAATATATGATATTTAGGATGAATTAATGAAAAAGTCTTTATTAAGGATTGCAAAGTACTTACATATATTACTGTATGATTCTCACAACAATCCTCCAAGTACTACAGGTATTATCATCCCCACTTTAGCTACAAGGTGTTAAAAATGGGGAAAACACATAGGAAGAAATGATAATAGCAATCATATGCTACAGATCACCTGACCACAGGCATGGAAAACATTTTCATAGTACACACAATACATCCGTGACAAGAGGCAAAATATATGCCTTTGAGAACCCGGGGTCTCCTCCACATCATGATGAGGAATCTAAGCAAGATTTCTATGGAGGAATGGCATGAGATGACTGCCAGAAAAGTGAGTGCAATTTTATGTTGCATTAGTAGAAAAACAGTGTCTATGTAACTCACAAATGCTTATTCCACAATTATTTGATACGGCACCTATTACAGCTGAAGAACTGTGATAAACGCTGGGCCAAAAATGAAGCCCTTTACGGTCTAGCTCCCATTTACCTTCTTAGCCTCATTTCCTGTCACTCTCCTTCACATAATGTCTATTCCAGCTCAACTGGCCCACCAGCTGTTCCCCAGGCAACACTGCCCTTCTTTTGCGCCTCTGGATAGGCGGCACCCCATATCTGGAATACACTCCTTACCTGCAGCTCCTTTCAAAGCACTCCAGGGGTCACTCCAACACAAAGCTCTGCCCAATGCCGACAGCTGATACTGATGTTCTCCTCTTGAAATTGCTCTGTATATACTTTGTTGTATTCCCCATAATACAATACCAGCCTCTTTCTCTGGAAGCTTGTCTTTGTATTCCCTACATCTAGCAGTGCCTGGTACAGCCAACAATTTAGATGTGGTCCCTGCCTTCATGGACTTTACAGTCGTCGGGAGATAACTACTTCTGTTCTATTTTGGTTTTTTTAGACCACTTCTAGAATACTTCCTTCAGTTCTGGGCACCATATTTTAAGAGGGACACTAGCAAACAAGTGTTTCCAGGGAAGAAACCTGCATGGAGAGGAAGATATCTGACAACCACAACATATGAGGGACATTTAATAATTCAATTCAATAAACAATAATTGGGTACCAACTACAATAGAGTGCAAAGCAATAAGGAACTAGGAGTGGTTTGCTCAGACACATGACAAAAAAAGGGAAATAGTCTCACCTCTGCCACTCAGTAGTGACAGACTCTCAAGCAATCTCCATAGACCTCAGTTTTTTTATTTATAAAATGAAGTTTTCACACTAGATAATCCCAAAAGGTCACTGTAGCACAACAATTCTGATTTGTCACATTGAAATAAACATTTTCCAATAACACATAAGTGCTCATTTGGCAATTCAAGGTAGTACTAAATAATAAGAGGCATTTAAGAATAACTACAAAAAAGATGAGTTAGGAAATTTTAATTTAAGTATATGCTGCTTACTGTTTAGGAACAAGGTCAAATCTCATTCTGTTCAGCAGTTCATCTTCTTGAAGCATTACCATAGCAACAGGATACATTTGATCAAAGTCGAAATTAAACTGAACACCCACTGGCGGATCACGCAGGAAGTTTCTTTTGTCCTTTAATTAATAGAAAGACAAAGAAATACAAAGAATAAAATTAATATAAAACAATATTTGATTAAGCCAAATATTTCATCTAACCAGAAGAACAGCAAACTTTGCTTAAGCTAACTGTACAAAGGAAAAATTGATATAAAAAGCACATAATCCTGTTAGAAAATTTATTCTTAATAAAAGGGGGAAGTCAAGTTTTTGTCAAATATGGACATCCTCTTGTTTCACAACTTATATAAATAATTACTATATTATCATTTAGTTTCAGAATGTTTCAAAAACATTTCTATTGCATGATATATACTGAATTTATATATGTATATACTTTATAATTTATACTGTATATGTTAAAGCTATTTGCCTCAATTTATACAGAGTGCCCCCGAAGTTGTAGTGCAGTCTTAAATAATTAAGCTATTAAAATTTCAAAATGCACTGACTTTTGGGGTACCTTATAGAAAAAAGTGAAATGAATAGCTGGATTTTCTCCTTCATAGTCTTCTTTCACTCTATTAAATTACTTTGTGCACAGTAAAAAACTTTACAGAATGTAGAGCTGTGGAAAAGTAGTAAAGGAGCAACAATGAAAATATTTGGATAATCTTCCACCATCTTACATTTGTATTCTTTTGCCCTTTTCATCACTAAACTCATCTACCATGAATCAGCCACATTAAAAATACGTGCAAACACTAATAATTTTATGAGAATTCTTTTTCACACTGTTGAATTTTGCTTTCTAAGCTATCTTATGTAATTCCATTTTTATTAAACAACAGTTGATACACAAAATACATATTAAGAGAACTCTACCCCCAAAATTAACAAAATGGGAATATAACATTTTCAAAATGATAGATATCAAATTCAACATATTAAAATAAAGAATTATGAATGTCACCCTTTATAAGCTAAGCCACTAAATGTGGACTTGTAAAATCTGTCAAATCCTGTAAAATTAAGTCATATTCACTTCATTTCAACAAGCTTCACTTAATATAGAACCTAAGTTTCAATTTGGTTATAGCTTTGTCAAAGATCAGCCAAAACTGGGCAATCACCATTGCACAGAAACCTTTTGGAGGTAGCTGGTGGCACAGTGGATAGACTACTGAGTCTGGAGTCAGGAAGTCCTGAGTTCAAATTCTTCCTCAGACATTTACTAGCTGTGTGATCCCAAGGCAGTCACTTCACCTCTGTTTGTATCACTTTTCCTCAACTGTAAAATGGGGATAATAATAGCATCTAACTCTTAGAATTGTTGAGAGAATCAAATGAGATTATTATTTGTAAAAAGCCCTTAGCACAGTGCTGGACACAAAGTAGGTGATATATAAACGCTTATTCCCTCCCTTTTACCTTCTATCCACTCCTTAACACATTTCCAAAAGCAGCTTGTTCAAACCTTCTCTGCAATGCCGCAACACCACCCTAATGCCCATCTCTGCACCTGGGCTAGCATCTCCTTTACCAAGAAAACTGAGGCTATCACAAACTCTCATCTCTAGTTCTGCACACTTCAAAGCTTCAAACCTTTACTTTATCTCCTTACTTGTAGTTTCAGAGGATAAGGCTGTCCTTCTATTTTATCAATGCCATCCTTCTCTACCAGGGCCCTTAATCCTATCTCTTCCCATCTTTTCTCCCCTATGACTATCATTTTCCATCTTTCTGTTCTACCTATGAAAATTATCAGGTCACCACACTGATTAGAAATCATTTCCTTGGAGAATCTGAAAGCAATCTGAGGGAAATTAGACCTCAAATGATATCTCACATCATATACCACAATAAATTCCAAATGACTATGTGACCTAGATATAAAATGTCATATCATAAACAAATTATAAATGTAAGGAAGGCAATAATACTTTTCAAAATTATGGACAGGGTAAGAGTTCTTGATCAAACGAGGGACAGAGAGGATCACAGAAGGTAAAATGGACAATTCTGATTATATAAAACTGAAAAACTTTTGCACGAATAACATCAATGAAGTTGAAATGAGAAGGGAGATGATAAACTTGGAAATCTTTAGAGAGAATTTCTGATAGTCTGATATACAAAATATATAGGAAATTAATATAAATATATAAGAATAAGAGCCATTCTCAATAGGCAAATGATCAGATGTTCAAAACTTTTTCTTCTCTCCTCGAATCTCTCATGGCTCCCCCTTTCCCCATCCCCTTAGCTCACCTTACCTCATATTTTACAGAAAAAAACTGAGGCCATTAATTGTGAGCTCCATCTTCTTCTCTCATATCACTACTATACCTTCTGTCACTAGTTCCTACTTCACCCTTGTCTGACGTGATGAGTTGGCCTTATTCCTCCCATCTCCTCCAACACACTACCTCCTCTTATCTACTATATCCTTATCTACTGGCTCATTCTCTACGTGTGCTGGCCTCCCTCATCCTGAAAAACCCACACTTGCTCCTTCTATCCCTGCTAACTACTGTTCCATATCTCTTTTGCCTTTTGTGGCTAAACTCCTTGAAAGGGCCATTTACTTTCTCTTTTCTCCTTCTTCTGATCTTCTCATTCCACCAGAATGGCTCTTTCCTACTTATCTGGGTGTTCTTCCCTAATGTATCTGACCCAGATCTGACTTACCAGTCTGGTTCAATGCCTTTCCCCTCCTCTAAAGTAGGGTGTTTTCTAAGGCTTTGCTCTAGGTACTCCTCTTTTTGTGTTCTCCCTTTTCACGTTCTCATTTATTTTCTGGGGTTGAACTATTTCCTCTATGCAGATGACTTCCAAATCTATATGCCCAGTTCCAATTTCTTATTGTCTTGCTAGATATCTCCACCTGCATGTCTTTTTTTTTTTTAAAGGCAACTGGGGTTAAGTGATTTGCCCCAGGTCATGCAGTTAGTAAGTGTCTGAGACCAAATTTGAACTCCTGATTCCAGGGCTGGCGTGTTACCTAGCTGTCCCTTCCACCTGAATATTTTGCTGGTACCTAAACTGTCATCAACTTTCTCTTTAAATCTTGTCCCTTCTCCAAACTTTCCTAATTTTGTTAAGTGCCACCATCTTCCTAGTCACCCAGATTTGTAACTGCAATTATCTTTGTCTCTTCCCTTTCTTTACCTCTTAAATCCAATCAGCTGTCAAGTCCTGATCTTGAAGACATTTCTTTTCTGCTAATAAACATGGCTAATCCCTTAGCATAGGCCGTCACTACCTCATCTGCATTATCATATTACCATCTTAATTGGGGTCCCTGTGTCTTGTTTCTCTCAATAAGACAAAGTGGCCAAAAGAATATTGCTAAAGCACAGGTATGGTAGTGTCACTCCCCCTTTCAAAAACCTTAATGATTCCCTGTTGTCTTCAGGACAAAATTGAATTTCCTCAATCTGCACTTAAGGCCCCCTATAATCTGGCTCCAATTTACCTTTCTAGCATTTTTTCATATTACTCTCTCTTTCTGAGGCAGCTAGGTGGCAGAGTAGATAGAGCATTGGGCCTGGAGTCAGTAAGACCTGAGTTCAAATGTGACCCAGATACTTACTAGCTGTGTGATTCTAACAAGTCATTTAACTTGTTTGCCTCAGTTTCCTCACCTGTAAAATGGGGATAATAACATCACTTCCCTCCTAGGGTTACTGTGTGAATAAAATGAGATATCTGTAAAGCTTTTAGAAGACAGCATAGCATGTAGCATGTGCTTAAAAAATGTTTTTTTCCCCTTCCTAAAGTCTACATTTCAGATAAAGTAGATGACTAACTTACAACATCTCTTACCTTCAGGCCTTTGCATGGACTGTTCCTAATGACGAAAACACCCTTTATCCTCATCCCTCTGTCTACCAATTTCCTTCTTGACTTCAAAGTTCTGCTCAGGTACTAACCATCTCTATATAAAGCATTTCCTGATTCTCCGAGCTGAGTGCCTTCTTCCTCATCAAATTATCCTAGCATGCCCTGTCTGGATTTCTGTTTTGCCCCCACTGCACTTTACCTTATATTATATTTATTTTCAATTATAGAACACGATCACAAAACTCTTTCCAGATACTCTTTTAAAGACACTAGATTTCCCTCAGGCCCTATTTCTAAAAGTCTCCTAACCAATCTTCCTGCTTCAAGTCTCTCTTCTTTGCTCTATTCTCCATATAGCTGCCAAAGTGATTTTCCTGAAGCACAAGTGTGACCATGACACTCTTCTACTTAATAAACTTCAGTGGCTCACAATTGACACTGGAACCAAATATTATTTCATTTTTTAAATGCCTATAGCTTTATAAGCCCACAATTATTATTATTGTAGTACATGCATATAATTTATAAATAATACACACACACACACACACACACACACACACACACACACACACACAAGGGTGTAGTTTCAAAATTTTTTTACGCAATAGCGGGACATGATCAAAAAAGTTTGAAGACCACTGATTTATGGGGATTTTAAATGTCATTTAGGGAGAAGGTAGGACAGAAACCTACTGAAATTAGATGGGCAGTCCTCGATATACAGAATTATGTCTGCCTTACAAATCGATAAAATTATTAAGAGTAATATTTTACATCTTTTTAAAAAAGAAGACGTCATTTATTTTGATCATCTAAGTATTATACTTTAGAGTGAGCTGGAAAATTTTATGGATTAATGTGCCTCAGCTATACCTACCCATATAAATAGCACTAAAAATCAAAATATGTAATAGTAGGATCTTTATTTTGACGTGTTCCATTTTTAAAAGCAAATGTAATATGGAAGTTAAAAATATTCTGGAAATGTTCAAATCAATCAAAAGCCTAATGGGTAAACACCGTGTTAAAAAATTAATTAAATGAGAAAAGCAAAATGCAGTTTTGCACTTGAGAGTTACATAAGATACTTGCTTTATGTTACACCGTATCTTGAGAGATAACGAATTCATTCAGAACTGAAGAAAAGTTTGTATTACTGGAGTTTTGTATACTTCCTCTTGTTACAGCTGTATCTTGCAATCTTATACCTCTCTTTCCCTTGGATTCTATCCAATTTTCTTTTAATACAATGGTGGGGAGGAAAGGTGTATCAGAGGAACTAGCTTGCGATCTTATTAGTATAAAAAAACTGCAGGTGAAGAAACTTCCTCTACTAATACATATTTGCATCTGCCCTTCAAATTACAGTCTTAAGAATTGCCTGAGGCACTGATAGCTGAAGTGACCCATCCAGGGATCATAGCCACCTCTATCCCTAAGTGTCTGATGCAAGACTTCCTGACTACACAGCCTATTCCCTATAACTATCCGCTATATTGATGTGTCTCTTTTCTTCAAATAATACTTAAGAGAAATCTTACATATAACTTAAAGTTGGAAGAAATTAGTATCTACACTTTGGATACCACAGAACATTCAGTCAATATAAGGAGAGAGAAATGTTTGTTGAGTGAAAACTGCATATGATCACACATGTGGCATGGAAGATGATCACTCATGTTTGTCTCAACAAAAAACTTACTGCAGATAAGGCCAATATTTGTTGCTGAATTGTTTCTTCTTCATTGCTGTCAACCCACGGAGGCACTGCTGCTTCTATAAGTTAAAAAACAAAATGGTCATGATGAGAAGTGAATTATACTAATTATACAAAATAAAGAATGAGAAAATCAATATACCCAGTAAAACTTTTTTGATCATGTCCCCCTATTGCTTAAAAAAATTTTGAAACTACACCCTGGTATACATGTATTTACTTATTTATAAATTATATATATATGTACTACAATAATAATTAGTGTGTTCTATTTATAAACAATTTTAAATTTCATTAAATTGGCATTGTATCTACTGTATGTGAATCTGAAGAAGAGATACTATACTTGACTTACAGGAAAGAACAATGAAGAGGTTGAAAGACCAAGAACTATGAGGAGTTTTGAGAAATGCGAACTAAACAAAGAAATAGCCAAAGAGAAAACAAAACACTGAACTGAGCTAAAAATAATTAAAGAATTAAACTTCTCGAGTTACATTCTGCCCTGGACTACATGAGTACCAGAGATCCCAGCTACCTGAGGGATATAGACTAATCCCAAACACACCCAATTTATCAATGACCCACCTCTCCCAACACGCACCCCCTAGAAGATGACCTCTCTTTTCCTGCAATAAAAAATAGATGTCTTCACTCAGGGCATCCAACTAATTTAATCAACTTCAGTCTCACTGCAGCAAAACATACCCTTAGTGGCAACTGGCCAAAATGTTAACTATAGGGCAGTGATCACTGTTTTTTAAAAGGCTGGTATTGATGAATTGGCTATATTTTATACTGTCTTTCCTCAGTACAAAAATAAACTAGTTTTGATTTAGCACCACCAAGCGGTAAAATTGTGAGCTAAGCCACTTTATAAAGGAATATAAGAACTTAAACTATATTTACTTTAGTGTGAGATTATAAAGGGGACATCATCATCTAGCCAAAATAAAGCTATTTCTAGGCAGGAATGTGCCTAAAACTTTTGTATCCAAATTATATATGCTGAGAGGTAAAAGAAAACTAGAATAACTCTAACTTTTAAATAATCCTTTTCATTTCCCCCAGAAAACACTGTTTTTAAAATGGAAAATTAATGTTCTAATAAGTAATACATAATAAATATATATCATACCTGACTTTTTTGTATGTTGTTCTTGCACAAATTTTTTTTGTTCCTTCTGAAAATCTCCTATAATTGTCTGTAAAAAAAATTTAAAAGCCATGTTATTTTGAAAATAGTCAAACTACACTTGACTAGATAAAGGCACACATACATGACTTTTCACCTAAGTAGAGAAAAAAGCAAATCTTTTCTTCCTAAAACAGAATAAAAAGTACACAGTATTTTTAAGCTTGAGAATACATTTTTTGAGGATTTTCTTCCCCCATGCATAAACAAAATTACTGAGTATTTAATATTTAAAATATTACATTTCTATGCAACTTCTTAAATACATTAAAAAATAATTTTTCTTATGATATCCCTATGAGATAGGTTGTACAAGTGTTACCATTTTATAGATGCAGAAACCAGACCTCTAATTGGTGAAGTAGCTATACAATTTACCTAGTAAGTAGTACAGCTCAATCTCAAACCTAGCTCTTCTGACTTCAAACACTGTGACTTGCACTAAAATTCACTGATTTACATATAATATTGTGTGTGTGTGTGTGTGTGTGTGTGTGGAAATCTCAGTATAAAACAAGATTCCTAAGCTTTAGACAATACCTTATTTGTTTCAATTAATGTAAACAAACTTCCAATTTGGAATTGATTACACTGGGCTACGACTTCCAAGTACATAAGAAACCTGTTATTTGATTATGCACAGGGATGAAAATATAGTTTGGGATCTGAAATAACATTAAAGAACTAAATTATAAAATTTTAAATAAAAAAATTAAATTGTAAAATGATGGCTGAAATTATTAAAATGGTAATTTGTATTTTAAACAATTTTGCACAAATGAGCAAAACAACAACAACAAAACTCAAGGATCCCAGCACTAAGCAAAATTATAAAATATCAGAATATGTGGGACATTTTATTTTGGACTTAAAAAAACAAAACGATATAGTTAGAATAATTCAGATATGATAAATTTCATGGAGTTCAACTTTCAAAATATATTTAAAAGTACCTTATCAATGATATCATCTATTTTCCCTTCTTCTACTGACTTCTTTATTGTTTGTGCTGTTTCAGCAACTGATTCGGTTATCTTTTTTGTAGCAGCAGTGGCAAAGTTAAATAGGTAATCTGGCAATGATAAAAAAAAAATAAGCTTTAGTCTGCTCTCCATTCAAGTACATTACTTACTAGATTAATAATGATTTTTCCTCTCAAAAGAAAACCTGCAAGTATCTAAAATTCTGAAAGACATTGTTGATTAGGAAAGATATTTCCATATAAAATAAAAAAAATTATATTGCTACTATGTATCTGCAAGGAACTACACTAGCCATTGGGAATAGGAAGACAAAAATTAAATAGTCCTTAACCTCAAGAAACTTACATTCTCCAGAAAGGATACAAAATGCATACAAATAAGTAAATACAAACTATGTGCATCAATTTCAAGAAACAGAGAGTGCTAATAGCTACATCAAGACAGGTCTTTTTTTCCTTTTTTAAAAAGCTAGGCAATGGGGTTAAGTGACTTGCCCAGGGTCACACAGCTAGTAAGTATTACATGTCTGAGGCCACATCTGAACTCAGGTCCTCCTGACTTCAGGGCGGGTGCTCTATCCACTGCACCACCTAGCTGCCCCTCAACACAGGTCTTTTTTAGGAAGGCAACTAAGCTGTGCTTTGAAAGGAGGTAAGACTCCCTGGAGACTGAGAGAAGGGAGGGAATTTCAGAGAGAGGCTTTAAATGCCAGGCTGAGGTACTTCTTTCTTCTCAAGGCAAATGAACCACTGAAGATTTCTGAGTATGTGTATAGTTGGAAGAGTGATGCTGTAATATCTGTTTTAGGAGTATGAATTTGACAGGTGTGTGTATAGGATGAAAAGGAGAGTAATGAGATTGTAGGCAGAAAAGCCAATTAGGAGGCTACTACAAAAATCCAACTAAGACATGCTGAGCATAGAACTACAACAGAGGCTATACAAACAAATAAAAAGGAACAAGGAAACACTGTAGTTCAGTTATTTTTGTTTAGTTAAGGGGGGAGGAGAGGTATGTGCCTATTTAACATATGTACATCTGTATGCATTACTACCATTATGCTAGTGTGTGATCTTATGGGTATGAGCCTGCCATCTCCTCAGAATGCAAACCATCCAGCCTGTCCATTCCAACATATTCCTGTTCGTGTCCTCCAGAGAAGGCAGAGCCCACAGGCCAGTTCTCTTGCCATTCTGGGGTAGCAGAGGAACACCAGAGCTGTCCTGTAATCTTAACCAAGCTTTGTTGCAGAAGCAATTTCCTTACATGTGCCTCTCCAATTCTTTGGTGATTGTGGTATTCCATGACCTGTAAGCCATGTAGTATGATATTAACTGATAGCACATTCAACATTCAATCATAAGAACAAAAATTCAAGCTGGGTTTAAAAGAAATCCAACAAACTTTTTGCCTTTAGTCAGGCTTTCAGGCAAATACAACTGCGAATTAATTAGATTTCTTTTTGATTGCCAAGTAAACTTACCACAACAGCTATGGCAAACTTTCCTTACTCTACTCAAGCTCCCATCCTTACCTCTTCCCTTCACTCTCAGCTTTCCCTTCATTTCTTACTTTACTACTAATAAAGATCTATACCATAAGGCATGAATTCTTTACTTTTCTCTCTTCTCTAACCCCAAACTTCTTTCCCCGTCCTTTTCACCAAGAGTATGTCCCTCCTCCTTTCTACTTCTTTCCCTCATGTATTTGAATCTCAGGCCTTTTTGCTCCCTCAAAATGTCCCCTCTCTTTGGCATATTCACTCTCTTCTCTGTTAGCAACTTACTTCTGCACAAAACCTTCACTTAATCCAATTCAAAACAAACATTTATGATCATCTACTATGTGACCAAAATGATGACTTTCTTCAAGGAATTTCCATTCTAGAGACGTACACACAGATTAGTAAATAAAAGGTAAAACTGATCATTTTGAGAATACTAAGAATTAGACATGGAGGGTGGGGAGGGGAAGATATCGGGGAAAACTTCATGGAGGAAAAGGCAACAGGGTTGGTCCAGGCTTTGGTGAAAGCGTGTGTATGGACAAGGCATTAAGGTAGGAATCAGAATTTCAAGTATGGCTAGTCCAATTGCCTCTTTAGATATCATCCTATTTCTTTTTTTTTTTCACCACTACATTTCTCAACCGCTGCTTTCATTTCTGCCTTACCCACTCATAGGTTCATGAGATGCAGAAAGGAGTCTAGAGTTGAACCTCTTCATTTCGCAGATGAGCAAAGTGAGGCCCTGAGAAGTTACGTGACTTGACTCAGGTAACAAAGGCAGTAAGCAGCAACTCTAAGATTTAAAATCTAGATCCTGACTCCAAATTCCATTCTTTTCCAATGTACTATCACTAATTCCTTAAAGCATGAAAATGTGGCTTTCATCTTGACTGCTGAAACTATGCTCCAAAAGGTCATCAATAACGCCCAATTTGTCAAGTCCAATAACTTCTCCTTGGTCCACATTCTCTTTTGGGTCTATGAAGGAATCAGTGCTACGGAGCACCAAACTAACCCCTACTACTCTGGTCCTTCCCCTATCTTCCCTCTTGATATCTCCCACCCTTTTGACTTCTTCAAGGACCTTCCCTTCCAGTCCCACTTGACTAATTCCTACCCACACTTCAAGGGCTAGCTCAAACCTCTCTCAAATACAATATGATAGTTACTTACATGCACTTCACTAATCACTCACTCTACACCTCTTTATGGAAGGTATTTGTTACCCTATCAGCTCTTTGGGATGAAGATTATTCATTACAATCCATCAGAATTCAACTGCTTTTTAAGTATTATCACTTCACTTTATTTATTTTTATTTTTAGGCAATTGGGGCTAAATGACTCACCCAGGATCAGGCAGCTAGTAAGTGTCAAGTGTTTGGTCTGACTTTTTAAGTATTATCATTGTTATTGTACATATTCTCTCAGTTTACTTTTTCCACTATGCATCAATTCATGTCTATTTTTAACAGTACAATAATATTACATCATTCACGTCAAATTTTGTTTTGTCATTCCCTAGTTGATGGATAACCACCTTGTTTCCATTTTTTTTGCTACCAAAAAGAGAGCTATGATGAATATTATGCTTCCTATACATTATAAAGCACTGAACATAGATAAAGGGTATTTTAAAGTTTACTGCAGTATAACTAACTTTCACTATCTCCCCAGTGTGGCTAAAGAGCTACTAAAAAGCTATAGTGAAGCAAATCTTGGAACTCCATAATCTCAGAAGAATCTAAATTGTAAGTGACCAAAAGGGCAATGCAGAAATGTATCCATGGTTGGAATTACGCAGGCGGCGGCATATGCTTAATTCTGTGCACATGAAGTACCATAAAAAAGATAATGAAGAGCCTGGATACAAGATGGCATCGGCCACTGGCTTCATCCAGTGGCTCAGGGAATGCGGCCTCCGGGCGTAATCTCCAAGTGAAATTGCAGTTACATTACCAGGAGATAGCTAAGAGAACTCAGCCACCTCCTAAGCTGCCAGTGGGTCCTAGCCATAAGTTTTCAAACAATTACTACTGCACTTGTGATGGACGTCGACAAGCTTCTCCTCCTTCAATCATAATGTCTACTGTGAAAGTTTTTGAGTCTGGTCTTCCTGTTCAAATGAGACTATGACAACTTCTGGGAAAAAGCCAATGATACCAGGACCCCCCTTGAAAAAGTGGGAACTGTCAAAGGATGAACCGTATTTGTGAAATGGACATGGGAAGATGGACATGCAGATGCTGAGAGATTGTGTCTTTAGGGGACTATCTTGAAGTCATGAGCTCAGCCGCAGAGGCATCAAGGAGGATCACACAGTGAACATTATATCATAATATTTTATCTTGGGGTAGGGGAGAAGCATATATCCTAATACACGATAAATACACTGACCTCTGGTTAAAAAAAAAAAGATAATGAAAAAAATGGTATAACAGGAAATGAAGTGGGTCAAGGATAACAGATCAACAGCTCAAGTACTAGACTGTTCTTTGAAGTGTCTAAAAAAAGACCTAGTTATAGTATCTAGTGTATTGGAGGAACCCCAATATCCTGGAGGATTTAAGGGAATGTATAGAAAAGAATGAACAAATAAGCATTTATCAAGCACTTACTAGGTGCAAAATTTTGGACTAAATATTGGAGATACATAAAAATAGAAAAGCAGACAGTTCCTGATTTCAAGGAGCTTGAGTTCTAATGACTGATGACAATACATAATAGGAAGTTTTCTGCTACAAGTCAGATGGAAAGGTCCTATAGTCCTCAGGGTAAGATCTTAGGATCTGTATGTGGTAATGCAACCTCTTTAATGTCAACTGCACTGATAAAACCTTATCTATTTCTGACTTCGACCACTGTCCAGTGCCAAAGACTTTGGTGGTGAGAACCTTCCTTTACAAGTTCTTTAGTAGCTTCTGAGTAGGAGTTCTTTATTAGCTGCTGAGAAGACCCTAGGGGCTACAGCATCTGCAGAAGTAATTGCCAGGTCACTTCTCTTCATAGGTTGCTTCCCTGGAAGATGACTGAGGAGGCTTGGCTATAATTATGCAGGACAAAAAGGTATGGATGAACTTTGATCTGTACCACTGGAGGGAGTGTCCATGTGAACTCAGATCATGGATCCAATCAAATGTAACTACTTTTGTTGGGATTATCATTTTGTAGTTTGGACAGGAGATTCTTTCCACTTACAATTGTTTTAATCCAGCTTCACAGATAAGGCTACTTCCCATTTAAAATTACCACTTGGCCTTTTTCTTCATTGATTAAGATGATCACAATTTGGTACAGTAGCGCCAAGATACACCAAATGATTAAAGGAGTTATTGCTTATATTCTTATAATTTTTAAATTATTAGCTTTGATGGATTCTAGTCCTTTAACATATTATGCATTTTAGATTTGTACTTAAAGCTACAATCTATTCTTTATAATTATGGAGCTGCACTTGGATTTCTCTAGAACAGTGATTTCACTTGGGGTAGGGAACTCCCATAAGGAAACTCTCTCCACCAATGCAGACTGGCAATTTGCATACAGCACTAAGATGTTAAGTGACTTGCCCAGTGCCATACTACCATGGTATTGGTCAATGGCAAAACTTGAACCTGAGTCTCCCTGGCTTCTATGCTGGGTCTCTATCCTTTATGCTATACTGCATTTAATAAGTATTTGTTAGTTTGTGTTGAATTTTACAACAAATCAACTCTCAGTGTAGTGCTTAACTCTCATATACCTTTTCCCTTCTCTCCATTTATACAGCCACAACTGTAGTTCAGGCCCTCATCCCCTTTCACCTGGACTATTGCAAAATTATTTTAACTGGTCTCCCTGCCCCAAGGCCCCTCCTACTCAAACTAACCTCCACTCAGCTGCCAACCTGATTTTTCTAAAGCACAAGTCTGACCCTGTCATCCTTCTGCTCAATGAGCTCTGGTGGTTCCTTATTACCTCCAAGATGAAATATAAAGTCTTAGGTTTGGCATTTAAAACTTTTAAGAACCTGGCCCTTTCTACCTTTCCTGTCTTCCTACACTTTGACCTCTTTCATATATCCTCTATGATCCAGCTAGACTGGACTATTTGTTACTCTAACATAAACACTCTACCTCCTGTCTTTCTGCCTTTTCAGTGGCTATCCCTTTGGAAAGCTCTGCCTCCTCACCACTACTTCTCTACTTTCCCCTGCCAGACTCAGCTCAAGCCCCACCTTCTGCAGGAAGCCTTTTCTCCTGCACCAAGATGCCAACGCCTACTGTCTCAGATTACCTTCCAGTCATCTACTCTGTATATATCTTGCATATAAGTAGTTATCTGCATGTTATCTTCTCCATTAGACCCTGAGCTCCTTGATAGCAGGAACTTTTTTTTTTTTGGCCTTTCTTTATATCCCCAGCTCTTTGCACAGTGCCTAACATAAAGGCTTAATAAATGTTTATTGACTGAATCAAATTCTCAAATATGGAAAGAGAAATCAAAGCCAATATCCAATAAGGTGGTAAAATTGAGAAAGAACTTTTACTTAACTTATATATGGGCCAGTGTCAGGAAGGCTTAAGTCCCACATAAGGCTGCCTGTAACCCTAATAAGTCACTTGACCTCTAAGTACTATAGACAGCTCTCAGAAGATTATAATTTACAGAGAAAGTGTTCATTTGCATTGGAAGAGTGTCTATTTGACAAAATAACAATTATGGGCAACCTATACCAATAAAGTTACAAATTAGGTAAAAATACTTATACGTTAAAATGCAAAGATTTTAAAACACTGAAGATCTACTGGAGTAGATAAAACATATGAGAGGAACCCATTTTTATTTCTCCTACAAAACTATCTTGCCTCAAATTTTATAAGTATTAAACATCTGACTGGCAGATATCTTGTTTTGCCAACTAATTTAAGGAGTTCCCTGAGGGCACAAACTAAATCTTCTATATCTTTTGCAAGCCTCCAGGCTACTTAAGGAACAGGTTGCTTGAAAAACAATTGTTGAAAGAATCTTTATAACACATAAAATATTAAAGGAAAAAAAGCCCATTAGAACCAGTAATTAAAATGTATGTAATCAATAGCTCCTTTAATCCATCTGTTAAGTCTTCATATCAGGGCAGCAAGTTCTACTTATCTTAATCAATGAAGAAAAAGGCCATGTGGTCACTTAAAATATGAACACTCTAGCATAGCTTTGACAATTGAACCATCAAAATAAGGCATTCAGGAGCAAATAGCATGTTGATGTCCAGCCAGATCACTGTCTTTTATTATTTTATCAGATAGCCTCATGAGCAACGCTTAGTTATAGGAAAGATAAGGACTCAGGATAACTTTTTTTCCTAGCTGAAGATGAAGCAAAGGCCATCAATAAACAACCAGAATCCACCACTATCTACTCCACAAGGTTCTTGTTAACATATCTCTATACAGAACTCCAAATGTGTAAACTAATTAGGAAAACCCATTAAATTCAGCAAAACGGTATCCAGCCCTTATTTCCCAGCTCTTTGTTAACACAAAAAGGTCTGTTATAAAAGAAAATGAAGTCTAGAAAGCAGTTCATTATTATCAAAGCATAAAAACATTGGAGATACATGCACTAGTAACAATGAAGGTCTTTTAATATTTTATAGAAATAAACACGAGAACACTGCACATATGAAAATGCTTTTAGACGTGGATTTCTCTTTTTAATGACTGTACAGCCGACTGAACAAAGCCTGTCTGGGTTTTTAAAGCCTTTCTTAATATAGTTCCACTCCCCTATCCAACTACCTATTCTACAGCTGTTCAACCCAAACTGTCTGGTCTAGTCAGATCCATTTCCTCCTGGAGTCCTGTAAAATACAAGACTGCACTCTTACCTGTCCTCGGTGACCCCCATCTATCCACTTATCTTTTCCCACAGCCGTCCAACCCAAACTCTCTGATCAAATCCGATCCATCTCCTCCCGGTCACCTGTCCTAGGTGATTCCCTACCCTCCCAACCTGGAATGCCCTTTCACCATCCTTCAAGCTAGGTGACACCTCCCCCCACTTGGAATATGCTCTCTCCCCATCCTGCAAGGCTATGCTCGAGACCTACACTTTCTTCCACTTTCCTACCTGTACTTAAGATTCAGTATCATAGTTTAGGCCCTGACTAATTTCATAAACGTTCACGGATCCGGTGACTAGCTCAGGCTCCTGAGTATCAAAGGCGCTCAAACATTAAATAACTTCTAAGAAAAATCCGCCCCAGCTGGCACCCGGGCACGAGGGAGGCGGGGGAGGGCTGGTGGTCCTCCCCTCCAGGGTGCAGCAGGAGCAACTCCAAGTCCCGACCCCGGGGGACACACCCCCTCCCCTTCTCCACGCGGGGGACACAGTAGGTGCTTAATAAACGCTTATTTTCCTCCGGACTTTCTCCTGCTCTCCCTCACTTCTTTCTTTCTTTCCTTCAGCTCTCGGCAGGGACGTGGCCCGGGCTCGGGAAGGGGGGAGTGGCACCGATGTATCCCGCGGGGCGGTGACGGAGAGGAGGTGGCCCCGACCCGCCCCCACAGCCCTCCTCCCTCCTTTCCCCATCCCAGCCCCCATCCCCGCCCCGCTCTCCCGGCCCCGGGGATGCTCACTGCCGAGGCCTTTGGCCTGGTGGAGAAGAGGCTCCTCGTCTCCTTCCCGCGACTCCCCCGGACGCTGCTCGGGCTCATTCCCTGCCTCGGCCGCCTCTTCGGGGCTACCCCCGGCCGGAGGTTCACCCCCTGCGGACGCCTGTTCCAAGCCAAACCAGCTGCCCAGACTCCGCAACATCCCGCCCGCCCGGCCTCAGGCGACCGCAGAGAGCCCCGTCACCAGGGTCCCGTAGCAGCAACCGCCGCCGCCTCTGGGTTCAACTTGCCAGTTTCCCTGAGTTCGCCGGAAGCCGTTCAGACTCAGATCACATGAACGGCCGCTCTACCCGCCCCTACTCCTCTATGGTCTTACACGTCACTTCCGGCGTGGCCAGCGTTGTGGCGTTCACTCGGGCTGGCTTGAGGATTGGTGAATGACAATAAACTTTGTTCTGGAGTTTAGGCTTGGACGCAGGAATGACCTTCTGTAGCCTCGTCATTGGCCACTCCCTTGCTCAGGTCATCCGAGAGCTGCCGAAACCAAAATACGCCTTGCCCTTAAGAAACTAATAGTCTACAGAGTGGAGATTCAGGACAAATACACAAATATAGAGGTCCCTATAGCGTGATAAGATTTGAGAAAGAAAAAAATAAAGCTTCAGTTAGGAGCATCTGCTCTTTGCTTCTGCAGGCTCTTCCCAGGAATGATAATAATGACAACAACAACAATGATATTGATATAGTGCTTACTGTGCCCTAGGCACTGTTAAGTGCTTTACAATTAATAATAGCTAACATTTATATAGAGCTTACAATTATGATCTCATTTCATCCTCACAAGCCTGGCAGGTGGGTGCTCTTATTATCCCCATTTTACAGATGATGGAACAGGCAGAGGTGAAGTGATTTCCCCAGGGTCACATAGCTAGTGAGTGAGGTCAAATTTGGACTGTCAGGTCGGCCTGACTCTAGGCCCATTGCTTCATCCACTGACCACCTAGTTCCTTCAGCAGGTAGAAAAGCAAAGAATAACAACAGATGGACAGCCTATGTTCCATCAGAACATACATTGTCAAAAGAACTCTTTTGGAAGAATTAGGGAAGGACAAGTTTCTCAATAGATGAGAAGATGAAAAGAGGAAGGTGTTCTTAATCTTTTTGTATGCCATTGAATCCTCTGGCAGTCTTGCTGAAGTCAGATTTGAGAGAGGTTCAGGTGTGAAAGAATTCACTTAGACCTCTGTAGCCACTGGTGATAAGTTCAAGGTGGACCCCAAGAATGTTGGGGTGCTACCTGAAATGATAAGGAATAGTGCCCTGAAAGAATTTACTTTGACAGTCTCCAAGTTCAAGAAAGGCATTTATTAGGGTGATGTAGAATAAAGTACAATAAAACTCCTCAAGCATGCTAACTTGGTGATTCAAGGAGGGATTAGGGAGTGGTTAAGGAGTGATCAGTTCTTAAAGGAACATTCACTTCTTGTATCTACTGCACAAGTGTTTTACCCAGAATTCACTAGGAAAAGCTCACAAAAGGGGGGGCCACAGGGAGGTGTGGTTTTAGGCCTGCTACATCACTGTGTTAACTAGAGTTCAGGGGTAAATGAGAGTTATCCAGTCCGTCACCAGTGAATGTCTTGTTTGGCAAGATAGATGTAGGGAGTATATATATGTCTTAGGTCTAGAATATAGATAATGAGCAGTCTAAGATGTAGATAATGAAGTAAGGTGGTAGTATAGATAGTCCAGTGGGTAAGATGTCTTTATGACCCAGTGCAAGGCCAGTTCAAACTAATAATTCCTTCAGGTGCTGTTTGTTACTAGGGAGAGAGATAAGGGTCTTGCTGTGGCCCACTCATGAGTAATTGCTAGGCACAGTGTCCTTGGCCTGGGGAGAAATTGTCAGAGACAGTATTTTTGAGACTAGGGAAAAATTGGGGTCCAAATACAAGCACAAGCACCCAAACACCACGTCACTATCTCACATCCTGCTTGCCCCATCTGCCTCAAGCACTCATTTCCACCTCATCAGTCTGATGAAGCCTAGGGACCCTCTTTTTGGAATAATGTTTTAAATGCATAAAATAAATACATAGGAAACCAATTACACTGAAATAAAGATGTAATTTTTCCCCTATCAAAGTTTATGCATGCCCTGAAATCAATGCATGGGCTCCTTAGAAGTCCACGGACTACAGGTTCAGAACCCTTGTGACAGAGGGAGTACCCACATTGATAAAATCTACCATCCATCCTTTTTGTAAAAGAGGTAAATTGGAAAAATACCTGACCAAATTGGGGAATTTTCTGAAAAACAAAAACAACCTGATAACAGAATGTGTTCTTAAAAAACCTGGTAATTTAAGAGAGGTTATTTTTTGCCTCTCATAAAACTAAATAAATTTCTCGATTAATCCAATGGGATTGTAAAGTTAAAGTAATTGATGGAGCATAAGGTATTTCTGATTGGCTAAGAGGATAGATAATGCCCCTTATGGTCTACATGAAAGATAAGCTAACTCTGCTCTGAGATAGAATTCAAGATACAGTTCAAGGGAGCGTTTTGCAGCATTAGGAAAGGGAAAGAATTTCTTTCCTCTCAGCCACTCCATCAAAGGAACTAGTAGACTAAGATTTTAAATCCAAATCACTGGGGTATTGTTACCCTTGAAAGATAACAATAAGCCCCAACCTGATCCTCTGTGGCTTATTGTTTAGGTTTTGGTGTGTGGGTTGTGTTTTTTTTTAATTTTAGAGGCAATGGACGTTAAACAACTTGCCCAGGGTCACACAGCTAGCTAGTAAGTGTCTGAGGCCAGATTTGAGCTCAGGTCCTCCTGACTCCAGCGCCAGTGCTCTATCTGCTCAGGCCAGAAACTCTGAAGGCTCTTCCCCTCCCAGACTGATATCTTTGTGAGGATGAATTGGGCCATCTTTTGCCTCAATTCTTACCCAGCTCTTAGTCATTGAATGGGTGTGGCCTCAGACAAATTGAAACCTGGGAAAGACCTAAATTTAGAGATCAAGTGGTCAGCTTCACCTACTTCATCCAGGACCTTCAATGATTCTGGAGGAGAGAGTGAGACTGATGACTTTGCCCAGTCTGCCTCACTTCGATCCAATTCATTTTCAAGTCAGGATGTCACCCTTGTGACATCATAGTCCTCTTTGAGAATGAAGGCTGAACAACAAACAACCAGTCTGTCAGCAATGGCTTCTTGTAATAGAAGCACATGGCTGTAGGAGATGCTTGCTTTACACTCAGCCAGAGAGGAGAATTCAAGGACTTTTCGCTGTGAACACCAGCTTTCTATGTTGAAGCTCAGAGACTGTTGCCTGGAACAGGGATCCTGTTGTTCAGACTTTGGCAGTCCTCAGAGCCTAAACTTCAAGGGGGCTGAACTAGGGATATTTCCTTCTGGTCCTAAGGTTCTGGTTCTTTATGAACGAGTCAAACAAAGCTCCAGCTAAAGATTCAGTTAGCCAAAAGCTGGGGGCTGCAAGACTATGTCCTACTGGCAATGTGCCCAGCAGAAAGCAGTTTTTGACTTCATAACAAAAAGCAAGGCAGGGACATCACAAGAGGCCATCAGGAGCCCTGCAGTTTTGGAGCTGAGTTTCTCAATTTACATATATTCCTCATGTTTGGTTCCCCTTATGCTTGATCTCCATATTTGCTGACTTTCCAATATGAGAATATATGTCCTAAGATTTTGGGGAAATGCTCAAAAGTAAACCTCTTACTATGCTCCAATAAAATCCCTTTGCTCTAAGCTGTTTCCTCTGGCTTCCTACTGAAAGGTAAATATGGCAGGTGGGACACAGGAGTTATGTTTTAGGATTGCAGACCCAACTTGAACCTGGAGAAGTTATCATCTAAGGGAGTCAACCTGGAAGTTGGAGTTGGGGGTTAGCCCAAAGGGGCCTTACATATTGAAATAGTAGATATTTGAGAACAGAAACGTGAAATCTCACTTTTTGTCATATGAGCATTTTAATGACTCTTCATATTGTGTGATAGGCAGAAGTGGCTTCCATTCCTATGTCTCCATTTGTTTTCTAAGGCATCAGACACTCTACCCCATTTGATGAGGCCTATGCTTCCTAGACTCCTTTCCTGACTCTGTACCACAGAAAAGATATAAATGGTAAACAGGAAAGCTTCTGAAAGAAGGATGGAGCCATTTAATGAGGGATTGATCTTTATATTTCTTTTGAATATCCTTCAACCCAAGCACAATTATTAGATCTCATGAATATAATAAGCATTCAGTAAATACTTGTCTAATGAATCAATGAAAAACATCCCCTAACTCCCATGCCCTACGGCTAAACCACTCTCTAGTATTTAATTTTGTCTACCTTTTCTGGGGACTGGACAATAGAGCTCCTGGCCTGGAGTCAGGAAAACCTGAGTTCAAAGATGCCTCAGACAGCTTACTTAGCTGTGTGATCCTGGGCAACTCACTTAACCCTGTTTGCCTCAGTTGCCATCTGCAAAATGAGGTGGAGAAGAAAATAGAAAAACCACTCCTAAACCTCTACCAAGAAAACCCCAAGTGGAGTCAGAAAGAGTCAGACACAACTGAACGACAACCAAAAACCCCCACCTTTTTTTGCAGGCCTTTTGAAAATGAGAAAAATTATACCACCATTTTTTTTGTTTGTTTACCTCTCTCCTGAAGCATTCTCTAGACTAAAAGTGTTCTCTCATTCCTCACATTTTCTTAGAGCAATTTATACGGAGCTTTACTTTGACCCTATTACACTTAACTTGGCATTATACTTATTTTTGCACATGTTATATTTTATCTACTCCAGCTCTTCAAATTGACCATAAACTCTTTGAGGATAGGGTTTGCATCTTTTTCATCTGTGTACCTTCAACACCTACTCCTAATACCTTGTGGAGAGGGGGGAGGAGGAAGTCAATAAATGTTGAATAGACAAAATACTTTCCATCTGACAATTTCAAATTACTTTCACAAGCATCCAACTCACCAGTCTTCACAGGAGTCCAGTGAGATGAATGAAAATGACAAGATCATTAAATCCTACCTAACTCTACTACCTGTACGCCTGTTCAAATTCAAAACTTTGGACTTCTGTTTCTTGTTTTTCAAAATGAGTGGGTGAGACTAATGATTCCTAAAAGTCCCTTCCAGCTCAGAATTCTATGATGCTTATTTTATAGAGGGAGGCATATCTGGAACTATGGGGTTTTTAAAATCTTTTTGCTGACATGAAAGGGCAAACAGTGGAAACTGCTTCACAAGAGCTGGGTTCACATCACAGCTTCACCACTTACCTATAGAACCTTAGGCAACCTTAGGTTAACCTAGTTAACCTCTTTTGGGCCTTAGACTTCTCATCTATAAGAGAAGGGAGTTAGACTGGGTAAACTTGAGGTTCTTTTTAGCTCTCAATCTTTAATCTTATGGATGACTGGATTTACTCTCAGAGAAAATGTTAGGTGAAAGAAAAAAGGGAAACGTTACAAGGAGAGGAGTCACAAGGACTATTCATTTAGTTTTATTGATACCTTTTGTTTCGACATCACATTAGATTCTGAATATAACCTTCCCTCCTCCCTAATCCATCTGACCTGCCCTTGTAACAAAGATTAAAATGGAATAAAATATTAAAAGAATAACCAGTTCACCATAACTAACCAGCACAGTGATCCCCATCTGACAGGAAACGCAACATTCCATAGCCATAGAACTCTCCACCTCATCAAAGGAGGCCTCCTTTCTCAACTCTTAACTTTTTTTTTTTAGTTATGAACTAAAAAAAAAAATTGATCTCAGGCACACAGCAGAACATAAAAAGAAGATTCTATATGAAATCATAAACCTCCATTTCACATTGCTTGCTTTTGAAACTAGAAGGACCAGGTGAGTAATTGACATGGAAATTTGCTTGGTTTTTGGAGGTATTCCTTAAATTCCGGTCCTTCTAGTAAAATATAGGATGTTCCAAAAGTCTTAGTGTAGATTTAAGCTATTTAAGCTTAGTGTAGTTTAAACTATGAAAATTAGGACTGCACAAAGATTTTAGGGACATTATATACATAATATGTGTGTCTGTATATTGATATAGGGTGTATATATTGTACATACATATAGTGCATATGTACTGATGTATTGTGTGTATATATTAATGTCTATATATTTATATATCAATATATTCACAACATACAAATATATGTGTATTGTATATATAAATATCTATTGGTATATAGTGATACTATGTGTGTATATGTTGATATATAGTATGTATATATCAGTATATATACAGATATATACAAATATGCTTATTGGGTTTGTATCAATATATGCTGATATGTGTATACTATATGTGTATATATTTATATTTTATATATATTGCTATATACTACACATATATAAATATGTGTATTGTGTATGTATCAATCTATATAGATATATTTGTTGTCCTTCAGCCATTTTCAGTCCTGTTTGACTCTTCATGACCCCATTCAGGGTTTTCTATCTTTATAGATATATCCACACACTATATATGTGTATGTTTACGTTGATATAGAGTGTATATAGTGTATGTACTGATATACAATTTATATACTACATCAATATATACATATAAGATGTTATTGTATACATGTTATACAGATATATCTATACTATATACTGTGTTGGTATTGATATATCATATGTATATGTTGATATGAGTATATCAATATGCATAATATACAAATATGTGTATTATGTATACATAAAAATATAGACAACTATACTATATAGATGTATATTGATATATAATGTATGTGTTGATATATCAATATATATTAATATGCCAACATAAATGCCCATATATACAAACATGTATACACACACACACTCCCTTATACAATCTACACCTTACTTTCAAGAGTGTACCACGTAGAGGAGTTCCCTGCTGAACTTTCTTCTGTTCTCTTTGGTGAATTTAAAAAAAAATGTTACAGTGTTTTTTTTTTTTTTTTGCGGGAGGGAGGAAGGGCACATCATTATTGCTAACTTCCTTTCCCCAACACATTAAAAGCCAAGAGAAAACCCTTGCAATCAGAGTTATGTAAGCATAGTTTCATAAAAGGAATGCATGCAGTGGCCATCCGCGGACTCATTGTTATTTTTTTTAACCATGAAAGCTTATTAAAAATAACGCACAGCACCGCGAATTCCTAGGGCTGCCTGATAAACAAGGTTCATTTGCAAACCGGGCGGAGTGAAAAAGGACCGCGTAGTAGCAAATCTAGAAAACCCAAACCGAAGGAACCGGGTCGGAGTTAGCAGGGGCTTTGGATTCGGTGCGCCCTCTCTCGGAGTATCGGCATTGCTCCCCCTCCCCCCAGTCCTGCGCTAACCACGGCCCCCGGGGCCAGAGCCCGGAGGCTGCGCCACAGACAGGTGAGCTAAGAAGTGGCCTGGGGGGCGGGGCGGGGTCGGTGGGAGGAGCTTGTGCTGCCGCCCCCGCCCTCACAACTCCACCTCGAGGCTCCCGGCTCAGGTAATTCCTCTCCTTGCACGCGCGGGGCCGGGGTCTCCATCTGCAGCCCGCGCTGGGCCCGCGTGCTCCCTAGGCTCCCCGTTCCCTCTCTTCACTCCTGGGGACGGATGCATGCCTTGGGGATCGGGCGGGACTCCCTCCTCCTCCCCCCCAGCCCTGGGCCTTTGCATTAGATTCCGCACACCTCCCCTCCTTGCTTCCTTCCTTCCCTTCTCTTTGCAGTGCATGAGTGGAGGCACTAGGAAGAGGAGTAGAGGTCCAGAACCCCGGCACTAGCGTTCATGCGTGGCCCAACTGCGGGCCCCGAACTCCGGGACTGGGCGCTCCGAACCTTACCCCGGGACGGCCTCCTTTGTCTGGCACCTTGGGGGTGGTGTCTTCTGTCCCCCAGTCCGCCTAAGCGCTTGTCCTTCACCCCGCATTTTCCGGCAAGAGTTAAGTTCCCTAACGCTCCCCTCTCTCCTTCCTTCCCTGGGAGTTGGGAATCACTGACCCGCAGCCCGGGAAGCGTTTTACAACCTTCTCTTGAAAAATAATTTTTAAGAATGGGGTGGGGGGGAAATAGGAGCGGTGAAATGAACTCAGGTAGGGAGGTCCAAGCTGGGGGGGGAGGGGAGGGAGGAGCCCATAGATTGAGATCGTAAGTAGCCAGTGTCCTGAAAGGAAGTCAGCCTCCTTTTGCCACCCTTGCACCTGCTTCTCTCTAGTAAGTAAAGCTCCCTTCTGCTTATCTTTGCTTGGGCTCCACCCGCTTGCGTGATTTCAAAAAAAAGGTTAAATTAACTCCAACCGCTGCCTTAGTTCCCCGCAACTTTTCCTCCCCGAAAACATCTAGTTTTAGTCCAAAATACGTTTCCTTTTTAACTAGGCTTTTTTTTTTTTTGGGTGGGGGTAGGGGAGGAGTCATTGGAGAGGGATGATTTTTTTTAACCCCTCTTGGAGGACTGCTCCCCCTGTGGAGCAGTGAATAGAAGGGGTGTCTGCGCCTTTGCTTTAATTTCTGCTGGTTAAATCAACACCTTGCTTTCCCTCCGTCTAGAGAAAAGTTTGTTGTTGTTTTTAAACAGAGCCCATAAAGAATGAAAGACTTGAGTCCATTTTGTTATTTGAAATGTTTCAGAATTTCTAAAAGTAATAAAATTACTCAAATAATGATGACTGACATCATGTCTGAAGCTTCTTATGATTAGAAGGGCTTTTCCAGTAGCTGAAGCCTCAGACAGTGAAGGGGAAGGCTTACTCTCTCTTAAACTAGAACTGAACTCTAGTGAGAGAAACCTTAGGGTTACTAAAGCAGACGTGAAACTTGCATGAGGCAAGACTATGCAAGACGTCACAGGAGGGTGGCGGGTGTTTGTTTGGATAAATAGCTGGCCACCAAGCATAGTTTTATATGGGACTAGACTTCCTTTCAAAATTATTCTCTTTCCAATAATAACAAAAGTTCATGGTCATAACATGCTTTAATGTTTCAAAAATACTTGTCTCAAAGAGAAGTTTGTAAGTGGCTTACACATTAGAGACAGACTTGTTCATATATGTGTTTAAAAAATTTTTTTTAAAGGCATTTGGAGTTAAATGACTTGCCCAGGGTCACATGGCTAGTAAGTGTCAAGTGTTTGGTGTGAGGTGCAATTTGAACTCAGGTCCTCCTGACTCCAGGGCAGGTGTTCTATCCACTGTGCCACCTAGCTGCCCCCATATATCTGTTTTAAAGGGCAGTTTTGATTTATTGGTCATTAACTATTTGTTGGGGCAAGTCAGTTTGAGGATGAGATGAACTCAGAACTTGGTATCTTAATATCCATTCCAGGGATCTATAAAGTACAAAAGGATCGTGTCTCTCCTAGGCTTATATTGGATGGAGAGAGAAGACATTTGACAGTATCAATAAGAGAACAGATCCATGGTGGAATGGGCAATGGAACCAGTAGTGTGAAGGAACTATCATCATTATGAGCACCTCAAACTTAGGACTCTAGAAATAGGGTTTATAGTAATAGCTCACATTCATAAAATGCTTGTAAAGTACTTTCCTCATTGGGAAGTAGATTGCAAATATCCTCCATTTTCTAACACCTGGTCGTCCCCCCCACCCCACCCCAACCCCGCGCAAAAAAAAAAACGAGATAAGGAGAGGCTGTGACTTACCTTTTAAAAAATTAAATGTTCTGTTGAAGTTTTAAAAAAATCACTCTCCAATGACTCTCTCCCTACCCCCCACCCCCCCAAAAAAAAGGCTAGTTAAAAAGGATACATGTTTTGGACTCAAACTAGAATATTAAAAAGAACTTACTACATCTGAAATTTAAAGGCACCCACTTGTACTATAGGAGTTAGAAACATTTGAAAAAAGAGCACATTTACTGTCCTCTACACCATATATATGTATATTACAAGTGTGTAATAAAATGGCATCTTTAAGTTAAAGCTTGACTTGGAAAGCAAAAGAAGGAAACATTGTATATGTTGATATCCAGTTTTGGATGTGTTGGTGAGAAGTAGTGATGGGGGCCTGGTAGCAGTGCTAAAGCTATGATTATTGCTAACATTGCTACCCTACTAGATAGAATCCCAGATGGGAAATCAGGTAGAGCTAAATCTTCCCAGAAGCTTTCCAAAATGAAGAGGTGGTGGTGGTGGGGAGCGACACGAAGAGAAAATAGTACCTGTCCTATATTTACTGCACCACGAAATCTTTTTTTTTTCTTCTTACTGGCTACCTAAATATGACAGGCCTGAATTAACTGTCCTGAATAAAAGAGGGCAGGTTCTTTAATCTTAGTTTTTTTATGAGTGGGGATGAATAGAATTTCTCTAAGAAAATAGATAGGTGTCTTTGCCTGCATAGAATACTTATCACTTTCTGCTGCTGAAAGCAAAAGTTAGTAGAAAATCTGGTAAATAGGATCTTTTTTAAATGTTTATAACTCTGACAGTAGAAGTATTTTTGAAATTCAGGTGTAAGCTGTTTTTACTTTATTTAGTTTGACTCAAAGTATCCTTTTTATGAAAAAATAAAACACAACAGTCTTCCTATGCTGTGATAACTGCTGTTTCTTTCAGATTCCTGATCTGGGCTCTGGCCTCTGGCCATTGGGCTGCCAATGAAGTATATCCTGGTCACTGGTGGGGTCATCTCCGGCATCGGAAAAGGGATCATTGCAAGCAGCATCGGTACTATCCTAAAATCATGTGGCCTCCGAGTGACTGCCATCAAAATCGATCCTTACATTAACATTGATGCTGGAACCTTTTCGCCATATGAGCATGGTATAGTAGAGAGTACAGTTTTGTTGCTGTTTATTACGATTCATCTTTTTTAGGGATGTTGGCATATTTTTTGGAAGAAAATAAAAAATTTGAATGAGAGTGAGCTATATTAGGATGCCCTTCTTTTGGATTTTTTGTTGTTTGGTTAATTTCAGTCATGTCTGACTCTTTCTGACCCCTTTTTCAGGTTTTCTTGGCAAAGATACTGGAGTGGTTTGCCATTTCCTTCTGCAGCTCACTTTGCAAATGAGGAAACTGAGGCAAACAGGGTTAAGTGATTTGCTCAGGGTCACAGTAAGTGTCTGAGGCCAGATTTGCACTAATGCAGATGAGTCTTCCTGACTTCAGGCCTGGCACATTATCCACTGTACCATCCTGCTCCATTCTTTTGGATTAGGCTTGCTCAGTTTCCTGGCTTCTAGAAGTTTTTTACACTTATGTCATTGCCTCAGCCAGTTATTTAAGAAAACACAACTGACCTGTAGCCTGAAACTTTTTTCTTGTAATAGTATTTTATTTTTTTCAATTACATTTAAAGATGGTTTTCAGCATTCATTTTGTAAGATTTTGAGTTCCAAATTTTTCTTCCTCTCTCCCTTCCCTCCACCCTCCCCAAGATAGCAAACAGTCTGCTGTAGGTTATAAGAATACAGTCATGTTAAACATAGTTCCACATTAGTCATATTGTGAAAGAAGAACCAAAATGAAAAGGGAAAAAACAAAACAACAAAAAAGTGAAAATAGTATACTTCAGTCTGCATTTAGACTCCATAGTTCTTTCTCTGGATGTGATAGCATTTGCCATCATGAGTCTTTTGGAATTGTCTTGGTAGTTGATCATCGTACAGTGTTAGCCTGAAATTTTTGAATGAGCTCTTTTTCCTCAGAAAATGGCTCTTAACTTTGAAGCCATTTAAAAAAAAGTATTGGACTTCTGACTTTATCAGTATGGGACATTCCTTCTACAGATGGCTTGTAAACAGTACAGATGGCCTGGAACAATGAGAGGTTGAGCCCTTGGTCACACAGCTAGTATGTATCAGAAGCAGGAGTTGAATCCAGATTATCTTGACTCTAAGGTTAATTTTTTATCCACTAGTCCACAGCATCTCTCAGTGTACTTCCTTGTGAGTAGAGACTGCTTCATTTGTTGTATGTGTATCTCTGTTACCTAGCACAATGCCTGGCACATAGAAGATACTTAATAAATGCTTGTTGATTTGATTTAAAATTTCCTAAATTGGTACCTAACGTTGTCTGTAAAGAGGCTTTTAAAGTGTAAATGGAAGCTTTTGAATTACTTTCATGTGTTTCTCCTTGACCCCCTTGTTGGTTCACTTGTCAGACCTGAAGTAATTTCAAACCAATTTTACTAATAGCCTAATTCAGACACAGTTAAGTGAGATTTCAGCTTACTCCAAAATCAAGTAAGTTAATCCCTACTATTTTTTTTAAGCATAGGTAACTTAAAGTTGCTTCAGTAATTTAGAGTTGAAAACACAATTGAATGGGGTTGGATGGACTCCAGAAGGGAAGGTGGAGAATGGGCAGTTTGGGGTAGTTCAAAGATAAGTATTGAATAAGATTTATTTATTTAGTTAGTTTTAGTTTTCAACATTTACTTTTATAAAATTTTGAGTTCTACATTTCCCCCTCTCTTTCAACTCACTCCTCCCCAAGATGGCATGTAATCTGATACATGTATAGCCATATTAAACATATTCCTACGTTAGTCGTGTTGTGAAAGAAGAATCAGAGCAAAAGAGAAAAAACATGAGAAAGAAAAAACAAAAAAACCAAGTGAAAATAGTATGAGTTGGTCTGCATTCAGACTCCATAGTTCCTTCTCTGGATGTGGATAGCATTTTCCATCATGAGTCTTTTGGAATTGTCTTAGATCATTGTAATGACTCAGAAGAGCTAGGTCTGACAAAGCCGGTCATTGTACAATGTTGCTGTTACTGTGTATAGTGTTCTCCTGGTTTTGCTCACTTCGCTCAGCACCAGTTCATGCAAATCTTTCTAGGTTTTTCTAAAATCCACCTGCTCACCATTTCTTATGGAACAATAGTATTCCATTACATTCATATACCACAACTTGTTCAGTCATTCCCCAGTGGATGGGCAACCCCTCATTTTCCAAGTTTTTGCCACCACTAAAAGAGCTGCCACAGATATTTTTGTACATGTAGATCCTTTCCACTTTTTTATGATCTCTTTGGGATACAGATTTAGTATTGAATAAGATTTTTGAAATGTGAAAAATTAGCAATAGGAAGTTGGGAAAGGGAGAGACAGACAGACACAGACAAACAATGAGAGAGATACACACAGACAGAGACACAGAGACAGGGAGAGAGACACAAAGAGACACACAGACCCAGAGAAAGAGAGAGACACACACAGATAAATGATATGAGACTGAGACAGAGAGCATGAGCGAGGGCAAAAATGAAAAGCTGTTGGCTGTCAGAGTTGTTTAACTTTATGATGATAGTGACTCTCAGTATAAGACCTTGGGCAAATCAGTCAAACACTTGGGCTCCAGTTTCCTCAGCTGTACAGTGAGGGGCTTGAAAGGGATCTCTAAAATCCTTTCAAACTCTTACTTCATGATTCCTTGAATAATTGAATAATGAAATCTATAAATCATCAATCAGCAAACATTTATTAAGCACCTACTGTGTGCCTGACACTGTGCTAAGTGCCGGAGATACCAAGACAAAAGTGAAACGTTTCCTGACCTCAAGAAACTTATATTCTAACGGGGGAGATTACTTGTACACATATGAGGATTTGAAAAATGGAGCTGAGGCAATTTTTTTGGGGGGTGCCCTATCAGGAATCATAAAAGACTTCATAGGGATGCTCAAACTGAGTTTTGAAGAGAAGCAGGGATTACAAGAGGTGGAGTTGAGGAAGGAGTACATTCCAGTCATGGGGGCCAGGTGGCAGACTGTAATGCAATGGAGATAGAAGATGGAGTATAGTGTGTTCAGAACAGCCAGTGGGCCAATGTTGCTGGAGTACATAGAAGGTGGTGGTGGTGTTCATTTGTGTCCTATGCTTTGTGACCCTGTAGACCGTATTGCCCGTGGGGTTTTCTTGGCAAAGATACTGGAATGGTTTTCTATTTCTTTTTCCAGTGGATTAAGGCAAACAGTAGTTAAGTGACTTGCCCAGGGTCACACACCTTAGTAAAGTATCTGAGGCTGGATCTGAACTCAGGTCTTCCTGATTCCGGGCCCAGAGCCTCCAGCTTCACATTAGGTAGTAATATATAAAAAGATTGGAAAGTTAGGAAGGGGCTAGGTTGTAAAGAGATTTAAATGACCAAGTGGAGTTTAGATTTGGTCCTACAGATATCCACTGAAGTTTATTGAGTGGGGTGTGTGTGTGTGTGTCTGTGCGTGTGAGAGAGAGAGAGAGAGAGAGAGAGAGAGAGAGAGAGAGAGAGAGAGAGAGAGAGAGAGAGAGAGAGAGAGGGAGAGGGAGAGAGAGACAGAGAGAGAAAGACATGGCAGACCTGTGTTTTAGGAAAATCACTTTGGCAGCTGTATGGAGGATAGATTGAAGTGGGGAGAGAACTGAGGCAAGGATGCCAATAGACTATTACAATAATACAGACTAGAGGTTATGACGACCTGAATTAGATAGTGAGGTGGCTGTCTAAGTGGTGAGGTAAGGATGTGTATGGGAGATGTTATGGAGTTAGAAATAAGATTTGGCAATTGATTAGATATGTGGGCTGGATGGGAAGTAAATAAGGAGACCAAGATTGTGAACCTGGGTCACTAGAAAGTTGGTGGTACTCTCAGTAGTAATAGGGGAATTTGGAAGAGGAGTGGGTTTTGAGGGAAAGATAATGAGTTGTGCTTTAGACCTGTTTGAAATATCTGTAAGTAGTTGGGAATATGGAACAGGAGCTCAAGGGAACTGCAGGTAGAGATCTGAGAGTCACCTACATAGGGCCATGTGCTGTTTGTCCTTTGCTCTTGGAGAGGACTATGACATCAGGAAGGTGATGCCATGACATGCAAGTGAATTGGATTTAAGTGAGAGGGGGTTGTGCAGAATCACCAGCCTTACTTTTTCTTCTGGAGCCATCTGGGTCCATTGGCCAGATATAGATCAGGACAACTGGAGATGGCCCAGGATGCACTGGGGGACCTTGGCCTTTTCAAGCTAAGGTCTTCGACAGGTCCCAGCTTGACTGAGGCAAAGCCCATTCAGTGATTAAGGCTTAATAAGAAAAGAGGCAAAGAATGACCTCTTTAAAAAAAATATAGATCTGGGAGGGGAAGACCTCAGGGTTTCTGGTCAAAACAAAAACAATTGCATTTACATTCATTCTGAGCCAATCATTGAGGACTGTAGCAACAGGGAGGTGATGCTATGACTTGTAAGTGAATGGATTAAAGTGAGGGATGGTTATACAAAATCACCAGTCTTACTTTTGGAGTCACATGAGATAAAAGAGCCCAGGGTGCTGGCCACAATTATTAATATTGATGATGAATGAACCAGCAAAGGAGATTGAGAAGATGGTGTCAACTACGTAGTAGGAGAACAAGAAGAGAGTATTGTTGTTCAGTCTTTCAGCCGTAACCACATGGACCCCAGCATGCCAGGCCCTTCTGTCTTTCATTATCTCTCGAAGTCTGCCCAAGTTCATGTTTGTCACTTCCATGACGCTATCTATCCATCTCATCTTCTGCTGTCCCCTTTTCTTTTCGCCTTCAGTCTTTTCCAGCATCAAGGTCTTTTCCAATGAGTCCACTCTTTTCATTATGTAGACAAAGTACAAGAGAGAGTAGGGTCACAAAAGCTGAAAGAAGAGGTGGCATGTAGGAGGAGAGGATAGTCAATGATGTTAAATGCTATAAAGAAGTAGGAAAGATGAGGATTGAGAAGAGGCCATTACATTTAGCAATTATGAGAGCATTGGTAAGAGAGTGGTTTCATTGCAGTGGTAAGGTTGGAAGCCAGATTTCTGAGTGCGTTAAAGAGTAAGAGGAGAACAAATGGAAGCATTGAATATAGATAGCTTTTTCAAGGAATTTAGCTAACAGAGAGAAGAGATAGAGGACGTATTTAGTGAGGATGGTTAGCTCTAGTGAGAGTTTTTCTTTAATTTTAGGGATTGGGGAGACTTGGGTATGTTTGTAGTCAGCAAAGAAGGAACTAGTAAACAGAAAAAGATTAGAGAGAGGGAATAATATTGGGTTCAATCCTGTGGAGATGACAGAATTTTTTCAGTACAGGTTTTTAAAATAATTTCTTTTAACAGGCTTTTAAAATAATGTTAATGCTAATCACAAAAGCAGTGTTTCCATACTTTTTGGAGTTAGTTTTGATGTTACAACTACTGTCTTAAATCCAGAAAAGTCCTTTGTGTTTTGAAAATTTACTTTTTTTGGGGGGGGGAGGCAGTCAGGGTTAAGTGACTTGCCCAGGTTCACACAGCTAGTAAAGTGTCTGAGGCTGGATTTAAACTCAGGTTGTCTTGACTTCAGGGCTGGTGTTCTATCTATTGTACCACCTAGCTGCCTGTGAAAATTCACTTTCAAAATGAAATGAATTCAAAGAAAACCTGCTAATTTCACTATATCCCCAAAATAATTGAAGATGCATTGGGGTGTCACAGGATTAGGGCACATGGCCTACCCTGAGAATTTGGAAACACAAGAAAATTGCTGCCAAAGGAAGTGTTCAAGATAATAGGACCTTTGCTTCTTTAGGCAATCCTGGGTTAATGGATTAACATGAATTTTAAGCAGGAAGTAAATCAACTGTGTGTTAAGCACAGACAATTATAATCATGAGTTCTTTCAATTTGCCTTTTTTTTTTTTGCAGCTTTAGAGTAAGAGAGGGTTGCTAGACAGAACACTTATAAGAGTTACCATGAGAAATAAAAGTGGGAGGCTGAGTTGAGTTCTCCAGGCAATTGGATATTTTTCACTATGATTTCCAGCATTGACAATTGAGGCTTCTTATTGAGTTTGGAATTGTCCATGAGGTTTAATTCTTCTAAGGCAGCTTTAGAAAAGCTGACCCATATTGAGGATGGCAAGTATAATGGAGGCCCAGAGACATTTCTTCTCAATTACTGGCTGTGCTTCCAGAAACATCTCTACTTTCTTTCCTATTATCTTTCTAAAAACTGAAGTCTTATTCAAGATAGTGTAATTCAAAATTTGGTCCTGGCAGTTTCAAAGCCAAGGATGCTGGTTCTCTGAAGCAAATTATTACCCTTTTAAAGTCTTTTGTGAAATGTGATGAGTTTGGAAGAGCAAAATCCTAAGGAGGAAGAATTTTAAATAAACAGATTCAAAAGACAATAACAAGCTTCATCAAAAGGACCATGAGGCATTTCCCTTAAAAAAAAAAGAAACTAACCTCTCATTTTATTGAAAATTAATTTTACAAGCATGTAGCTCTCCCTTCCACTGCCCCAATATTGAACAACTTTTAAAAAAGAAAAAAGAAAACCTTCACAACAAATATGCATAGTCCAGCAAAATAAACTCACAAGGTAGCCATGTTTAAAAATGTGTGTCTTCTACATTTTAAGTCCCTCACCTCACTGGCAGGGATTAGGTTGTATATGTCATCATCAGTCCTCTGGTGATGGTTTTTTATTAGTGCATTGATCAACGCTCCAAAGTCTTTCTCCTATGCTGTTGTTGACAATCTATACGTTGTTCTTTTAGTTCTGCTCATTTCACTTGACATCAGTTTCTAGAAGGCTCCCCAGTTTCTTCTGAAAATGTTTATTTCTTGTTTTGCATGACTACATATGTGTAACCTATACTAGATTGCTTGCCTTCTTGATGTTGGGGGAGGGAAGAGAGGAGAGAATTTGGAACTCAAAATTTGAAAAAAAAAATGTAAAATATATTTTTACATGTAATTGGGAGAAATAACTATATAAAAAAGAAACTGTTCATTTCTTGGGGCGCAATAATATCCCATTACATTCATATGTCATTTGTTTGGCCAGTCCCCAATAAGAGGGAGGACATTTCTTAGTTTCCATTTTTTTTAGCTACTATGAAAAGAGCAGGCATTTCTCCTTTTTACTAGTAAAATTTTTGCTAGAGATTTTCATTCAAATAAATTGATGATTAAAGAGAGATTCTTTAAAATGATTTTTGGATGCTGAGTTCTTAGTGAAATAAAATGTGTATATGTATCTATATATATTAGGTAGAGTATATACACATGCGCATGCATATATATTCCGCATAAATATACATGAAAACCCTAGTTTTCTGTTTCACTGTTTGGTGGACATGACCCTAGGTCCTTGAAGCCTCTCAGCAAAACATAAGGCCTGGCAGGTCCTACCAAGCTGAAAAAGGCTTTGAGAATGGACAGATAATGAACAGTAATGTCCATAATCCCTACGCCAGCCCAAGTTGAGAAGATCATTATCAGGTCAAATGAATTTTTTAGCTCTAGCTTCTTATTAGGGTGGATAGGTAGGTGGTGCAGCAGATAGAGTGCTAGGCCTAGAGTCAGGAATACCCTTCTTCCTGAGTTCAAATCTGGCCTCAGACATTTACCAGCTGTGTGACCCTGGGCAAGGCACTTAAACGTGTCTGCCTCAGTTTCCTTATCTGTAAAATGAACTGGAGAAGGAAATGACAAACCACTTCAGTAACTTTGCCAAGGAAACCCCAAATAGGATCACAAAGAGTTGGACAAGTATGAAATAACTAAACAACAACCAATATATCTCATTAGGTCTTCAAATTGGTAGAAGGAGAATCCTGTCTCCTACTAGAAGTTTTTCCTGATCTTTAAGGCCATTGCTTTCCCTTTGTTAATTATATCCATTTTGTCATATATATGTATATGTATGTGTGTATATATATCTAAATCTCTATTTTTCTGTCTTGTTTGTGCATAGTTGTTTTCATGTTGTCTCTCCCATTAGACTTTAAGCTTTTTGAAAGCAGGGATTGTCATTTGACTGTAACAGTTTCTAGCACAAAAGCAGGCACTTAAGAAATGCTTATTGACTGACTGACTGAGAGTTCCCTACATCAGTGAAATCACAGGTCCAGTCCTTATCCTTATCTCTATTGAAATATGATAGAAAGTTTTCATATCTATTAGGATGCTAAAACTAATTTTTTGTTGTTGAATCATTTTTCACTTGTGTCTGACTCTTTGTCAGAATGGTTTGCCATTTTCTTCTCCAGCTCATTTTACAGATGAGGAAACTGAGGCAAGCAGGGTTAAGTGACTTGCCTAGAGTCAAACAGCTACTAAGTGTCTGAGGGTGGATTTGAACTCAGGAATAGTCTTCTGACTCTAGGCCTGGTGTTTTATCCACTGTGCCATTATTTTTAAATAACCTTAAACATTGTTTTGATCTTTTTTTTCCTCCAGGTGAAGTATTTGTATTAAATGATGGTGGAGAAGTTGATCTAGACTTGGGAAATTATGAAAGGTTCTTGGATATTAACCTTTATAAAGACAACAATATCACTACTGGGAAGATCTATCAACATGTAATCAATAAAGAGAGGCATGGTGATTACTTGGGGAAAACAGTACAAGGTATGTCCATGAATGTTTTAGAATTGTTTTGGTTTAAAAAAATGAAGGCTTTGGGGCAGCTAGGTGGTGCAGTGGATAGAGCATCGGCCCTGGAGTTCAAATCCAGCCTCAGACACTTGACACTTACTAGCTGTGTGACCCTGGGTAGGTCACTTAACCCCAATTGCCTCATCAAAAAAATAAATAAAAAATAAAAATAAAAGTCAAGGCTTTGACTTTCTTTGGTGTGTGTACTTTTTTGGTTTTGTTTTGTTTGTATGTTTGTTTGTTTGTTTTTTAAGGCAACTGGGGTTAAGTGACTTGCCCAGGGTCACACAGCTAGTAAGTGTCAAGTGTTTGGTCTGAGACCGCATTTGAACTCAGGTCCTCCTGACTTCAGGGCCGGTGCTCTATCCACTGCCTCACCTAGCTGCCCCTGTGTGTATACTTTTTAAATATAAAACAGCATACCTACAAATTATGAACATGTGAAAATAGGAAACAGCCATTGTATGTTCCTCTTACTAGACTTTATCATTTCTACTTAAAAAAAAGTTTTGGCACCTTATTATAATGTGACCTGAATGTGAATTCAGATTATCAAAGATATTTGTCAATCAATTTGAATATTTAGAATTGGATCTAAGGTCTCTGGGAAATATATTTGATTAGAAAAAAAGCATTGAAGGAAATAAATTGTGATGGGCACATCTTAATTTCATTCATATGCAATAAAGAACAATTATGATGTTAATTTTAGCTATTAGTTTTTTTAAAGTTACTATAATTAAATGTCTAATTTGTTTTGTTTAAGGTAAGCATCTTGTCATCCTTCTTTCAGTGTAGGGAAGTCTAGCCTCCGAGGGCTATCCTGTAAGCCCTCATGCCTGTGTTGTTCGGGTGGCTTAAAAAGACACTCAGTAGCAGTAATGGCTAATCTTACATTCGTTATCTTTTCTAGTTGTTCCTCATATTACTGATGCTGTTCAGGAATGGGTGATGAATCAGTCCAGAATTCCGGTGGATGGTCACAAGGAAGAACCCCAAATATGTGTCATAGAGGCAAGTATGGGATATGTTTGTCTTTTCCCCCCTGCTCTCTATAAATGCTAACTATTCTTATTATTAATGAAATTATTTGGATACAAGTGTTTACTCTTTCCATAAGCCTAATGTCAACTGTGTCAGTAATCTTGCTTTCAGTAATCTTGCTTCCTTTCTCTACAGTTGATGCTGAAGGAAGCTAATCTGAACTATCCTCTCACATTCATGTAGATGGCAATTTCAGGAAATATTGTATGGAACGGAATCGCTGATTCACTAAGTAGTGTATTTCACCACTTAATCGTCACCATCATGTAATTGTCACACCCTGTTTTTTCAGTCCAAAATGGGTGTATAACCTTTCGTTGCATAATCGTTGCATGATATAATTTTGTTTGTCCCACTGGTTAAAAGGTAAACAGAACACCAGTGTATTCATCAGTGGCATATTTATCTCTTGCACGTTGTGAGTTGGGAGCCTAGAATTCTTAGCATGCGTGTATTGACAGTGTATTTCCAAAAGCCGACTTGGGTGGTTTATTTAGAGTGCTGCAGTACTTACGGTACTTTATCGTCACAACAACTTTAGGAGGCTATTTTTATCCCCATTTTAGAGATGGAAAAACTGAGGCAAATTGAGGTTAAATGACTAAGCCAGGGTCACATAGCCAGTAAGTATAGACTCCAGGCCCAGTGCTCTATTTGATGAGCCACATAGCTGCTTTTATGAAACCTAATATGCCATTTTGTATCTTCCTCTCCTCCCCACACTTTCCTCTACTCTAGTGTGGAAAAAGTATTGTTGATTGGTCGGTTGTGGTGACATTGTGGCCTCTTCTCCCACGTGCCTTTTTCAGCTATACCTTATGTTTCATGGCTGTTGAACTGGCTTGGCCTTGGGGCTGTTATTAGCTTGGTCTTAGCACAGTCAAACTGTGACATGTTTTAAATACTCCTCCCCTCAATTACTATAATGCTTGCATTTAGAATCATGGGATTGACAGCTGGAAGTGAATGAATGACAAAAGGGACAAAAAGGACTGGCTCTCATATCAAGGGACCTGGCTGGAAAGCCTGACTCTAGAAGTACTTAACTTGCTGTGAGGGGTTAGGCTTTAGTTTTCTGATTGGTAAAAGGAAGATGTTGGACTTGAAAATTTCCAGGGTCCCTTTGAGCACCCTAAAACTATGATCCCAAGTAATCTAGTCCAACTGTCTCATTTTACAGATGGTTACATTGAGGTTTCCCTTCAAAATGAAGTGACCTGCCTACGTCCACACTAGTAGAAAGTAGCAAGGCTGGGATTCAAACTCACGTACTTGGACTTCAAGTACAGCAAGCTGTTCATGACACCGTGATGCCCATAATTGTTAGACTAGAATATAGGATCTTTGTCTTGCTTTCCCCCCTCTCTTCTCTTGTCCTCTTCTCCCCTCCTCTTCTCTCCCCTTCTCTCCTCCTCTCTCTTTCTCTTGACCTCTCCCTCCCATCTCCTTCCTTCTTCTTTCCCCCTTTATCTCTCCCCTCTCTTCTCTCTTCCTTTCTCCCTCTCTCCCCCCCCTTTCTCTTTCTCCTCTCCCTCTTTCTCTGTCTTTATATGAATCTATCTCTCTGTCTGTCTTTCTGTGTGTGTACACACACACACACACACACACACACACACACACGTTGCCTAAGAGTATGACTCAGGCATTATTCTTCTAATGGCTGGGAGGGCTTATTTGCAGTCTACAAATTGGGAACTTCCATGGACATGACTTTGGAGGTTAGGAAATACATTTTAATAGGTAATGAAGAAAATATGCTGTCCAATAAAGCTGACTGATGTATTTAAATTACTCAACATCTATTAGATGTGGCAGGCATCATGCTAAGCCCTAGGGATACAAAAAAAAAAAGGCAAAAACAAGGTCCCCCTGCCCTTAAGAAACTCATTTTCTAATGAGGAAGCCAGCATGCAGATGTAGACAATGTAAATAGGAGATAATCTTAGAGGAGACAATGTAGAAGTTGGGAGGGGCAGTGGGGGCTGGAAAGAGCATCCTGTAGATGGTGGGATTTGAGCTGTATTATAGGACCTCTAGCCCAGACCCTGAAAGTAAATCTGATTTAAAGGATGATAAAATTAAAAGCTGAAAAGGACCTTCTAAGGTGATTATCTAGTCCAAATCCAGCAGGGCTACACTGGAGTCAGTTTGAACCTACTCTAGCAATTTAAAAAATTTTCAGAGTTAGCATTTACATCTTGAAATTGTCACACACTAAAAATCAGGGCTCGATTTATTGTTTTGTTGATCATCTAGACTTAAGAAAGTGATGGAGAAAATATTAATAATAAAGACTAAACATAACAGTGTGTTGAGTATCCATTTTGTTTTTGGAGAGCCAATGGTTAATTAAGCATTTCCCACTCAGCATGCTGCTGACCTCCCATGATCTTCCCATCAGACTGCCCTGACTCCTTTACACTAACATTATACATTCTATGAATATTCTAGTTGTGATTATACTTGAAATGCTATTTTTTTTTCTTTTTGGTGAGACAGTTGGGGTTAAGTGACTTGCCCAGGGTCACACAGCTAGTAAGTGTCAACTGTCTGAGGCTAGATTTGAACTCAGGTTCTCCTGACTCCAAGGCCAGAGCTCTATGCATCGTGCCACCTAATTGCCCCTATGAAATGCTGTTTCTCAGAGACATAGTCTGCTTGAGAGATATCCATCTATCATCTCTTTATAGAGATGGGCATTTATAGATAGAAGATAGATGATAGTAGGAAGTATATTATTATTCCTATTTTTTCAGATGAAGGAGCAGGTGCCAGGAGGTTACATGATTGGTCTGTGATCGCACAGATAATAAATCTCTCAGTTAACAGTTAAACCCTGGTCTGCTGACTCCTTGTTTGACCTCTACTCCCTAAATCACCGTCACTCCAGCTGAGGCGATATCTGCCTCTCTGTCTGTCTCTATATCTGTAGATAGATCTGTTTATATCTGTTTCTTATCTATCTACTTATCAAGCAAGTGCTCCCATGGTGGTCAGAAAAAGCGATGCAAGGACACTTTCAAGGTCCATCTTAAGAACTCTGGAATTGATGGCATGACAAGGGAGACATTGGCACAGGACTGCCCAATGTGGCATTCCCTCATCAGAGAAGGTCCTATGCTCTGTGAGCAAGGCAGAATTGAAGTAGCTCAAAAGAAACACGAGATACACAGATTTAGAGAATATACCCCAAATGTTCCTGTGGACTGTTTGTATCTGAACTGTGGTAGAGCATTCCGAGCTTGTATTGGTCTGATCAGCCACAGTAGGACACATTGTAACTTGACTGTAATGTAGTGATGTCATTTTGGTCCTTTTCAAGAACAAAGGACAACCACCACCACCATCTACTTATCAATAGATCTTGCTATATTGATAGATAGATCTGCTATCTGTCAATTGATGTATCATCTCTCAATTGATCTACCATCTATCCTTCTTACCACCCATCTATAGAGCTCTATCTATCTATCTATCTGTCTAGATCTACATATCTATCTATAGGCATCTGTAGATAGATGGTAAGATAGATTATAGCGAGATATAGATAGATAGATATCTCCTCATCAACTAGGGTAGCAGTGGGATAGCAAGTTGAGGCCCAGAGGTGAAGCCATTAGACCATCTTAAAAATCTGAATAATTTAAATAATTCGTACAGAATTTGTTTGCCTGACCTTAGGAGGTGGGAGTGGGGCGAGATGAAGAACTTAGGATTTAGAAATACACTAGTAATAACACTGAAAGATTCTTGGTAGGAAGACTGCACTTGACTTTATCCCTGTGTTGTAAAATGAAAGCTTTCTAGTTGGTTGACAGGATGGTATGCAGTTCCATTCCTGGCCACGTGAGTGCAGAAGCAGATAAGTTTTAAAGGTTTAGTTTCAGAATCTGATGCCTTAGGAATGCCTTAGGAACCAGCATTAGCTATGTGGAGAGCTGTTTTGATTTTTGCATTCAGGTAATTTCCCCCTGAAGCATATTTTTTAAATCTATTATGCTTTTAATTGAGAATGTTGTGCCCTGGTGAATTGACAGGTTATCTTTTTGTACATTGTTCTTTCCCCTTCTCTTTTTCTGGTTGCAAATTATGTTCCTAGGGATTTCTACCATGTAGTTTGATTATATCAGTTTGTCATTTGTTAAAAATTTCAATTTTTTTTTTTTTTGGAGAGGAGGTCTTCCTATCTCCTCAGATGGGGTCACAAAGAGTCAGACACGATTAGAATGACTGCACAACAGCTTCTTATCTCAGCTAAGTTGGAAGCCGTCAGTTGGCATGGAGTCTTTGACCTGCTCCAGTTCGGATTTGGGTCAGTTTTCCCCTCTTTAGGCATCCTTGTGACCCCTCACTCCTGGAGGCTCCTTCATATGAGTGCCAGACTTAATTTAGACACAGGGCCAGCTTTGCCCTATTGCTGCTCAGAATTCCTGAGCTCAAGTGATCCAGTCTCCTCAGCCTCCCAGGTAACAGTGATGTGCCACCATGCCTGACTAATTGAAAACTTAAAAAAAAATTATCCTGGGGCAGCTAGGTGGCGCAATGGATAGAGCACCAGCCCTGGAGTCTGGAGGACCTGAGTTCAAATATGGCCTCAGACACATAACACTCACTAGCTGTGTGACTGTGGGCAAGTCACTTAACCCCAAGTGCCTCACCAAAAAAAAAAATGATCCATACCAGCATTAAAATAATGACATTTTGTTCTTGAAAATACAGTGTAGAATGTTATTTAATTTAACTCAGTGGTAATTATTAAGAAATGTTATAAAAACATTTTGTTCACTGCTGGTATTTAAAAAAAGATATAATTTCACTATTGCTTTTTCAAATCAACTTCACTCATGGGGCTTGCTGTTTTAACTGGTGTCAGTAGCAGAAATAACCAGTGGCGTATCTCATCATGCCTTTTCCCCTTGATCTGAAAAATGCCTTTTCAGCAGCCATTGCAAACTTGGATGAGAAGATAAGGAGGTATTGTTGTTATTTATTTATTTTTTTGAAATATAGTTTATGGCAAGAGTACATGGTAGCAAGAATACTAGAATCTGAGTTCTAGTTCTACTATTACCTGTATGAATTTGAGCTAAACCCTTAACTTCTCAGTTTACCTTATCTGTAAAATATGGCAATTAGATTGGGTGATGATCTTGGCCTATTCTAGCTGTGAATCCTACATGTATTTATGGTATGATCTATAGGTAGGTAAGAAGAGAAATTTCATTTTAGCTTCATATTTTAGTAGTAGACTATTTGGAATTGATCTTTGGTCTTGTAATTGATTCATAATTAGAGTAATAGCAATACTTCTCATAATATAACTGGATAAGGTTATTTGACTCTGAGATTTTGATTATGTAAATGATGTTTATTCAGGGTAAAATATTACCTCCTTTTCTTCTTTTTTTCCCCCACATGAAACACTTTCTTCTAACCTCTCTGCCTATCTAGATCCTACCCATCATTCATTTAAAAAATATTTGAGAGACTACGAGATGTGTTACTACTGTGTCAGGCACTGGAAGTGGCAGGAGGGGAGTGCTGGGAGAAGATAAGGACAGAAAATATATGATTGTTCTTGTTCTCAAGGATCTTGACTTCTTTTTTGGGGGGGAGGGAACAAGATGTAATACAAATATTTATAACACTATATGGTTGCATATGGTTAGGGCAAAAAAAGTGATTGGTATCTTTGCAAAGCCAAAAAAAACCTCTTTGTGAGCTTGCGTTGTCAGGAGTGTTTTAAAATCTGCAGGTTGACACCTACTAGCTATGTGACCCTGGGCAAGTCACTTAATCCCGATTGCCTCACCGCCCCCAAAGCATTTCTGTGTATAAAGTAGTATAAAAAAAGACTGTGAAAATATGACTCTTTGTTACATACAACTTGCCTTTAAAAATACATATTTTATAACAGAAATATATTTAATATATCAATATATTATATCAAATTATATAAATATAAAATAAATATTAATATTGGTATGATATAACCTAAAACACATATTTTAAAAGTGTGCCTATAAAATAAATTTTAACATTCTACTTTCAAAGTTATCTTGCTTTTCTGTCCCTCTTTCAGAGCTTCCTTCAATTCATTTTTTTTCTTTTACATTTTCTTTTACATGCTTCAATGGCTCTCTTTTCTTGTCCTTTTTATTTCTTATTTTTGGCAGAACTATGGATGGCACTCCCCTCCCCCCATTCCTCCTCCTAACCTTCTCCCTTCAACTGAAAAAATAGGAAAAAAAAAACCCTTGTAAGAAATAGGCATAGTCAAACAAAACAAAGTCCCACATCGGCCATGTCTGAACATTTTTGTATGTCTCATTTTGCACCCCGAGTCCATCACATCTCTGTTAGGACATGAGTTATTTACTTCATCATTAATATGGGAGCTAAGATTTGAGAAGGACTTTGAATGATAGAATAGAATTTTGATAGAAAAGGTAAAGGGAAAGATTAGATTTAGATTTGGAAGAGGGAATAAGCAAGGTTTGTTCCTGGGACGGTGAGTAAACAAGGCTGGTTATAGTTTATGCTCAGGAGTAGTAGGAGACAAGTTGGATTATCATCAAGATTGTAGATTTCAGAATGCCAGGTTAAAGAGTTTGGACTTTGTCTAGTAGACAATGGGGAGCCTTGGAGCCTTTTTTTTTTTTTAAACAGGCGAGTCATATGATGAAACTGATATTTTGGAAAGCCTAATTTGGCAGTACTGGGGAATGGTTTTGAGGAGAGATCCTGGAGGCAGAACACATAGTTCTCTGCAATAATCCGGGTGTGATGAGATGAAGACATAGAATTAGGGACAGGGATGTGCGACTATCGAAGGAAGACCAGATGACTTAGTGTGCCTGCTTATGGAAAGAGATGGATCCAGGATGGATGACTATAAAAATTGTGGAAAGTCTCTTTCTCTGGTGGAGGGGAAAAATGAATTTGGTTTTAAACATGCCAAATTTGAGGTGACATGAAAGTAGATATATAGGTATGGGTGTGTTAGAACAATAATTGTTAAGTTTTCAGTGTATTTACACCTCAGAAATTAGCAATCACTAGAAATTAGGGCTTGATTTATTGTTTGTTGAATATCTCTAGATTTAAGAAAGTGTTAATGATGCAGATTAAATTTAAAAGTGTTTGTTTACTTCCCACCCCCTACTCCCCTAGCCCAGTTGCTAAACTTTTACCAGCACCCTCCAGTATGGCTCTATAAACTTTTTTGTTGTTCAGTCCTGTCCCATTCTTTGTGACCTCTATTTGGGGTTTTCTTGGCAGATACTGACATTTTCTTTTCTAGCTCATCTTACGGATGAGGAAACTGTGGGGAATGGGGTTAAGTGACCTGCCCAGGTTCACATAACTAGTATCTGAGGCTGGATTTGAATTCAGGTCCTCCTGATTCCAGGGCAGGGGCTCTATCCACTGTGCCACCTTGCTGCCCCCTTTCTAAATATTGCTTGAGTTAATCAGCAGTTCAGTAGAAGGCTTAGGCAATGAAGTCATCATCAGACTGGAGGCCTGGTGACTGGAGGCTAATAACAACAATAATATTTGGTATTTATATAACACTTTAAGGTTTACAAAGTGCTTTACATTTGAGCTCACAACACACATGTTAATGGAATTTCCATTCCATTTGGGCCTCACAACATCTGTGAATATAAGGCAGTTGAAAATGCAATTGAAGGTTAGAAAAGAGAGAAGGGGCCTTTAATCCCATTTGTAGACTTTCATAGATGTGAGAGTTAGAGTGATGGGAGTAGGCGATTTCATAGCAGGACTGTTCAAGGTCCACCTTTTCCATCAGGCCTTACCAGACACATCCTTCAGTAATCTAGCTCCCTTTGCTGCATTTCCGTAGCACTTACTTTTATTTAATTTGTTGCATTTTGCTTTTTTATTTATGCTTCGGTCTAGATTGCAAATTTACTTAATCTAATTTAATAAACATTTATTGGACTCTTACTGTATGTAATAGGTAACCTGGAAGATACTAAAAGTGTTTAGCATGGCCCTTGGACTCAAGGAGCATATGGAGTTTTTGTTTTAGAATTCTTTTGTATCTTCCACAGCCCTCAGCCCAGGCCTTAATAAACACTTCAATATTAAGATTCTAGCCAAATTTAAAATTAAATTAATTTTTGACTGAGATGAATTATTTCAGTTTTTAAAGTATTTCTGGTAAAACCACATAGGTGACATTTCTAGAATGATTATATCCTATTGCTGTTTAATTAATAAGGACCTAATGTGTACAGAGCACTGTACTAGATGTGTAGGTTACAAAGACAAAAAAAAGTCTTCAAGAACTTTATTTTTTTGAGGGGGTATGTGTAGAAGGGTGTGGGTGGGAATAATATATAAATGAAAAATAATTTGACACTTCCAGAGAAAGAGATGACAAGTGGAAATACTCATAGTATAGGTCTTACATATGTGTATACATATGTGTATGTTTATAGATATCTATCTATATATATATATAGCCATGTTTGTTGCCTTCTTGGGGGGGGGAAGAGGAAGGCAGGAAAAAAATAAAGTAAAAAAATGCACAGCAGAGAACAGAAGAAAACCTAGAAGGAAGCAAAGAAAAGCTGAGTGGGTATATGACACTTGTGAAGGAAGACTTTATGACTTAGCATGCTTAGCTTTGGAAAGGGAATGAGAAGGGGAAGGTGACTTCAGGATGGATGGCTGTAAGGATTATGGTGCGTGGTGGTGGCAACTGAATGCCAGTTTCAGAGAATAGCAATAACCCAGTTTGACTGGGAGATAAATAGAGGGATTGAAAAGGGAGGAATATGAAACAAGTTGGAGGCAGAATGTGTAAGGCCTTTAAAGATTTGAAAGTTAAAAAATGCCAGGATGAGAAGTTTTTATTTTATCTTAGAGGCAATAGGGACAGATCAAATGACTACTTCTGGTAGGGACAGACCTGAAAGTATTTTTTGAACGGAATGTAGGGAAAATGTTTCAAATATTTTCTAATAGACATGGATAATTACATTCAGCTGTGTTGATGTTGCTAGAATTCCCCGATGCTTCCAGCGTTTTTGCTGTTGCCGCATCTGCTAGCATCTGCTTTTATCTACCTGGTGCAGTTTCTTCCTTATCATCATCCCTGGACTCTTTCCATCTACCTGTGTATCCTGTCTCTTTCCTTTAAACCCACTCCATCTTATCTGTCTCCTCTCCTCCCTTCCCAGCCCCCTTTGGTTCCCTTCTCTTCTCCTTCATTGCTTTCTCCTCTGCTCTAATCTCTCTCCTTTTTATTCATCTGTCTTATAACTCATCGCCTACCCAGCGTGATTTTTCTCATTTTTTTCTGCTTTTATACTCCTCAAAAACGTGTAGCACTTGGTCACAAAGGAATAGGAATGCTTTCGGTGGTCAGTGGTCTTGGCCATTCTACATTTTTTGTCATTCCTTTGTTATCAAATTATCAAGTATTAACTTCTTATTTTTTTGTTTTCCCAGCTGGGTGGCACTATTGGAGACATCGAAGGCATGCCATTTGTTGAAGCGTTCAGACAATTCCAATTTAAGGCAAAAAGAGAGAACTTCTGTAATATCCATGTTAGCCTTGTACCACAGGTAAGCTTTTAGAGAGTGCTGGATGTGGAGATAGAAAGACCTGGACTCAAATACTACCTCAGTCACTAGCTCTGTGACCATGACCAGGTCACTTGATCTCTCTGAGCCTTAGTTTTACTCATTGGTAAAATGAGGGATTAATAATAGCCCATACCTCATAGGGTTGTGAGAATCAAGTGAGAAGATGCATGTCAAGAGCTTTGCAAACCTTCAAGTGCTATACAAATTCAAGGTATTATTATTATTAATTTTTTAGTGTTTTTGTGGGCTTTTATCCTTTGCCTGTATTGAAGATTTAAAAGTTGAACCAGATGCTGCTGATGTTAGCTATTTGCACATAATATATAAATTTATTTACAAAATAAAGCAAGAAGCCACTGCAGATAAATGTCACTTCTTTGCAGCACAAATATTTCACTTTAGTGGATTTTTTTTTCTTAATGCAGGTCCATGGCAAATTTTCACTTGTTTACAAAATTTTTTACCACCAGTGATAGTGAAGTATATAAACTTAAAAAGATGATTCTGTCTTTTTTGTGCATTCTGCTTTTTAGTATTGGATTCAGACCCATCCCACTCTCCCTCCCAACATGTGTCTGAGATCTGTGATAAGATTTCCGTGGGAGGCACTTGATAGAAAATTTGATATTATCTATATTGTCCTCCTCTGAAGCCTGGATTAGTGAACACTGGTACAAAAGAAGCCTTAGCTAATTCACATCCACTTATCCTGAAAAGTTATTTATTTGTGCTATAAGAAAGTAGGCAGACTTCAGAAAAACCTGGAAAGACTTATATGAACTGATGCTGAGTGAAGTAAGCAGAACCAGGAGAATATTATACACAATAACAGCCACATTGTTCGATGACTGATTTTGATAGACTTGGCTCTTCTCAGCAATGCAAGGATCTAAGACAATTCCAGAAGACTCATGATGGAAAATGCTATCCACATCCAGAGAAAGAACTGTGGAGTCTGAATGCAGATGGAAGCATACTATTTGCTCTCCTTTTTTTTTTTTTTGCCATTTTGTGTTATTGCTTCATTCTCGTGGTTCCTCCCATTAGTTCCAGTTCTTTACATCATGACTAATGGAAAAATATGCTTAATGTGAATGTATAAGTAGAGCCTATATCAGATTGCATGCTGTTTTGGGAAGGGAGGAGGAGAGAGGGGGAGAAAATTTAAAACTCACAATCTTATGGAAGTGAATGTAGAAAACTAAAAATAAATTAGTTTAAAAAAAACAACAGACTTTTAGTTATATTTGCCAGAGATAGCCAAATTTTAATAGGCTCTACTTCTGTCTTAAGCTATCAAGTGGAAAAGTAATTATGTTATAAGCAATTGGAGGCTATGATTTTACAGGTTAAAAGAAATGGATAGTTGAGATAGTTATTGCTTAGTTAAATCATATCTCCAAAAAAGCTGATTTAGAAGTGCTTCATTTTCCCCTGATTTTCTATTTCAATCTGGAGAGTTATAGGGTGCTTAAATTACTTGTCTGTGATGATCAGACTCACTGGTGTTTGTCCAGATATCCACTTTATTTGATCACGGTGGACATAATTATTGTATGTATTTCTTTATTCTTTGTCTTGGGTAGGGCCATCCTACGTTGCTAAAATTTCAGCCTTTAACATTTCTCTTTCAGCCCAGTGCTACTGGAGAACAGAAAACCAAACCTACACAAAATAGTGTTAGGGCATTGAGAGGCTTAGGATTGTCTCCTGACCTGGTAAGTTTTTGTTTATTTGAATTTTAAAAAAAATCTGAATTCTTAGGCACTCCCTCAAAAATAGCGTTTCTATATACATAGCAGAAAACCCAAAGAGATTTTATAAGGAATCATGGAACTCTATTTCATGCCAATAACTTAAAAAAAAAGCATATAATAAATTGTACATATTACTTTCAAAACTGCCCTACTTGTCTGCTTTTTTTTTTTTTAACTTCTGTGGATTTAAAGAAATGCCTCTTTGGGGGATCACTATTGCTAACTTCTCTTCTCCCAACCTCCAATTAAAAGCTGGGAAAGGAAAAAAAAAACCCCTTATAATAAACTAGCAGAGTGAAACAAGATTCATCCCCTCCCCAATGGCCACATCCAAAAATGTATGACTGATTCTGCATCTTGAGTCCATCACCTTTATGTTAGGAGGTAGGTAACATAACTTATCAAAGGTCCTTTGAAGACATGGTTGATTATTGCATTGATTAGAGTTCTTAAGTTCCTCAAAGTTGTTTTTCGTTTCTGGGCTGATGTCTAACCTGCTAAATTAGTGAGAATGGGTAAAGGGTTTAATTTCTGTAGCATTTTTCACCCAAATTGCTTAATCTATGACAACAGTAGAACAGCATACCCACAGTTACATGTTGGGGCAGGATAGTAGGGAAAAACATAACATGGGGAGTCAGAAAACCTGGGGTTTAGCTCTCAACTTTACCACTAATGAATTATTTAATCTTGAGAAAGTCTCTCCATCACCCTGGGCCTCAGTTGCTTCGTTTAGAGTTAAGAGGTTGAACTAGAAGAAGTCTCTTAGTTGTAAAACACATTTTATAGCTGTATACCTTTTGTGTTTGGAAGCCGGAAAGTATGGTATTGTTCCTACTCCTCAACTAAGCATTTACATTCTCTTTGGATCATAGATGTCAAGCTGGATGGGACCTCAGAGGTCATATAGGCCAATCACCTCATTTAACAGTTGGAGCAGCAGACAAGGTTGCCCAAGGTCACACTGGTACAAAGTGCCAGAGCCAGGAATTGAATGTGAATCTTCTGACACTAAATTCAGTTATTTCCACTTTAATATACTACCCTTCCATTGTCCCACCCTGAAGTGCTATATTATTATATGGTACTATATGATATATCATTATGTATGATGTCCTCATATGTATATTATATATCATATTAAATATGATGTCTTTAAATGTATATTATCATAATACATAAAATTATGTAATGTTATGTGTTATATCATATAACATACAATTATATGAATACATAAAATATGATACATAATATATAAACAGTTATAGATATAAAAACATACAATAAGCAAAATATATAAAATAGATTGTATATACAATACATAAAATATGCACATATATTACATTATATGATATTGTATATTATATGAAGTGGGCTATTATTATTATTTTCATCATCATTATCTGTTTTTGGTGATAGTTTGACAGTAAGACCTATCTTTTGAGAACTGAGTCTCCCACAATGAATGTGGAGGCCTTCCCTCAGTACAGTAACCCTGCTTAAGATACCTTTTTGTATTCCTGAAGTAACTACTTAGTACCTCTCATTACTCAAATATTATTTCTGGTTTAAACTACAATGCCTTGAGATAATAAGTAATCTAAATCCTTTCATAATAGTCTTGATCTCATCTTTAGTGAAGCAATGTTTAAACATGTTCTGTTTTTTGAAATATTTTTAAATCACACTTTCTTCTCTTTACAAGCATTATTTTTTCCCTTCTACCTCCCCTGAAAACAAAAGAAAAACAAAACTCTTGTAACAAATATGTTCAGCCGAGCAAAACAAATCCCCACATTGGCCCTATCCAAAACTCATGTTTTTGTCCTTTTTAAGGCTGTTACCTCTCTGTCAGGGGATCATCATCAGTCCTCTGGAATCATGGCTGGTGATTGCGTTGATCAGGATTCTCATAGGATAACTTTAGTTATCATTATATCTGAATTTATGTATTATATAATTATATATCAACACATGCATATATGAGTTACTTTGGAATTCAGGGCCTTATCCACAGATTTGGTATACTGTTAAGTAGAGCACTGTATTTAGAGTCAGAAATTCTTGGTTTAAATCCTAATTTAGCTCCTAAGTGTGTGACCTTAGAAAAGTCACTTTATTTGAGCCTCAGTTTTCCTTATCTGTAAAATGGGGATTACAATTCTTGCATACCAGCTCATAGGACTTTTTAAAATGAGGATCAGATGAGACAATGGATATAAAGTTATTTTACCCCCATAAAATTAATGTACTGTATAAATGTCACTACTATTAATGCATTTGTTCATGATTTGGACCAGCTTCAAAGTCTCTTACAGAAAAGAGCATGCTCCTTTCTAGGTCACAAAGTGAATGATTTATTTCTGTATCACTGCATTTTATCTCCTGTTCTCCTGATGACTGATTTGTACCTCGTTGACTTTGATACAGATTGTGTGCAGAAGTTCAAAGCCCATTGAAATGGCTGTAAAGGAAAAGATATCCATGTTTTGCCATGTGGAACCTGAGCAGGTTGGTTCTGCCCTCTGGATTTCATTGCTCCCATATTCCATGCCAATATGGTGCTGCCCTCAATGTACTGCGGGATGTTTTCACAGCCTTTTGCTGACAGACAAATGAAGGCTTTAGGGAATTCATAATACTATGCATTCTCTCTCTCTCTCTCTCTCCCCCTCCTCCCTCCCTCTCCCCCCCCCCTTTAGAGGGATAGGTTTGATTATACCAGTTTCACAGATGGAGTAGAAGTTACATTGCCTAATGCATCACCTTCTGGTTATAGCCAGAAATAAATGATGGGATTTCTAATCCCATAATGCAATAGATCTTGATTTAAGGTCAGGGCAAACATCTTGTTTATGGTTCAGTGCCCAGGCATCTTGAACCGTAAACCAGACCATGTCTTTTCCCCCTACCATTTGCAGAAGATATATGAAGATAAGAAAACTCAAGGTTATGCAGCATAAAAGCCAAGAAAAGTCCTGTAAAATAAAGCATCCTTTCACCAGGCTAAGAAAGGGTTAATTTAGTTTTGTGAGTGTTTATGTCATAGTCTCTATTTCTGTGATTGATTAACGGTTGGGGATGGTATCATGAGCCCTGCTGTCTGCCCCCCTTTCTCCCTAGGCTTCAAACTTCAAGTTGCCTTTTCTCTGATCAGTAACTTGTGTGGGAGGAAAAAAACAAAACAAAATCAAAACCATGTTTTCGCCAGACGAGTTAATTCACACTCTCATCTCTAGAGGTCTAGACTTTGTAGTAGCAGCTAGGTGGCTCTATGTATCCAGTGAGCACAGGACTTGGAATCAAGAAGACCTGAGTTCATAATCCAGTTAGATGCTTGCTAGCTGTGTGACTCTGGGTAAGTCACTTAACCACTGCCTGCTTCAGTCTCCTCAAATGTAAAATGGGGTTAATAGTAATAATACCTACCTCCAAGAACTGTTGATCATACTTGTAAAACGTTTAGCACGGTACCGTGTAGGTGCTTATATGCTCCTCCCCAACTTTCCTCCCTTTTGTCTCCTTCATTCCCTCCCTCCCTCCCTTCTTTCCTTTCTTCTTCCCTCCCCTCCTTTACTCCCTCCCTTTCTTCTTCCTTGCCCTGCTTTCCTTCTTCCTTTCTTCCTTTTTTCTTTCCTTCCCTCTTTCCCTCTCTTCTTTCTTCCTCCCTCTCTCCCTTTCTTCTTTCATTCCTTCCCTAACTTCTGTAGGTTTGAGGGACCTTCCAGATGAGCATTCATAAAGTGTGTGATAGCATTAATTGTTGCAGTCTAACTTCTAGACAAATCTTTCTTGCCTGCTATTATGGAACAACAAAGCCCCTTCCCAAGATCAAAGAATCTTGAATTTGGGAATACACATTGTCTTCCCTTATTTTCATTAGAACCTGGATTCAAATTTCTCTTCTGATACATCTTTTTTTTTTTTGGTGAGGCGATTGAGGTTAAGTGACTTGCCCAGAGTCACACAGCTAGTGAGCGTTATGTGTCTGAGGCCGGATTTGAATTCAGGTCCTCCTGACTCCAGGGCCAGTGCTCTCTCCACTACACCACCTAGCTGCCCCCATTAGTCTCTTTGACCCTCACTTTCCTCACATGTAAATTGGGTATAATAATAGCTAAAAATTATCACATACTTTAAGGCTTGTAGAGTTGCTTTATACATTTTACCTCATTAGAACATCAAGAACAACCCTGTGAGGTGGGTACTAATATTATTATCTCCATTTTACAAGTCAGGCAACTGAGACTTAGATTAAGTGACGTGGTTGGGGTGAAATAGGTAGTAAGTATCTGAGGTGGGATTTGAACTCAAATCTTGCAGTCTCTTGATCCAGTGTATCAGATTTCATGAGTTATCTCAGTTGAGAAGAAAGTGCTTTGTAGATCCTGAATTGATGTATAAGGTATGTGTTGTTACTTGAGTTATTATTGTTTGGTCTGATTATTTGGATGTTTTTTCCTTCTGCAAGTCTGCCTTAGTGACCCTTTCAAAAATTATCATTTCTTAATTTTTTTTTTGTCCACCTTCCCACCTTGTTAGTTCATTCGTGCCCATGCATTAAGCATTTTTTGGTTGAGGGATTTAGGTCAGTTGTAATGCAGAACTAACTGATGATTAGAGCTTAGTCGGCATTAGAGGGCAAGAGTGAGAGTTACTGGAAAACTTTGACCTGCCACAAATTGGAGAATACTGTTCTAAAGTCTAAGCAAGCATATCTTACCTTCAGAACCCCCCCAGTCTTCTCTAGCACTCCCTGGCCTTGAGCTTCTAAGTCTCCTACCTATTGTTTCAGAATTCTGTCAGGGCAGTGAGGTGGTGCAGTAGATAGAGCCCTGACCCTGGAGTCGAGAGGACCTGAGTTAAAATCTGGCCTCAGACACTTGACACTTACTAGCTATGTGACCCTGGGCAAGTCACTGAACCCTATTGCCTAGCCAAAAAAAAAAAACCAAACCAAACAGAATTATCTGTGAAGTAGTTGACTACTTTTGAGTATGTCAAGAAGTTCAAGGGAATATTTTGGGTAATTAGTATGTGTGATATATTTTGTTAATTCTTCCTTTTTTGTTAATTAATTCTGGAAAACTTTGTACCACTCCTATTTTTCCTCTAATGATTTATTAATTTTTTTAATTATTCTGAACTTCACAGACACCAACAAACATGAACATTTCCATATACAGAGAATAGAAAAAACTCTGTGTGAAACCACAAAACTCATTATGTACAACTTTTTTTTTTTTAACATGAAAGCAATCTAATATAATCTCACAGAGTCTCAGGAACTGAAAGGGATTTCAGAAGCCATCTAGCTCCACTTCTAGGTGAACAGACATGCCTTCCCTTCTACAACATACCTGACAAAACCAGCTCTTAATGTCAGCCCCAATAGTGTTGCCTTGGAGTCTGATGAAAACCTTGATAAGGATACCTTTCGCATTCACACTAAAAGCTCCTGTTCATTTTAATCTCTGGGATTGGGTGATTGACCTTCTTCACCCAGAAATAACATTAATAACAACAATAATAAAAATAAAATAATTATAACGTTCAGCCAGAACCATTTTCTAATATGCTTTTATGATTTGTCCTGGACTCTTCTAGCTCTCCCTGCTTGGGAGGTTTTGTGACTGGATTGATTCACAGTGCTTGTATGTAAACATTTTTTTTAAAAAAGCACATACTCTAATCAGCTTGTTAGTTCCAAAGCTTTATCTTCTCTCTGTTGCCTTGTGAACAAGGGTCTGCTCTGATCCTTTTAATCACTTCTGTGAATTTTATTTAAATGCTTCATTGTTGTTCATGTCTTTCTTCCTTTATTTTTGGCAGGACATCACTGTGTTTAATCCCATTCTAGGTTTTCTAGGTTTAGGGAATAGTAATGAGTTAAAGGCCTCAGAGGTGAGAAAGCACCTGACCTATTTGTCAGATAGAGTCATCCAATCTGGAGGGGAGTAATATCAGTTAAATCAATAAAGGGGAAGAGGTTAGAGAGAACCACAAGGCTTTGGCCTCTTTGAAGTGAAGAGACCAGATAATATTCAGAAGGTTATTTGTCAGAGTTGAATCCATACCAGAGAAGTCCAATGATGTAGGAGGCTAAATCATTTATTGCAAGTCAGAATGGGGTAGTTAAGGACATGGGAGGAAAATATTTGCGGTGGTCACTGTGGGGGACAAAATAGCAAATCAGAGAAGGATTGTCAAGCATCAGTAAGTATGTAACTTATTTTATACACCATAAATCAGATGAAATTAGTAGGGGGAGAGAGAGAGAGAGAGAGAGAGAGAGAGAGAGAGAGAGAGAGAGAGAGAGAGAGAGAGAGAGAGAGAGAGGGAGGGGAGGGAGGGAGGGAGGGAGGAGAGAGAGAGAGAGAGAGAGTGTGAGTGTGTGTGTGTGTGAGAGAGAGAGTGAGTGAGTGTGAGACTGTCAAGAAGTTCAGCAATCTTGACTTGGAATAGGCATGAATTGAATAGTAGAAGTGGATCCCACAGGATGGGGAATGACAGAAGGTTAAGAAGGTAAGGAATTCTAGGATAGTAAATGATAAAACTTACTGCTTTTATTGTGTTGTACCTTCTAGGATTGATGAATTTTCATATGTGTGTTTTTTAAATAATGCCTGCAAATCTTGCATAAGTCAGCAAAGTTATCTAATTATAGAATTTTTTTTATTACACATGAAACCTAGTGACAGTAGGTTTAACAGTGACATTTTGACTAGAATAAATATTAAAATGACATGCAGTGTTTCTGAGCTATCAAGCTGTCAAACATCTAGACGGGTTAAGATCCTTTTGATTGCTAAATTTCCCCCGATCCATAGATGTGTCACATACATTGCCATATGCTACACAATTTCTGCCTTTTCAGGCACATACTAAATGGATGTAACTTTCTTCTATTTGCTTAGATGCCAATGGAAAGGCATTTGATACCCTGTACAGGAAAATGTATAACTTTGGTGAAGTTGATTTCATCAGGCTTGGGGGTATGGGGTGGGATGGGTCTGTCTGCTTTGAGAAAGATTGCAGTTCTGTCCTTTCTCATTTTTGTGTGATTCTCATCTACATTATTCTTAAAGGCTTTCATAGAAGGATTCCAGTGTGTTGGAGGCTTCTACAAGGTCTTTCTACAAACAGGGTGTCCCATGATATACCCAGCTGTTTCTAATTCTCACCATATGACTAACCTGCTTCCTTTTTCTCATACCTTCAGACATATACTTAGTAATGCTTTAATTTTTTTTTTAATTTGGAACTTAACCCCCCCAAAAGAGAGAACATTTCTTTTTCTCTATGTAAACATACCCAAAAGAACATGAAAAGGATTCTATATGAAATTATCAATCTATTTCATACCACTTGCTTTTTTTAAAAATTAAAAAAAAATTTTTATTTTTAGGCAGTTGGGGTTAAGTGACTTGCCCAGGGTCACACAGCTAGTAAATGTCAAGTGTTTGGGCTGAGGCCGGATTTGAACTCAGGTCCTCCTGACTTCAGGGCCAGTGCTCTATTCACTGTGCCACCTAGCTGCCCCTGAGGATTTTTTTTTTTTACTTCCATGGTTTACATGCCCAGTAGTGAGATTACTGGATAAGATATGGGACAGTTTCATCACTCTTTTCTCCTTCATAATTCCAAATTGATATCCAGAAGAGTTTGTTCACGTGTCCACCACCAACAGCTTGTCATCCCGTAGCCATTCCAACATTGACTGATGCCATTTTTGGTCACATTTTCCAACTTGCACGGTATGAGGTAAAACTTAAGTTGTTTTAATTTGCCTTTTTCTTACTATTAGTGATTTAGATCATATTTCATGGGGATTATAGTTTATAATTCTTTTGAACCTTCCATATCCTTTCACTAGTTCTCTGTTGGGTTCTTGGTGTTACATGTTTGTGTCAATTCTCTATATGTTTTAGGTATTTAGACAGTTATTGGTGTTATTTGATGCAAACTTTTTCTCACTAGCATTTCTTTCCTAATATTATCTTTATTGATTTTATTAATGCAAAGTCTTTTAAATTTCATATAGTCAAAATATCTGTCATATCTTTTATTATATAGTCTATTCCTTGTTTACTTGGGAATTCTGCCCTAGCTGGAGTTGTAAAAGGTACTTAGTCTTGTTCTTTTCTGAAATAAAATATATTTTTTTGATGTGGCCTTCATAGTCAGGTCACAGCCATTTTGCACTTATTCTACATATATCTCTACCTCTATACCTATATCTGTACATATATATCTACATGTACACCTTTACTTCTATCTGTCTACATCTAGATCTAACTGTATCTACATCTATTTGTCTACAGTTACATCTTTATATAGATATATAAATCTGTCTTTCTATTTAGAGCATCTATCTCTCTATCTATCTCTCGAGCATCTAAGTGTTTTTCATAATAGTAACTGTGCTAACCCCAAACAAGACAGATCCAACCCTAAGGAGCTTACATTCTGATGGAGGAAGACTACGTGAAAGTAAGGGAAGCTGGAAAATGTATGGTTTAGAGATGGCCTTCTAGAAGTCAATCTTAGATCTGGGCAAGATAAAGCAGCAGCTAACTTGTCAGAGCTCAGGGTGGTTCCAGTGATGGAGTCCAAGTTTCCAATGAGGAGGAGATGAGAATGATGGCTAGACAGACATATACAGAATAGTCTAAACCTAGTTTCAGCCAATCTGCTTTCAGTTTTCATAGCAGTTCTTATGTAAAGACAGACCCAACACTGGCCCAGGGTGATAGCTAGAGTATCCTTTTAACTGTCTTTCTTCCTTCCATCAGGGTTAAGTGACTTGCCCAAGGACATACAGCTAGTAAGAATCTGAGGTGGATTTGAGCTCAGGTCCTCCTGACTGCAAGGCCAGTTGCTCTATCTACTGAATCACCTAGCTGCCTCTAGAGCATCCTTTACATTAAGAGGCTTGAGCTTTAGGGTTAGGGTTTGGTTCATGTAGAGGGCATCAGACCCTTCTAGAAAAGGTACCAAGTTCTCCCCTCTCCAGTCCAGCTGCCAAAGGTCTTATCATGTCACTCTACTCAGTAAATCCAAGTGGCTCCCAGTTACCTCCAGGATCAAATATGAATTATTTTACCTGGCATTTAAATCCCTTCACAATCTGGCCCTTTCTACCTTTGAGTCTTGTCATACTTTTCTCCCTTCCATATACACTAAAAGGCATCTACACTGGCCTATTTCACACAGGACGCTCCACCTCCTAACTCGTGCCTTTGCATTGATTGTAACCCACACCTGGAATGATCACCCTCCTTACCTAGGTGTCCTGGCTTCCTTGTCTTCTTTTGAGACTCTAAGTAAATCTGGCCTTATTTACCAGGCCTTTCCCAGGTCTTCTAGCTATTAGAATCTTCCCTCTTTGATTATAATCCCAGGCCCTGGTACATAGTAGGGACTAAATAAAAACTGACTGACGCATAACTGGCGCCTGATACAGAAGAAGCTTAATAAGCGCTTTATTGAATGGAGTTGAATGAGGACATATGTTTTTAATAGGGGTGGTTTTTTTTTTTTGGTGAGGCAATTGGGATTAAGTGACTTGTCCAGAGTCACACAGCTAGTTAGTGTTATGTATCTGAGGTCAGATTTGAACTCAGATCCTCTGGACTCCAGGGCTGGTACTCTATCCACTGTGCCACCTAGCTGCCCCTAGGATTTTTGAAAGATAGGAAAAATTAGCGCTAGGAAATAGGGAGAAGAGAGAGAGAGAGAGAGAGAGGGAGAGGGAGAGGGAGAGGGAGAGGGAGAGGGAGAGGGAGAGGAGAGAGAGAGAGAGAGAGAGAGAGAGAGAGAGAGAGAGAGAGAGAAAAAAAAAGAGAAAGAAAGTGTGACCCTGGGCAAATTATTTAACCTCTTTCAGTTTCAGTTTTCTCAATTGTAAAAAGAGGGTTGGACTAAATAAAGATTCCTTCCAGATATGTAGTCTGTGATGTTATATTACCAGATGTGTTAAAGTTCCTGGCTTAATAATCCAGACAAGTGACATTTTTATATTCAGCTTTGCTCTCATTAAAGAAGTCCGAATATTGAGATAATACATGTAAAATTCTTTGCAAATGGTAAAGTGCTACAGAAATGCCATTTGTTCTTATTAATACTGTGATTACGTAATATCTAATTACAGTTGTCATCTTTTTGGCCCTCTTTCATTCCCGAGCTGGTAATAGGTATCATAGTAGTATTGTAAAGTTTCATATTAAAGCCTGTCCTGTCAAACTAAAATGTATTCTCATAATTAACAGGTTATATTCATCCATGATGTCTCTTCCACTTACCGGGTGCCTGTCCTTTTGGAAGATCAAGGTATCGTCAAGTATTTTAAAGAGAGATTGGACCTGCCTATTGATGATCATGCAAGTGATTTGCTTTTCAAATGGAAAAATATGGCTGACAGGTATGGTAATGAGGTCATCTCTACAGGAGTAAAATCTTGTTAGAACACTAGTGTGTGGAAGAATAATGATTTGATCTGCAGTCTATCTTGGTATTTCCTAGCCAGTGAGCCTCTTGGGTCTATGAAATTATTACCCAGAGGCCTACGAATCTGTAAGTTACAAAATTGTGTTTGTTAAATGACAGAGTTAATCAAGAAGCAGATTTACCTTCTGGACACTGAATAAATAAATACTTGGCACGTAGTTTGAATTGGACCTGTAATTTCATTGGTGTATGGCATTCCTGGTGAGGAAATGCTTCCTACTAGGGCGTATCAGTACCAGCTCTGCATTTTTCAGAATTACTTGGCAGTCTAAGTGGTTAAGGTACACACCGGCAATGTTAGGCAGTGTCAGAGATAGGAACTGAACCCAGGTCTTCCTGACTGAGGCCACTCAGCTTTTCATATGTGCCTTGCACATACAGATACAAATAGAAATATAAATAAGGATGATAGCTAGTGGGGATAAATTAAATGAGGTTTTTTTTTGAGGATGAGGGAGACATGGAAATGTTTGTAGGCTTCCTGAGTATCAATATATTTCTATCAATATCTCTATAGATAGAGATGTAGAGATAGAGACCTATAGAGATCAATGTGTCTATATATATAGAGATAGATAAGAACATTAATATAGATATAGATCTATATAAATTTTTCTTTCTATATATTTATATATAGCTGTATCTCTGTAGATTTTTATTTACATCTCTATCTCTTTCTCTATATTTCTGTCTTTATAGATCTCTCTCTCTCTCTTTCACTTGATTTACATATATATTGGCAGCAGGGTTTGGGTCCAAATATTTAGGGAACTCCTGGTATGGAAACACCCACCAGCATGTCTGTGACTTAGTGTTGCCCGGAGATCATGGATTATACATTTTTAGAGCTGGAATGGACCTTAGAGGTCCATCTGATCCAATTCCTTCATTTTATAGGTAAACTAAAACTTAGAAAGGTTAGGTGATTTATCCGAGGTCGCACATTAAAATGAACCTTTGTTACCCTTGGAATCAGTTCTCAGCTCTATAGTCCCAGCAGACCTGGGATTAAAACCCAGGCTTTTTTACTTCAGTTTTAGCCCTTCTCCCACTCTTCCATGCTATAGGTTAAATGATTTTTTCCTTGGTAGCTCAACCAGTCTGTATAAGAGGCAGGTCTTGAATCCAGGACTGCCTGACCAGAACTGCTAACTTCATGCACTATGTCTCTCATATGATGACTTTTAAAAATATATGTTAGGTGCTGCTGTGGTTAATAAAATACAAATTTATTTAAAGTGTTACTAAATATTCATAATAGCTTTTTGCTGTTATGTATCTTCAATCAATGTATATGAATAATATAGCTATTAATTGTAGAAGAAGACTGAAATTTTTTTCATGTAAAAAGAGTTCTTATACTTGAGAGGGGGATAGCCTGATGCAATGGAAAGAGAACTAAATTTGTATTCAGAAAATGATCCTAAATTTGAATCTGGGTTCCACCACTTTCTGCAGTGTGACCTTGGACATTATTCTCACTAGGCCTCACTTTTCTTATCTTTAAAATGAGTTGGGTAGACTAGATGGTCCTTAAGGTTCTTTCATCTCTACAGCTGTGAGCCAAGGAAACTTTGCTCTGTCTGGATTTATAATAAGCTTTATTTATAATAGAGGTGTGTTATTCTTTTTGAAGATTTCTGGTACTTAGGATTTTTCCAAGCTTATGCAAAGATATATTTGAAGGAGATTGACCTTCAAAAGATGTTCTAAAAAGCTGTATTTTTTCTCTTTCTTCATGAACTCTGAAATTCCTTTATCTGATTATAATCTATTATTATTCCACTTTTATCTCTGTCTTGCAACCCCAAACTTTCATCTACAGCATGATGTGACCTCAAATCCTCCTCAGTTCTTTACCAGACCATCTCCTCTGCACTGTCTTCCCTTCTCCATTTCTTTATTTTTTTAAATTATTATTTATTTTTAACATTCATTTAAAAAAAATTTGAGTTCCAAATTCTCTCCGTCCCTCAAGCCCACTCCCTTGAGAAGGCAAGCATTATGATATTAATTATACATGCGAAGGCATGCAAAACGTATTTCCATATCAATCATGTTACAAAAATTAAGAAAGCAAGAAGAATAAAGTGTAAAAAGTATGCTTCAGTTTATATGAACTGATGCAAAGTGAAGTGAGTAGAGCCATGAGATCATTTTGCATAGTAACAGCAATATTGTATGATGACCAGCTGTGAATCACTTAGCTGTTTTCAGCAATACAATGATCCAAGACAATTCTAAAAGACTCATGAAGAAAAATGCTGTCCACCTCCAGAGGAAAAACTGATGGAGTATGAGTGCAGATCGAAGCATACTTTTTAACTTTATTTTTCTTGTCTCTGTTCTTTTTTGCAGCATGGTTGATATGGAAATATGTTTTACATGATTGCACATGTATAATTTATATCAAAGTGCTTGTTTTCTCAAGGAGGGGGAGCAGAGAGAGGGAATTTGGAACTCAAAAATTATAAATGAATGTTAAAAATTATTTTTACATGTAATTGAGAAGAATAAAAACGTCCTTTAAAAAGGAACGTGAAAACAGAACAAAAGTATGCTTCAACCTGCACTCAGAATTGATAGACCATTTCAGTTCTACATTGTCTTATTCTTTTAAGTCCTTTGCCCCCTATTGTATCACTCATCTTTCCCTGCAAAGCCTCAGCCTTAGATTATTCTCCCCTTTGCTCCTACACCCATACTGCTAAATGAAGCTGGAGAAAATCATGAAACCATCCTGTGTGATTTTACCAGAAATTTATGTTATATAACCTCAACTGGGCCTCATTGTTGTAAGGCAGTCCTTTTATGCCTCCCTCAATAACTCACTGTCCCACTCATCTAGCAGGTCTTCCAAATTTTTTTTACCCCTTCTCAAACCTTTTATACCTCTCCCTCTGCCTTCCCTCTCAGCTGACAGCTTTGCCTCGTATTTTACAGAAAAAGTGGACGCCATTTGCTGAGAGCTCCCTCTTCTCACCTCTTCCTCATATTACATCTCCCAGGTGTCTTCTGTCACTGTCTCCTTCACTCCTATCTCACATGATGAGGTGGCCTTTCTCCTTGCCAAGGTTAATTCCTCTGCATGGACAAGGGATCCCCTTCCATCCTGTCTTCTCCAAGAGATTGCCTCCTCTATCATCCTTGCCCTCCCACTTACCTTTGGTCTTTCCCTATCTTTTAGCTACTTCCCTACTGTTTTCAAATACTCCCGGGTCTCCTCCTTCCTCAGAAGAGCTTCCGTCTCCTGGATCTTTTCTTACCTATCTGATTGCTTCTTCTCAGTTTCCTTTGTTAGATCTTCATCCAAGTCATGCCTGCTAACCTTGGGTTAGCAGGGCTCTGTTTTGGGACCTTTTCTCCCTCTACACTATTTAACTTGGAGATCTCATCCCCTCCCAGGGATTCAGTTACCATCTTAATGGTCCTCAAGTCTGCCTCTCTAGCTCTAACCTCTGTGCTGACCTTGAGTCTTTCATCTCCAGCTGCCTATTGAACATCTCAAGCTGGATGTCCTGTAGACATCTGAAATGCAACCTGTCCAAAACAAAACTTGTTATTTTCCCCCCAAACCTTCCCCCTTCTTAATTTACCTGTTACCTGTCCGGGGTAGCACTGTCCTCCCAGTAGCCTAGGGGTGATCCTCAACTCCTCTCTCTGTCTCACCTCCCATATCCAATCAGTTGCAAAGGCCTGTTGATTTTACCTTTGTAGCATCTCTCAAATATGCCCCTTTCCCTCCTCTGACATTGCTGCCACCCTGATTCAGGCCCTTATCTTTTTTTTTCTTCTTTTTTTTTTTTAAGGCAGTTGGGGTTAAGTGACTTGCCCAGGGTCACACAGCTAGTAAGTGTTAAGTGACTGGTCTGAGGCCTCATTTGAACTCAGGTCCTCCTGACTGCAGGGCCGGTGCTCTATCCACTGCACCACCTAGCTGCCCCTATTCAGGCCCTTATCACTTCATGCTTGTACCATTGCAATAGGCTGCTCATTAGTCTTCCTGCCACAAGTTTCTCTCCACTGCATCCTATCCTCCACACAGTTAGCAGAGTGATCTTCCTAAAGCGCATGTCTGACCATGTCACTCCCCTACTCAGTAAACTCCAGTGGCTCCCTATCACCTCCGATGTCGAATATGAAATCTTTTGTTTGGCATTCAAAGCCCTTTATTCCACTGCCACCCCAACTACCCCACCTTTCCAGTCTTTACACCATGCACCTTCCTCTGTCACATCCTCTGTGATCTAGTGACATTGGCCTCCTGGCTGCTCTTCCTGCAAGATACTCCATCTCCAGATTCTGGGCGTTTTTACTGGCTGTCTCTCTATATCTGAAATATTCTTCCCGTTCTTCCTTTGAGTCTCAGCTAAAATCCTGCCTTCTACAGAAAGCCTTTCTTGATTTCCCTCATCTTCCCTCTATTGATGATTTCCAATTTATCCTGCACGTAGCTTATTTGTACATAGTTGTTTACATATTGACTTCCCTTTTAGACTATGGTCTCCTGGAAGGCAGGGACTATCTTTTGCCTTTCTTCATATCTCTAGTGCTTAGCACAGTGCCTAGCACATAGTAGGTCTTTAATAAATATTTATTGACTGACTCTATATCTGAATAGTGTCTTTTGACACTGTTGGAGTTCGATCTCCAGTCTTATGCCATTTTATGCTCTTAGGAAATATGAAACTAAGGAAAATTTATTTGACTGGGAAGGAGTTGTTTGTTGTCATTGTAATTTCCTCTTGCGTCTGTAGTTTTAACTTCATAATCAAGCTCCTTGTTTGGATAAGATAGAGAAAGCATTATCAAATGCTAATTATGTACCAGTTAGTGTGTTAAGCTCTGGGATTACCAATATGAGAAATAAAGACAGTATCTGTCCTCAAGGAGTTTCCTCCTTCCTTTTTTCCCTCCCTCTGTTTCTTCCTTCTTAACTTCCTTTTCCCCTCCATTACTTCTTCCCTCACTCCCTTCCTCTTTCCTTCTCTCCCTATCCTTCTCCTTACCTGCTGTATTACTCTCCTTCCCTACCTGTCCTCTTTACCTATAGCATTACCCTTTCTCCCTCTCCTTCCCTGTCTTCCAGTTTCTCTTTCTGGGTTGTCTTTTCTAATTAGAGAGGGTGGAGATTGTCTTGTTTGCTTAGATTTATGTCCTTTGCACCTAGCCCGGTGCCTCGTGCATAATAAGCATTTAATAAATGCTATTGTCCATCTCTGTCTGTCTATCTAACAATCATATCTCTCTTTCCCTCTCTCTCTATTTCTATTCCTGTTCATCCATCCATCCTGTCCCTATGCCGGAATTCCCTTTACAGTCCCCCAACAAGTGTTTCTTGAAGAGCTCTTAGTATGTAACTACCTCAACAGGTATCTTGATCATTAGAAAATTTTTCCTTAGATCAAGACTGTATCTGTCTTTTTTTTTTTTTTGCTTTTTGGTGAGGCAGTTGGGGTTAAGTGACTTGCCCAGGGTCACACAGCCAGTAAGTGATATGTGTCCGAGGCCAGATTTGAACTCAGGTCCTCCTGACTCCAGGACCAGTGCTCTATCCCTGTGCCACCTAGCTGCCCCTGTTTCTGTCTTATTGTGAAGTGCTGAACTTATATCTATAGAAGCCAGTGGAGATCATGAGGCTGAACAGGTATTGACCCCAGCACTGGCCTCCAGATCCTTTCCCTATCCCTTTTCCAGTAGTTCAGCAAAACTGACAGTAACCACATCTGACAGTGTAGGGAACATTGCCTCTCCTCTGTAGCCCTCTCCTTTTCCTCTCCTTTACCAAAAAGAGGCAGATGCTTCCTCATCTCTTTTCTGGAAGCCAGATTGGTCATGATAATTACTTAGCAGTGGGCTCCATTTTAATGTTCATTTACCCTATTGGGGTCATTATGCATGTTGTGGAACTTGTTTTTTTGAAACTCTTCAATATGTGTTTGCCTTTTGTTCATGTACTTTTATCTCATAAAAGCATAGTAAAGGCCATACAGTTACGTGTCTTAGTGGGCAATGTAACAAGGCTGCCTTTGTGTAAAATAAATTAGCACAACAAGGCCTAAAATCATTTACTCCCCAACTGTGTTGGTTTTAGGGTTTTGTTTTACTGTGAAAATGAAAAAATAACCTATTGTTCTGTTGTTTCAATATTCTTTATTTATCAGTGACATTCAAAGCAACTATGACTTATGCATTACTAATACAGTGCATCACACACATCTCCTTGGGAGCTTCCCCCACTTTTAACCTACTTGTAATATTTATGTGAAGGAAGGAGCTCCTACACCATGTGAAGCATTTGTGATAGACAGGCTGGGCTGATGGAAGGAGGCTACAGATTCTTTTTTCTACTGAAGAAAAGGCTAACAGTGCCACAGACTTAATACCAGGCTGTCCTTTAATGTTTGACTTTACAAAGAGTTCCAGACACGAACAACTTTTAAAATAGCACCTTTTAATGTCAAAGTGAGATGGGAAATCTTTCTAGAATATCTGCCTTGTGAATGTTTTGAATTTTCTCGTGATATTCCTTTTTATATTCTGAATAACACCCCTGTACATAACACCCTGTCTCCTGTCTCTGTGTCTTTTCACTGGCTGTCCTCCCATCCCCCCACCCCTTACCTCTGCCTCTTGGCATCCGTTCAGATTTAGTTAAAATCCTTAATTTCTGCAGGAGGCCTTTTTGACCCCTCCCTAAACCCAACACGTACTATAAGCATCTTTTCTCTGAAATTCTTGTGTTTTGTTGAGTCATTTCAGTCATATCTTGACTCTTTACGATCCTATTTGAGGTTTTCTTGGCAAAGATACTAGAAGAGTTTACCATTTCCTTTTCCAGCTCATTTTACAGATGAGGAAACTGAGGCACACAAGGTTAAGTGACTTGCCCGGGATCACACAATTAATAAGTGTCTGAGGCTAGACTTGAACTCAGGTCCTCCTGACTCCAGGGCCAGTACTCTATTGCCTATGCTTCCTAGCTGCCCATTCTCTGAGGTTACTTTCCACTTGCTCTGTATATAGCTTGTATATACCTAGTTATTTGCATGTTGTCTCATCCATCACAACGTAAGCTTCTTGAGGACCGGGATTATATTTTCGCCTTTGTGTCTCTGGAGTTTAACATGGTACCTAATACAGAGTGAGTGCTAAGGTGTTGCTCACTGCCTGAATCGCTCACTGTGCTTGATCAGGGTGAGCTCTTCATTTGTCCAGCAGAAATCTATCCTTAGGTAAAAACTGAATAGGTCTAAAAAGAGCTTTCAGTGAAAGTATGAGATGACACGCATTATAGTGACTAATTTTGGCTTGAGAAGGCTGGTGGTAAAGCATTCCTCCTTCTTCTTGACAGATAGATAGGTGATGGACTACAAGTATAGCATGAGGTATACGTGTTCAGATATGGCCAACATATTGGCTTGTTTGCATTAATTGTAATTCCTTGTTACAAGACAGGGTTCTGGAGGAACCATATTTTAATGTGACTGATTTAAAAAAAAATTAAAGCATCAATAAATTTAGTTTTAAAGAAAGAGCTACAAACCAGTCATTAAAAAATTGTTTCTGCATTGATTTACCTTTTGTAATTAGGCAAAGGCAGGATGTTTTTGAGAGATCTGAATTTCTAATCAATAGAGGTTTTATTTGATGGAAATTTCCAGGATTAGCATATATGAGAACAGTCAGTCCATCTTTGTTTAAGCCTGAAGGGGCTCAACTCATTAGCACTTAACAGAACAGAAGGTAACAAGAATCACCAAAATACACAGGTGCTGTCAGCACCGTAAAGTTGTTCAGGGCGTAGAGTCTGTGTTCAGAAATGAATTCCCTGAAATGATCCACAAAATTCCTAGGTAGCATTATTATTTGCTGACTTTTTCAGCAGCTGTATCTAGTCCTGTCTTCCTGCAGTTCCAAAGCCAGTTGTACCAAAATATGTTTATCTGAGTCAGACATTCCTTAGGCAATGCATCTTTTATGTACAGGACACTCTCAAAGTCTTAGGGCAGTTTTAAGCTATTAAAACTACTTAAGTTATTAAAGCTTAAGGCTGCACTAAGACTTATGGGACATGCTGTGTAATGATGCCAGCTACAAAGACAGTACTACATGGATGGTATCCCTGACTTCCAAACATTTTAAAAATAACAACAAATAGCAGGAGAGTTCACAGCCAAAGTCTTAACCATTTGGGGGGCAATATCTTTAAGTGTCTCAAATTGTGGTAACTAGCAGTAGCCCATGTATACCCCAAGTTGATACCTTTACAAATCTTCACAAACAAACAATGTACAATTTTCTCATATTCTTGATTTATAGTTTCTTAGCTTTATTGTTTGGGCAGCTAGGTTGGCACAGTGGATAGAGCACCAGGCCTGGGGTCAGGCAGACTCATCTTTATGAGTTTAAATCCAACCTCAGACACTTACTAGCTGTGTGACCTTGGGCAGGTCACTTAACCCTGTTTGCCACAGTTTCCTCATCTGTAAAATGAGCTGGAGAAGGAAATGGCAAACCACTCCTGTATCCAGAACTCCAAACGGGATCACAGAGAGTCATATATGACTGAAACGACTGAACAACAAAAATGATATTGTTCAAACCCTGAAAACAGTCATATGTAAATAAAGTTCTATCTTGACTAGAAGCTTCTTTCGTATAGGAGCTATTTTCTTTGAGATCCTCAGAACTGTTTCAAGCTGCTTTTCGCACACAAATGTTTTTTTCGCCATTCTATCAGGTTTTAATTTTGGACAGCTCTCCTTCTGAAATTGCTTGTAGATTCTATCTCCAGGATTTATTTATGGTTTTGATATTTTCTGACAGATTCAAGGTGCTTTAGAAATAGAATTTTAGGTTCAAGAGTCTTATTGTAAGGGTATGAATGATTAAAAATTGTGCTTTGCAACTAGGCAGAGTCTAACAGTCAGGTCTTATGATGTGATCCTTGGTATGTATGATTGTGATCCTGCAAAGAATTTGAAAAAAAAATTTTTTTTTTTGTCAGGTATGAAAGGTTACAGAAAACATGCTCCATAGCCCTGGTTGGCAAATATACCAAACTCAGTGACTGCTATGCATCAGTATTTAAAGCCTTGGAACACTCTGCTTTGGCAATTAATCACAAATTAGATTTAATGGTGAGACTTGATCTGTTTTTCCAGAATGTTTCGGTTTTTAAAATCAGTGTTCATACTTAAACTAAAGTATGCTTTATAGAATTAAGTTGTGCATGTACCTATGAGTAGAAACTTAGAAATGTTTTTTGGACGTAATAGAACTGATAGTAGATTTTTTTATTTAATAAAGCAAACTATTAATAAAAAAGTGGTATTTTCTTCTAATTTGGTGAAGTAGAATGTAACTATTATTAACAGTTATAAACTACTCTTGAAATTCTTGCATGTATACTACAAGGCATTATTGGATCATATATTGTAGTTCTTGTTATCTTTTGTTTATTGTGTGTGAGTTTTTAGAAGTAGCATTCCAATTTGAAGGCGTGTTTGAAAATAAATTCTCAAATGCAATCCTGGGAAAAGGATCTGAGCTATAGGTCAATAACTGCTTTTCATGTGGACATTAGTAAAGTCCATCATGGCCAAAGTCTATCATGAAGGGTATATTAAGAGATCATGAAAATGAAAAAATAATTAGATAGTACAATAATGAGCATTTTTAGAGTGCTTACTATGTGCCAGGCACTGTGTTAAGTGTCTTAGAAATATTTTCTCATTTGATCCTCATGGCAACCCTGGGAGTTAGGTGCTATTGTTATCCCCATTTTACAGATGAGGAAGCTGTGGCAAACAGAGGTTGACTTGCTCAAGGTCACACAGTAAGTGTCTGAACAAAGGGGAAGATAATCAAAGAGTATAGGCATCCAAGAAACTAGATTGATCCCTTCATGTTTCATCATCACATATGCCTAGAGGCATGCATGTCTGTATATATGCATGCACACGTGAATATACACATGCACATGGATAAGTGCGCACACATATACATGTATCTGTATGCATGTCCACATATACACAATACACATATGCACACATGCATATATACACAGATACACACATACACGTGTACATACATAATACATAGTACACATGTACACAATATACATACACACACATCCATACATACATGCAAATGCTTGCCAAATGGCAAGTGAAGGTAGAATAATTTAACATTTGATCAGACCTCAAGAATTACTTATTTTGAATTTCATTGAGATCAGATTCTCTTGCTGTATAAATTTACATGTGTAGTGATTTGTATTTTGTTCCTGACAGCAGGTTTTAGGGCTTGGACCACTTTCACATCTGTCTTTGCTGATCACCCTTTACATGTATTGGAAACATTGTGATGTAATGGAAAGAAAAATGATCTAGAAGTCAGGAAAACTGAGTTTAATCCTGGCCATGACACTAACCAATTGTGTTAATTGGGTCTCAGTTTTCTCTTCTGTAGAAAAGCAGAAATTTGGACTTTGATCCTCTCTAAGGCCTTTTGCAACTTTACTCATCCTAATTCTGATTCCATCCCAAATTGTCAGCCTCCACCCACATGCCTTTACTCTGTAAAAATTGAAGCCCATTTAAGATCACATTCTAACAAAGATATAAAACCAGTGTTTTTGTTAGAGAGTGAAACCTCCACGAATAGATTAAACTGGTACTGGAGATAAGCAGGATTTTATTTAATAGAATTCATTGTACCTAGATTTGGTCTTTCAGGTGGATTGTGATACTGTTTGCTATGTATTAATTAAAATGAGGCTCATTTATAAATTTGAAAAGTGAGACTATGATAATGTTTTATATAGAGGAATTACATCAGGACTGCTTTATATATACGTGTGTGTGTGTATGTTTATATACATATATATATATGTATATTAGAATCTCTTTGTGTAGCTTTAAAGATTTATGTGTAATTTTTACAATCTTTCGTTTGTAATGTATGATATTTGAAATTCATATTTTCCAGTATTCCCCCCCCCCTTTTGATAGAGGATGAGTTGATTATGTTGGCTAGTCTCCTTTTGTGAGGATTTTGCTCGTTTTCTATTCCCTAACACTCCTCCGTCTCCTCATAGTTACTAGTACTTCCTTCCCAGAAATTGTTTCATATTTATTTTGCATCTACTTATATGTGAATTTGTTGTTTCTCTGCATGAAATGTAAGCTCCTTTAGGGCGGGGACTGTTTCGTTTTTGTCTTTTTCTAACATGATGCCTGGCACAGAGTAGGTGCTTAATACATGCTTATTGGTTTGCTTCTCAGTATATAGATTCTACTGATCTAGAGCAATCTTCTGAGGTTGAGAACCCTGTGAGATTCCATGAAGCCTGGCAGAAGCTGTGCAAAGCACAGTGAGTACCTACAACACTGTATACCATAGATGCTTGGGAGGATCTCTTTATTCTGACTCTAGAACAGTGAGACCTCTTATTCCTGGTATAGTTTTTGTGTATTTCAAAATTCATTCATTCATTTATTTTTTATTAATATATTTTGATTTATCAACAATCACTTCCATAAGCTTTTGAGTTTTAAATTTTTCTCCCCCTCCTTCCCCACCTCCCTTCTTAAGACAGCATGCAATTTGATATAGGCTTTACATATACATTCCTGTTAAACATATTTTCACATTAGTGATGTAAAGAAGAATTAGAACCAATAGGAAGAACCCCCAGAAAGAGAAAACAAAATGAAACAGAAGAAAAAAATAGCAAATAGTATGCTTCCATCTGCATTCAAACTCCATAGTTCTTTCTTTGGATGTGGATAGCATTTTCGATCATGAGTCTTTTGGAGTTGTCTTAGATCCTTGTATTGCTGAGAAGGGCTAAGTTTATCAATATTAGTCATTGCACCACGTGGCTGTTATTGTGTACAGCATTCTCTTGGTTCTGCTCACTTCACTCAGCATCAGTCCATACAAGTCTTTCTAGGTTTTTCTGAAGTCTGCCTGCTCATCATTTCTTATAGCATAATAGTATTCCATTACATTCATATACCACAACTTGTTCAGCCATTCCCCAGTTGATGGGCATCCTCTCAATTTCCAATTTTTTGCCACCACAAAAAGAGCTGCTATAAATATCAAAATTTATTTTTAAAAAAATGTACTCAAGGTCACTAAATCCTACTTGTAAACATGGTGGGAATTGGCTGGTAGAAGGGGGAAGGGAAGGAATAAGTAATGTGTTGACTTCAAAATTGTATTGTAGAATTGTGCATTGAAAGCTTTGACCTCCTGGGAGGAGTATATTTTGTTTTTGTAGGGGTGGGTGATAAGAATATTTGCTATCTCAAGTTGAATTACAAGATAGTTGGGATAATATTTATTTAATTTTTAGCTCATGTTTTATGGTTTCCTGCTTTCACCATTTACCTGAGTCTTTGCTCTTCCATGTGACTGATCATTCTCATGTTTTAGTGTGGGGACCACCTAGATAGAATTATTTTATACCACTGCATGTAATCTCTAAACACTCCACATATCAATCCATTGCAACATTGAGGTCTTTGGTAGCCGTTAATCTTCTCAGATTCTTTAGCTGATTTCAAGTGTAACTTAAATTTAATAGCTCTTGGCATTATTTTATAATGCCTTTTTTTGGGGCGAGAGGAACAGGGAGTAATCTCTTTGGAACAGAATCTGAACCAAGATTTATTTTTTCTTGAATTAAATTCCCCCAGTTATTATGCAGTTCAAATGCCAAATGGGAACAAACAAGACCAGAAAATATTCGTTAGTTTTGCTTTATACCAAATGGTACTACATAGTGGTGCAAACTCTTCATCCTTGGGAAAATTTCAAGAAGAGAAGTTGTGACAGCCAATTCATAAATAATTGTTGGATTGTTGAATTGGCGTATCATGTACCTACTTTAGGCAAAGTAACCTAGCTGCCAACATCTTTCAGTGCATGAGTAAAATTGAAATGAAGCTATTACTGCAATTCATAAGTTGTGTTGACCATTACCAAATGTTAAAAAAAATTGGAATTATGCAGGGCTGTGCTTTTGTTTTTTAAAACCTAATTCACACTTAAAAATCCAGGTCCGTATAATGGTGCTTATGCTTGATGTTTGATTTGCCATTCTCTAGGAATGGTGGTGGTAGATAATAAAAGGAATGACGGATACTTACCTCAAACACTCTGGTTGTTTACAGTGGTATTCTAGTACCAGGAGGCTTTGGCTATAGGGGCACAGAGGGAAAACTCCGGGCGATTTCTTGGGCACGAACAAAGAAAATACCTTTTCTGGGTAAGACTCAACTCATACAATTAACACTATAATGACATAATTGATCTCATTTTTGAGAAATAGTAGGGTTGGAATGCAACCCTTATTTGAGTTTGATAATATCACAGGTTTCAATCTGGAGATATGGGGTGGGGAAAGCAGTCCTATTTACTCTTTTGGTAAGTGAGGAGAAGTTTTTTAGCCTGATTCTGTAGAAGCAGCATAATGTTATAATGGAAAAAAGACTGGGTTATAGTTAGAAGACTTGAGTTCGAATCCTAGCTCTCAGAAACTTGCTGCTTCTGTGACTTTGGGAAAGTCACTTAATCATTCTGGACCCTGAATTAGTAGCTTCATCTGTAAAATGGGGGAGTTTACCTCTATAATCCTTTATAGTCTTAAACCTGTGATCTTAGATAGAACAAATGTTGTTTAGCCAAAATACCATTGGACTTCAGATGAGAATTGTATTCAGTTGCTTACTGTACCACTGACTAGCTGTGTGATCCTGGGCAAGTTCTTTGAAATCTCAATTTTTCTATCTGTGAAATGGAAATAATACTTTATTTTCCTCACTTTGAAACACTGTGAGGTAAAGTCTTTATAAACTGTTAAGGATACAAATATTATCTTCAGGTGTGATGCTGACACTGTTTCCTTTTTTGTTTTGTTTTGTTTTGCTTTGTTTTTCCCCCCCATTGGTAGCCTCCTTAGATCCCTTTGTCTTTCCTCCTCCCTCTCTGCACCCTTTGGCATTTTCTTAAGCACAGCTGCTCAGTGACCTCTAGCTCCTTTATGGTTGCCTTAAGTGTCTTACTATAGTCTTTCACCCAGATTTGACCTTTTCTACTAGGGTGTCTCATAAGTGGTATAGTAGAAAGTACATTGACCTTGGATGTAAGAGTCCTGGGTTCAAATCCTAGCTGATTTTTTTGTTGTTCAGTTGTATCAGTTACATCCAACTCTTCATGACTACATTTGAGGTTTTCTTGGCAAAGATACTGGAGTGGTTTTCCATTTCCTTCTCCAGCTCATTTTACAGGTAAGGAAACTGAGGCAAATAGGATGAAGTGATTTACCTCGGGTCACATTTACCCTTCCCCTTCTCTCCTGTCCTTCATTCATTCCTTCTCTCTAATACTGGGTAGAGATAATTGTAATTTATATTAGTGGTGGAAGGAAGCAGACTGATGGAATCGTGGTTCCTTAAATGAGGGGCCACATAAATCTGTGCCTCGGTGCTATCATTAGAAAGGAAGGAGGGAAAGGAATAAGCATTTACTAAGTACCTTCTGTATGCCGGGCACTAGGCTTATACATATCTTTCAGATATCTCGTTGGATCAGTGGAGGTCAGGCAAAGACCTTTCACTGGGTATATTTGTGGTTAAGTTCATGGTTTTTCTTATTCAGCGATGACATGTCTTTTCCCTTGTCCTACAGGCATTTGTTTAGGGATGCAGTTGGCAGTGGTGGAATTTGCCAGGAACTGCCTTGGTTGGAAAGGTGAGTCTAGGGCTCCTTCAAGGCCTCACTCAAGTCAGTTATTTCATTAAAAAGCCTCAGATAAACAAAAACTCAGACTCATCTTATTTAAGGGAAATTGTTGAAATAAGTTTTACTGAAAGTTTTTCTTTCTTAATGCCCAGATGCGGATTCTACAGAATTTGTACCAAATACCAGCATTCCTGTTGTAAGTGACTATTTTTTTACTGATTTTGACGATTTTATATCCTGTTTCCTAAATGCATATAGTTTGTTTCTTATATTATTGAAATATAATTTTAATCATGAAATTGTTTTTGCATCCAGACTCAAATATGTCTTGTACAGTTCATTCTGTCAGCTTTTTACCAGAGTTTCAGTCCTTAACCTTCTTTTCTCCCACCGGTTTTCTTTCTTTTTTTTTTTTAAGTTATTTTATAATTGTTTTCAATTTCTTACCTTTCCGCTCCCCCACTTCCCGCCCCAGTTGAACAACAACAAAAAAAGGAAAATAAAACCTTTGTAAAAAAAAATAAACATTATCAAGCAAAGCAAATTCTCACATTGGTCATGTCCAAAAATGAATGTGTCTTTCAGCATCTTGAGTCCATCACCTTTCTGGCAAGGGTTGTGACTCAGCAGTTTTTAAGGTCCAAATACCTAAGCAGTGAAATAGATCAGTAATTTTAGGGCCAGCATATTCTGTATTGTTCAATTCTTAGAAATTCATCAAGGCTCAGTCCAAATGTCACCTCTTCCATGAATCTTTCCCTCATCTATTTCTGTTATCACCACCATCTTCCTCATATGCAGCTAGTAGAATTATTGACCCTCCTATGAACTCTCATGGTACTTTGTATTATATTTGGGTCCCCAGAGCCTACCAGGGGAAGGGGAAGGAAAATAAACATAGAATGTAAGTTCCTTGAGGGCAAGAGCTATCTTTTTATATTGTTATTTTTTGTTTGTTTGTTTTTGTTTTTTTGGTGAGGCAATTAGTGTTAAGTGACCTGCCCAGAGTCACACAGCTAGTGAGTGTTATGTGTCTGAGGTCGGATTTGAACTCAGGTCCTCCTGACTCCAGGGCTGGTGCACTATCCACCTAGCTGCTCCAAGAACTGTCTTTTGCCTCTTTTTATTTCCTCATTGTTGGCGTATAGTAAATGTTTATTGATTAATTGAGTGTTATCGTGATTACTATGTGCACTTTACATTTTAAGGCATTGTGCACTTTACAAATATTATTTCATTGGGTGCTCATAACAGCCTTGGGAAGTAGATGCTGTTACTAAAATCATTTTACAGTTGAGGAAATTGAGGTAAACAGAGATTCAGTGACTTTCCCGGGTCACACAGCTCATAAGTGTCTGAAGCTGGATTTGAGGTCTTCCACACTCCAGCCTCAGTGCTCTGTCCACTGTGCCACCTACATTTAATAAAGTTACTATTAAAGGATTGAGTCTGAACTAAAAAGCACTTAGAGACACTACAGTGACTTCATACTCTAAAGAATTCAGACCAGCAAACAGTTTTCAGATGTGTACTCTTTACAAGACACGGGGTATATCAATCAATCAATCAATCAATCAATCAATCAATCAATCAATCAGTCAACCTTTATTAAGTGCTTACCATATGTCAGGCACTGTGCTAAGTGCTGGGAATATAAAAAGAAACAAAAGATAGTCCCTGGCCTCAAGTAGCTTACAATCTAGAAAACAATATATTCCTGCTCTAAAGAAATTCATAATACTTGTACTTTTGTGTACATGTTATAGGGACAAAAGGAGAGGTAAAAACAAAGGTATAAGAAGTAGAGGAAGGGACAGCTACATGGTGCTGTGGATAGAGCACCGGCCCTGAAGTCAGGAGGACCTGAGTTCAAATCTGACTTCAGACCAAACACTTGACTCTTACTAGCTGTTACCCTGGGCAAGTCACTTAATCCTAATTGCCTAACAAAAAAAAAAAAGAAAAGGAAAAAAAAAGTAGAGGAGAGAGAACTTTCAGGTGGGGAGATACAGCCCTGAAGGAGGCCAGTATCTTATAGGTGTGGGTAAAATAGCCTTCATGATTGCCAGGAGAAGGGAAAAGGCAAAATATGTGATCAGAAGATAACCGGTAGTCATTTTTGGTTTATGGTCCTCATGGAGATGACAAACAAGAGTAATGTGAAATTAAGGACATAGAATTTGAACCTGGAGAAGTAAGTTTCAGCAGTGTTAGGGCATGTCCTAACTACAAGTCTAAAGAGTTTGTATTTTTTCTTATAGGTAGTGGGCAGCTTCTAAAATTTTTTGAGCAGGATAGTCAGCAAGATTATATTGCAGCTGTATGAACAGTGAATTAGGGAATGGAGAGATTAGAACCAGGAAGACAATAATAATAATAATAATAACAATAATAATAATAATAACAACAGCAACAACAATAATGATGACTATTATTACAGTCCAAAAGAAAGGCAATGAGTATCTGAATTAGTAGTCCCTGTCAGTGTAAGTGGAGAGAGAAGGGCAGAACTGACAGGATTTGCCAGTTCTTTAGATATAGAAGATTAGGGAAAGCCAGAAAAGCCAATGGGATCTAGCTGTTGTTCAGTTATTTTTTAGTCATGCCTGACTCTTTGTGACCCCATTTTGGTATTTTTCTTGGCAAAGATACTGGAGTGCTTCACCATCTCCTTCTCCAGCTCATTTTACAGATGAGCAAACTGAGACAAACAGGCTTAAGTAACTGCCCAGGGTCACACAGCTAGGAAGTTTATGAGGCTGGATTTGAACTCTGGAAGATGAGTTTTCCTGATTCTAAGCCCAGTATTTTATCCACGGTGCCACCAGAGCATCTAATAAAGCAGATTGTATTTTCAGGTTATAGGTATTAGAAATGCTGATACTAATTAGGAGTCTGTGATGACTTCTCGTTTACATGAGAAATGCTCCTTGATATGAATTTGGCAATAATTGTAACAGGCTAATAACTGCATGTGTGTTGTTTTTTTCCTTAAATAAGATTATTACTGTGGAGTAGAAAAGTAACTTTGCCAGAAGAGGTCACTGTTACATAGCTGTAACAACCCCAGGCCTTTAATGACTCGTTGTCCTTCATGCATTTTTCTTCTGAACCAACTTGTTTCAAAGTGTCTAGTAAAGGCAGAGCAAATAAAATGCTGGAAATACTACTGGCTTGCAATCAATCATCTGGCTGAAGAAAATTATCCACGTCTTCAACCTCAGAAGCAGCAGTTTTTGTCAGTGATGAAAACGGGGAGGGATGAGGCTGTCATGTTAATTTTCTGAGTTCCAACAAATGAAAATGTCATTACATAAAGATTCATTGACAATAAATATTTATTTGCCCCTTTGACCCTCCTTTAGGGCAGCCTTTAAAGAAACCAATAGACAAAGTACTGAGAAAATATATCTCGTCTAGATTCCCTTAGTTAAAATAGAAAAAGGAGAAGGAAAAAAGGAATAGACTTTTTTTTAGATAAGGATGAAAAGGCTCAGCCTAAAAGCCTTTTTACTTTTCTCATTTACTCAAGAAATGCATTGAATAACATTTTGTTTCCTTGATTAGCATTCTCCCTCTTTCTTTCCCTTTCATCTTCCCCCTTCCTTCTCTGCCTCTTCCTGCCTTTCTCTTTTTCCTTCTCTATCTCTTCTTTCTTTCCCCCTCCTCCTTCATTCTTTTTCTCTCCTTCTACCTCTCTTCCTTTCCCTCCTTCCCTCTTTCTCTCCCTTTTTCTCTCTCTCTCTCCTTCCTTCTCCCTCTATCTCTGCCTCTTCCTTTCCCTCTCCTTTTTCCTTTCTCTCCTTTTCCCTCTTACTTTCCATTCTTCATTCTCTCTCTTTCCATCCTTCCCTCTCTCTTTCCCCCTTGCCTGCTCTTTATACATTTTCTCCAGCAGAGCTGGTAGGCTGGAAGATAAAGGCATCTGATGCTTCTACAACAAATCAGATTTCCCTGGTCTGTTTCAAGGTCTTTTTTCTCTACTCTTTCATACCTTGCATTGCTTGGAAACTGATGTAGCTCTTTTGTACTCTACCGAGAGAAATCAAGTCATTGATAATTACTATCCTTTCCTTTTCTGCTGTGCCATATCCAAATTGTTTCATATTCTCTGGATAGTAAGTACTACCCTTGGAGTCAGAGGACCTAGGTTCAAATCCTGCCTCTGACACTACCTGTGTGACCTTGGCTAAAGTTAAGATACTTAACTTTCCTAGGCCTCATTGTCCCCCTGTATAAAATGAGTGGGGTGTGGTTAGATGATCTCTGGGGTTCCCTCCAGCTCTAAAAATATATGGTTCCATGGTCTTAGTCAAATGATTGAGTTACTCTTATGCACTCAGTGTTCTTTCTCTGTTTAGTGGGTGAGGGAGAATTTCACTTTTTGTAACCTTCATTTATTTAAATTGTAGCATGATGCTGAAAAATTGCTTGTAAAAGAGAGAACTGATTTTCTAAAAGGAAAAAAAAATTAGTAAGCATTCAAAGCAATGGCATTCTTAAGCAGACATTCTGAGACAGTCTGAGACTGTAGGCTTTGACATGCTAATGCCAGTTTTAGTCATTTATCTTGTCTATCACTTTCTTGTCACAGTGCTTTCAAGGTGAGATTTAATTTTAAGTCAAGTTTTATCACAGCTGATTTGTGAAACTTGCACAGAGGAACAAATTAGAGGATGAAGTGAGAGAATAAGAAATACCGTTACAATTAGAGTTGGAAAGGACAGTAAAGGTCATCTAATCTATTCCCCCCCCATTTTACAGAGGAGGAAACTGAGGTACTGAGGTGAAATGACTTACCCAAATTCAAGCAGGCAGTAAATACCTAAAGTGGGATGTGAATTCAGGCCTTTTGACATCACATCTGGCACTCTTCATCTTATCACATTGCCTCCTTTGTCATCTATCACTCAGTGCTTGTTTTAAGACAAAGCTCTATTTTGAATGTCTCTGCAATTTACAAAAAAAAAAAGCAACTTGGATGAAATAAAGGGAAAAGGAAAAGAAAGAATAAAAAAAATAAGAAAAGAAAGAATAAGAGGCTAGTTAATTACAGATTTTGATTAAGTGTACCTTTCTATGCCACAGTATTTTTAGCCACTTTCAGAAAATAGAAAAAAAAGGTTGAGGTTTACAACCAAGTATCTTATCCTGAGACATATAAGTTTCATAATCTTTTAAAAAAGGTCATTATTTTAAAAGATGGAACTTATCCTCATGGAAGCAATAGTTGAAATCCCGAGAAGAGACAGACCCAGAACCAAACCTGGGGATATGTATTTGTAGGGTTTGGGAAAAGAGAGAAGAAAGGTCAAAGGAGTAAGGGTATAGAAGGTAGACTTGAGAGGCCAAGGGAACTTGTCTGAGGCTACTTGGTATGTCTGTTGCAGAGTTTAAAAGCTGCCCTAATGCTTTCATGCCTAATTTTTTTTTCTCCAAAATTTTTCTCCAAAAATTTTGTTGATTTTGTTGCTTGTAGATCTTTGCAGCAATCAGTGAAAAAGAAATCAGAGTATAATGCTTAGGTCCAAAATAAATTGAACAGCTATAAGTTTTTTTTTTAACACTTTTTTTTTATCTGAGGCAATCAGGATTAAGTGACTTGCCCAGAGTCACACAGCTAGTGAGTGTTATGTGCCTGAGGTTGCATTTGAACTCAGATCCTCCCAACTCCAGGGCTGGTCTTTATCCACTGCACCACCTAGTTGCCCAAACAGCTATAAGTTTTATAGAAGTTCTGAAAAGGGCATCATGCTTTATGTGAAAACTTCATTGAAAAAAAGGAAAAAACGCCTCTTTATCCCTTGTTTGTTATAGTAACCACATCCTTGTTACTGTTGACAACTCCACCCAGGCTTGCAAGCTTGGTGACTTCCTTGACTCCTCGAACTTTCTCACTCCCCATGACCAATCAGTTGCCAAGTCCTCTCCATCTTTCCTTTGTAGCATGTCTTAAATGCACTGCCTCTCCTCTGATACTGCCACTGCCCTGTTGCAGTCCCACATCCCCTCATGCCTGAGCCAGCGGGTTTGTCTGCTCGCTACAAGTCTCTCCGTGGGCCAGTAAAGCTTCCACCCATCTATCAAAGTGATCTTCCTAAAGCCCAAGTCTTACCATGTCACCCTCCCCTATTCAATAAACTCCAGGGATTCCTTGTCACCTCTAGGACCAAATATAAAATCCTCTGCTTGGCATTCGAAACCCTTTATAATGTGCCCTCCCTACCTTTCTAGTCTTCTTACATTTAATATGCCGGCCCTCCCCCGCCCCAGTCTTCGATCCAGGAGCACTGGCTTCTTTGTCGTTCTTCCCACTGGACTTCATCCCCCAAACCTGGGCATCTTCATTGGCCATCCCGCCTTCCTGGAATACTCTCCCTCCTCCTTTCTACCTCCTGGCTTCTCTCAAGGCCTAGCTAAAATCCTACATCTTATAGGAAGTCTTTCCTAATCCCTCTTAATTCTAGTGCTTCCCCTCTATTAATTATCTCCAGTTTATCCTATATATAACTTGTTTGTACATAGCTGTTTACATTTTGTCTTCCCCCCTTAACTGTAAGCTGCTTGAGGGCAAGGACTTTTACCTTTCTTTGTATGCCCAGTGCTTAACGTAATGCCTGGCACATAGTAGGTGACTAGTAAATATGGATTGAGTGACTAGAGCACGAGAAAGAGATGAGGGCTGGATATATAGATTTGGAAGTCATCTGTATAGAGATGCTAGGTAAATCCATGGCAACTGAAGATGAATTGAGAAAGAATGTACAAGGGACAAGAGGAAGGAACCCAGTACAGAACCCTGCAGTATTCTCACGTGTAAGAGGTGGGGCATGCGTGTTGATCCTGTAAAGGAGAGAGAATTAATTATCTGTTTGACAGATAAAAAGGAAAACCACAACGAAGCAATATTGTCAAAGCCCAGAGAGGATAAGGCAGGGATGGGGAATCCGGCCTTCTAGGTCCTTGGGTGCAGCCTTTTAACTGAGTCTAAGTTTTACAGAATAAATCCTTTTATTAAGGGGATTTGTTCTATGAAGTTTGGATTCAGTCAGAGGGCAGCACTTGAGGACCTAGAGGGCCAGAGGTGACCTTGAAGCTGCAGGTTCCCCACTCTTGGGGTACGTATACAGAAGGAGGTTGGTATTCTCTTGTCTTGCAATCCTGTTGCCTTTGGACTTCAAATGGAGGGAGGTTAAATAGTTCCATTGGTAAATATGTGCTTTAAGAACATAAGACTCTTTGTACTAATTAGTCTTTGAAAAGAGAATCAGTTGGGTCCTTATGTTAGTTTAGCCACTTCTTGGTTTTCATTTTTACTTTGTCAGTATGAAATGTAATTCTCTTGAATTTTCTCTTCAAGCTTAGTACCTTCGGTTCTCTAATTAGGACCTTTCCGTAAGAGCACTCAGTGCCATAATGAACCATAGCTTTTAATTTATATAGCCTGATTATTCCTTGCATACTGGATCAGTCATGGTATTCTTCATCAGAATATCTTATATCTTAAAGTTCACTTTTAGATGTTTGTTTCATCAGTTGGCTGATGTTATTTATGATTGAAGGGACCTATCATTGACTCTTATCAAGTATGTTGCCATGTCAAGGTCTGTAGCAAAGTTGAATCTGTTTATTATCCTGAAAGACCTGTTATTCATCACCCTTGATTAGGGGGATGTTACAGACAGGTGATGGACATTGTCTAGAACGGAGATTCTTAACCTGGAGTCTGCAGACACTCCCTCCCCCCTGCAGATAGATTTGGGGTGAGGGGACTCTGAACTTGGATGGGAAAAAATTGCATCTCTTTTCTCAACATAGTTAGTTTCCTTTGTAATCCAATGTATTATATTTTTTGGATTTAAAAGAATTATTCTAGGTTTAACCAGACTGCCGTAGGGATCTCTGTCTCTCTGTCTCTGTCTCTCTCTTTGTCACACACACACACACACACACACACACACACACACACACACACACACACACACACACACACACACACCCTTCTTTAGTTGGAAACCAAGTAGGGAACTGATTTTTTGGTACATTTAGATTGTACAGTGACCTCTGGAGACAAGCTTCCCCGCTCATTTACCCTCTGCTGTATACTGTAAATTTCAAGCCTTTCCCGCATACTGTATGAGAAAAAAATCATTGCTGTATATTATGACTATCTTGGATGTATTCCATGTAGAACTGAAAATCAAAGTGCTAATACATACCAAACAGCACTGAGTCAAGGATGCTTGGATAGATAGATTAGTTTTACTTTCTGTTTTATTTAGGAGCCTTCTTTAAACTTGGATTGTATTTCCCAAGGGAGTTTTTCATTGTTGGGAACCCTGGTTTTAAGGAATGCTTTTCTAGTGGTTCGTTAGAAAAGGCCACTGATTAAAGGGGTCTGTGGCAGGTTATTTCTTAAAGGCATACAGTGTGATATGAAAACTCTGAGCGTCTTCCCTTCCCAGATTGATTCTTTTGGAAATACAAACTAGATCATCTTTTGCCTCAATTCTTACCTAGCCTTTAGTCACTGAATGGGTGTAGCCTCAGAAACCGGGGAAGGACCTTAACTTAAAAAGGCCAAACAAGATCTCTCCCTGAATCAGGGGCCATCACCAGTCATATTGACCTATGTCTTGCCCCTGGACTCCAGTGACTCTGGAGGAGAAAGTGAGGTTGATGACTTTGCACAGCCCTGCCTCACTTAAATCCAATTCACTTGCAAGTCAAGATATCACTCTTTTGATGACATTGGTCCTCTTCAAGATCAAAGAATGAATAACAGTGTAATATGGAGTCATTACTAGCATAATTCAGTTACTGTAGCTCCTCATTTTCCAGATGAGGAAACTGAGGCCTAGCAGGGAAGTGACTTACTCAATGTCATACAGCAAAGTAGACTCAGGATAGTGCCTAAAACCTGGGTCTGCAAACTCCCAGACAAGGACTCTTGCCTCTACACCAGAGGTGTTTCACCTTTTTTTATATCATGGATCCCTCTGGCAGGCTGGTGAAACCTAAGGACCCCTTCTCAGAATAATGTTTTTAAGTGCATAAAATAAATTATATTGGACTGCAAAGCTAGCCAACCAAATGGAAATAAAGATGTAAAATTTTTTTCATCCAAGTTTATGGGACCCCATGAAATCAATCAGACTTGGGGGGGTGGGGTCCATGGATCTCCATTTAAGAACCCCTTCTCTGCATCAAGCTGCCTCCTTCCATGCCCTTGTAAAGTTTCTGTGGAGAACACATTTACTAAGTGAAGAATATTTAAGAATACCTTTATTAATAATACATTAATTTCCTAACTAGGACCATATGATGCTAAAGAATAAAACCTTTTGTTTAAAGGTAGCTGCTCAGGGATTTTATGACTTGTGGCCAGAGCAGAGCTTTGTCTTGGTTAGCACGCTGCTTGCTTCTTCACCAGGGGATGAACTCACGAGGATATCTTTTTTATCAGGACCTGGAATTCCTCAAAACTGACTTCTCCATCGCCATTCTTGTCCAGTTCTTTAAAGAGGTCATCCAGACTGGTGGACCCCTGGGTTAAGATAAATAAATAGGGTTTGTGGGTAAGGGAGAGAGAGACAGAAGGCCAGCCAACTGCTGTTGTTATTTCCAGCAGTAAGAAAAGGGAAAGTGTTGGCTCTGCTTTCCTGGAAAGGCTGAGAATATTTGCATTCTGGTTATTTTTTAGTAGTGAGAAAACTGATGGATAGAGAATTGGACTTGATGTTAGGAACATTTGAATTCAAAGTCACCTTTAGATATTTACTAGCTAGGTGATCCTGGGCAAGTCACCTAACCTGAATAATTTGTAAAATGGGATTGTGAAGATTAAATTAAATAATGTATATAAAAATACTTTGTAAACCGTAAAGCATTATGTATGGATGGAAACTGCCTTTAATTGTGTCACTTCATGACCATCAAAATGTTGATGCCTCAGGCATAGGCATCCCTCTATTTTGAACCCAGTAGACTCAATCTAGGCTTTAGAAATATCAATAGTCTATGAAGTTCAAATAGATCCTAGGAAATATGTAACACCTGGCTGCCAAATGATCAAGCTGCTCTTACTCCCATGTGTAATATAAAAATCAGAAATCTAGATCTGGAAGGGAACTTAGAGGCCATCTAATCCAACCCCCTCATTTTACAGATGAGGAAACTGAGGTCCACTTAAGTGACTTGCCCAAGGTCACACAATTAGTGACAGAGCTGAGATTTGAATCCAGATCTTCTGACTTCAAAGCCAGCATTCTTTCTACCTTATCATGTTGCTACTGCTTCGTAATAAAACTTATAGCTCATATTTATAGGTTTCTTAAGCTTGACTGAAGTTTAAAAGGACCATTGAAATTCTTAAAAACCATTTACTAAGTAATAAGTGAAGTTACAATCTGGTTTCATGAGGGCACTCTGGATCCTTGAAACATTGAAGTTTTATACAAAGAGCCTTCCTTTTCTCATAGCAACGCCGTGAGGCAGGTAGCATAAGGATTATCATCTCTTTGTAACTGTGGAAACTGAGGCTCAGAGAGGTTGCAAAGCTAATAAGTGGATATGAGCTTGAGCTTGAATGTGGGTTTTTTTGCCTCCAAGTCCGATGTTATGCTCAAGGAAAGAGGTTGAAATTATTTTGTTTTTATTCCTAAGGCAGTTTCATATGAGAGCAATGAGATGTAAGCAGAATCCTAGGACTTTGTGTGAGAAATGTTGGCGATGTGCCACAGTTACATAAGTAAAGCATAAATACCATTCTGCTTCTGATACATGGGCACAAAATATGTGCTTCTCTGCTGAAGTTTATGCTAAGCGTGACTGAGACTGTAATTCATCTGTTCATCATGGCGAGACTAGAGGCCAAGGCATATGCTTGTTTTAAATGAGTAGCTCAGTCAGTAAGCCCAGTTAAGTGTTATTTGGAGAATGGATCTTTCAAAGGACGTTGGAGTATTTTGTTTCTCTTAGCCTTTAAAATGCGCTCAAATGAGTTGTCCAGATTATTTTCTTGTTATTTTTCTTATGCTTATTTTTTATTTCTTAGGACTGAATCTTAAAATACTTTTTAAAAAAAGCAAAATTTTATTTTTTTATTTTTCTATTTTCTTAAACCAATTTCTGTTTCTAATAGTTTATCATTTTCAAAGGCCTTTTGTGTTTTACCTATTAAGGTTCAGATTTTTGATATGATAGTTCTGCTTGGTCTGGCCCCGTGCTCCGGAGAGCAGAAATGAGAGCGATGGGGTGGCGTTATAGGAAGGTAGAATTTGCCTGAACATAGAATTACAGATTTAGAGCCAGAAGGCATCTCAGAGGTCATGTAGTCCAACTCCTCTTTTTTTTCAGCTGGGGAACCGTGACCCATATAGGGGGAATGACTTGCCCCAAAATCACACAGGTAGAAAATACAGCATAAGTAGGACTGGGACTTAATTCTTCTTTCTCCGAGTCTAGCAGTCTTTTCATTGTTTCACATTGCTTCCTAAGGGGGAGAAACATCTTCGCAGTTAGAGTTGTTGCAGGTAGGTGGCTTAATGGATTCGAGTACTGGCTCTGGAGTTAGGAGGACATGAGTTCAAATACGGCATCAGACACTTACTTGCTGTGTGGCCCTGAGCAAGTCACTTAGCCCAGATTGCCTCCAAAACAAAAAAAAAAAAACAATTAGAGTTGTCAAAAAATGGAATGAGGTATCTCTAGAGTTAGGGGAGGGTATGGGAGAGTGATTTCCCTATCATTCTAAGTTGTGTAGAAATAGTAAGTGACTACTGTTAGGGATATTGTTATGGATTCTGTTCATGCTTTGGGTAGGAAATGAATTAGATGACTTAAAGTAACAATAATAATAATAATAATAATAATAATAGCAACTAATATTCATTTAGCACTTTGAAGTTTGCAAGATGTTTTACTAACATTGTCTCATCTTATACTTAAAAACAATCCTGGGAGATCTGATGAATGGGAGAAATTTTGATGAAACATAGGCTAAGATAAATGACGTGCAGGTAGTTAAGTGAAAATAATAGCTAATGTTCATTCAGTACTTTAAAGTTTGCAGACTGTTTTACAAATACTGTCTTATTTTATACTTACAACAATCCTGGGGGATTTGATGAATGGGAGATATTATGGTGAAACTTAGGCTAAGATAAGATAAATGACTTAGCGAAGGTCATACAGTTGGTTAAGTGAAAATAATAGCTAATGTTCATTTCATACTTTAAGGTTTGCAGAATGTTTTATGAATATAAATTATTTTATACTTACAACAACCCTGGGAAACTTGATGAATAGGAGATATTATCATAAAACTTAGGCTGAGATAATATAAATGACTTGCCCAGGGTCATGTAGCTAATAAAGTGATGGAGGCAGGGTTTGAATTGAACTTCTCCTGACTCCAAGTCAAGCGATGTATGACTATGCAGCTTAACTATCCCAACACTGAAAAGCTTTTAAGATAAGCTGATCCTTTGTTTGAGAACTTGAGAGATGGAGAGACATAGAAGTGGGGAGAGAGGGAGAGGGAAATAAGAAGTTTCCCTCTACCACATCACATTGACAGTGTGTTTCTGAATAAAACCTAGGAAGTAAGGCAACTTTATATAAAATAAATCATTGGGAGGCAGGATTGGATTCTAAGGAAATAGAATTCTGGAGGTCAAAGAGCATAATGCTACTTTTCCATAGGAAGGAGGCTTTAAAAACAAGCAAATGGGGAGCAGAGACTCATCCTCTCTGCCCCCAAGGAAAATGTAGATGTATTTTTACTTGGACAGTTTTAAGGTAGTTCCAAAATGAGATGTTATGGCAAAAGGAAATCAGTTCATTTCCAGTAATTGTCTAGAAATCAGTTGTTGCTCTTTTTAAACAAGCCCTTTTGAATTAAATGGGTGGCCCTGAACAACAACATAAAAACTAGTCTTGTCACTGAAGATTTAGAGATTTAGCTTTGTTTCTTCAATTATGGGAACCCATGAAGAAAACTATGTATATTTGTTTTAAGGATTTATTTTTTCCTTTTTTTTTAGTGGGGAGGGAAAAATGGAAGGGAAAGAAAACAAATGCTTGTTAATGATAAAAATGTATCAATTCATGGTATCTTTATCCTGTTTGTAAAGTCACTTAGAAATATAGAACAAAGTAACTGTTACTGTTAGCTCTCAGTGTGGCTCCTCTTCCCAGTCACCAATATCTGTCCCCAAGAAAATGGCATATTTCACTCAGTGAGACTGAATCTATTGAGCTCAAGTACCCTCTGGGAGTTTACTTTGTGTTTTTGCTCTTTTTTGGGGGGTAGGGGCTGCAGTCTGGCTTAAGTGATTTGCTGAGGGTCACACAGCTGGCGAGTATCTGAGGCTGGATTTGAACTCAGGTCTTCTTGACTCCAGGTCCAGTGTTCTATCCACTGTACCACCTAGCTGCCCCTGTGTTTTACCTCTTACGCTCAGGTGTCATATCTAGTTCTTCTCTCCCAGCCTCATCCTCACCCATACACACATATACCTATTGTAAGGCTAGGTGGGGCCACTGAAGTTGACTCACCTTCAATATCTGTGGGAATTCTGCCTCGATTAGCAGTTTCAGTTCATCTTTAGACAGCTGGTCAGGATCACCCTCCTTAGCTGCATATTTTACAAAAATTTTTTTGAGTTCTTCAGGGGACTTTTTCGGTGCACTCATTTTGTTTCCTGTAAATTTAGAGAAAAATGGATTAATTGAAAAAAAAACTGCCACAGTAAAGACTTATATAGAAGGGGTCAAGTTTAAGGACTAGGCGTGTCAGTTGATGCAAAAATTTGGTTAGGTATTTTTAAATTCTGGTTCTTCTTAAGTATGGTCCAGACCCATGATTTCATTGGTGTAAGAAACCCTTGGGGAGGCAACCAGTGCATATTGGTGACTGCTCTGCCATTTATAGTCTTAGAGAGTTTCCTAGAGGCACTGAGGGGGGCTAAGTATTTGCCTAAGTTCACACAGATATGTATCAGAAGTGGGATTTTAACGTTGTCTCGAAGGCCAGCTCTCTGTTCATTGTACCACACTGCCTTTGTCAGCAGCCTCAGGAATGAGGTAAGTGAAAGAGAGGAGAGAGGAGATACATATTATGGAATAGGATGATAGGGTCACTAGTGGGAGTTAGCTCATGCACTTCAGTGTCATCCCTGGTTTTCAGTGTTCCTTCTTAGATCGAGGTGGAGAGGGATCTGAAGCTGAGAAAACAGGTTAGTAATCAGTACCCATGAGCCTTTTTGTATCAGGAGTCACTGGGTCTTCTAGAAATTGGTCCAGACTGTTCCCTTATTAGTAATTGGTAACATCCTTCTCTCTCTCTCTCTCTCTCTCTCTCTCTCTCTCTCTCTCTCTCTCTCTCTCTCTCTCTCTCTCTCTCTCCCTCCCTCTCTTTCTTTCTCCTTTTGGCGAGGCAATTGGGGTTAAGTGACTTGCCCAGGGTCACACAGCTAGTGAGTATCATGTATCTGAGGCTGGATTTGAACTCAGGTCCTCCTGACTCCAGGGCTGATGCTCTATCCACTGCACCATCTAGCTGCACATTTGGATTATTCAAGATGTACCTTTTAAGGTGCATCTGAGAACAGCAGCTAACCTCTAAGTTGGCAGGTACGCTGAAAGATAGAAAAGATTTACCCTTTAGCCTGTTGAGGAAAAGATATCTTTCAATCCATAGCAGAAATGAGTCCATTCTTTTTTTTCCCCAGTTAATTTTTATTCTTATTCTGAACTTAACCAGCACCAAATAGATTAGACATTAACATTTACACAGTAGAACAGCAAAAGAGGTTTGTACAGGAAATTGCAGGTTTTCTTTTGTTGAAGTTTGCCTTTTTTTTTTTTTAAATCTGTTGATCTATAGTTTTCAGAGCAATTCTTGTCTGCTTCTCTTTTTGGGTGTCCTTCTGGCTCATTCTTATAAGGAAAATACAAAACTAACATGAGTAGTAGGAATTTCAGATTGGATTAAAACTAGACTTACCTGGTTTATCTGGCAGCAGCACAGCTGGAGGAATCCAAAGAGAAGGTGAAGATCTAAGGAGCCTTCCTTGACTTTTTATAGTATGTACAGACACTGATTATGAAGTTTTCCCTTTTGTTTGCCATTTGCCATTTAAAGGTAATAATTAACTGTTTTGGAAACCTAAGCTTGAGACCTGTGAACCTCAAAAGATAATTTTATAATTAAGGGCAATTACAATTAAGGGCCACCTCATTGTATTACCTAATGGTCCAGAGTCCTAAGAGCAGGTTTTAATTTTTTTCTTGTCTCTTTTCCCTCCTGAATTCTGGTGCTTGCCTTATTTTGTATTTTGAAGTTTGAATAAATGCATTTTTTAAAAAAATTAAGTTAATTAAGCATGGATTGACCTTTGGAATATAATCTTTACATTTCTCTCCTTACCTTAATCTTAGGGAATCCTTAACTTTCTTTAAAGTGTGCTTAGATGTTGGCTTCTATACAGGGTCTTTTCTGATTCTCCCCAGGTATTAGTGTTCTCCCCCTTTTGGAGTTAAGACTTTGTATTATTGTAAATGAATGAGAAGTAGCCTGCTGTAGTAGATAGGACACTGGACTTAAAATCAGGAGGCCCTGGGTTTGAATATTGCCTCGGGTACTTACTAGTTATGTCAGTCAATAAACATTTATTATGTACCTGCCGGGTACTGTGCTAAGCACTGGGGATACAAAGAAATATAAAAGATAGCTGTTGCTCTCAAGGAGCTCACAATCTAATGGAGGAGATAAAATTCTAACAATTGTGTATAAATGAAGTTACATATGGAATAAATTGGAAATAATCAACAGAGGGCAGGCACTCTGAATCTTTGAAAATTGGGGAAAAGAACTAAATTTTCATTTTAAAAAATTGTTATATTTCATTTTTTTACATTGCCTAAATTTTAATGTTCAACTTTGTGGTTACTTGCAGATGTGGAAGAATGATTTTGGTTTTTAGATTCTTTTGTGAACTGTTTTCTTCCCTCTATATCTCTGTCTTTCCTCCCAGGATACGCTTTATGGATTATCCTTAAAGCTTTTAAAAAAATAAACCTTGTAAATAAACTGCTGTTCATCTGGAAGGAATATGATCTCCTAGGGAGCTTCTAGGTTTTTCCCAGGGAAACTGAATTGAATTTTATTGGAGTATCATTCTGTGAGGGAATAAGTACCTTCCAAGATCATTTTTCTCCTGTTGACTGTAAGTTGTCCCAGAACACCTTTTGAAGTTTCCGGAGTGTTCTTCTTCATCCTTTCTTTGGTATTGTAAATACCCACCATTGTAAGACTTACTTCTCCATAACTCCTTATAGAACAAGATAGGAAATCGGTGGAGACTTGATAACAGACTTTTCAGTATGGGATCTTTGCCTCCCTGCTCAGCATATCACTGTTTTATTCGTGTTTACCAAAGTACTTGGTATGAAAGACATAATAACTGTATGTAGGGATAACAAGAGGAATTTGGTCTTCAGTTGTAAAGGTATGTAATAATTATAATCAGGGCATGCAGAATGGCTCGGTGATTTCATTGACAAAGGGAACTCCCAGATGAGGAAGCTCCTTCCACCAATGTACACCAGCATCTTTTCTTTATCTTATACTCTTAGTTGCCTAGAGTGCTGAGAAGTTAAATAACTTGCTTAGGATCACAAGACCAGGACATATCAGAGAGGACTTGGACCAGGTCTTTCTGGGTTGGTGGCCAGTTTTATGTCCACTACTTCATTGTTGTTGTTTAGTCATTTTTTAGTCATGTCTGACTCTTTGTGACCCCTTTTGGGGTTTTCTTGGCAAAGATACTGGAGTGGTTTGCCATTTCTTTCTCCAGCTCATTTTAGAGATGAGGAGACTGAGGCAAACAGGGTTAAGTGACTTGCCCAAGGTCATATAGCTAGTAAGTGTCTGAGGCCAGATTTGAACTCAGGAAGATGAGTCTTCCTGACTCCAGACAAAGCAGTCTATCCATTGAACCACCTAACTGTCCACTACTTCATGGGACTCTCTTAATATAGGTAACATTTATGCAGTGCTTTTAGATTTCTATGGAGTGATATACATACATTCCCTCATCACAGCCCTATGAGGTAGGTACTATAGACATTCTTGTCTTTTTTTTTTTTTTACAGATATTCAAACTGAGGCTCTGCAAATGTGACTTTGCTATGGTAAATGTCCAGTGTTCAGTATAATTGCCTAGTATATGAACCCAGGTATTCCTGAGTCCAAATTCAACACTTTGTCCACTGTGCCATGTAGACCACTGGTGTTAAACTCAGATAGAAATGGTAGCCACTAACCATGCATTAGAATTCCTGTCATGTTGATTTAGAAAATCACACGTTAGAGTTATCTATGTTTTGTTGTATTTTTATTTATTTTGCTAACTATTTCCTAATGACATTGTAATCTGGTTTGGGCCTTACTCCATGTGTTTGACACCTCTGATGTAGACAACACACATTCTGACTTTGCCTTGAAGTTTTAATTAGGATTAGTTAGGATTTAATTAGGATAATTAATTAGGACTCTCACATTACAACGAGATGGTCAAAAAGTTCTAGATATCTTTATAGTGGTGGGTTATGCTAGAGCCCTGTGCTTTTTAACTGAAAAGAATGTTTTTTTTTTATCCAACAGCTAAAGTTAAATAACATTTTCTCTTCCGTTACCTTTCTCTAAAAATTTACACATGCTGGTGTTTAATCACATAGGACGGCTAGGTGGCACAGTAGATAAAGTGTTGGGCCTGGAGTCAGGAAGACTCATCTTCCTGAGTTCAAATCTGGCCTCACACATTTACTAGCTGTGTGATCCTGGGCGAGTCACTTAATCCTGTTTGTCTCAATTTCTTCATCCGTTAAATGAGCTGAAGAAGGAAATGATAAACCGCTCCAATGGCACTCCAGTGCCAGGCACTATGTTAAGTGCTTGAACGTAGAAAAAAGCAGAAGATCTGCTTCTCGCCTCTAAATTTAGTTGAAGTTTTTTTTTGGGGGGGATGGGGTGGAGGTAGAGTTGGAGATGTACAGTAGACTCAAAATTTCATTGTTGTAGGGAGTTTTGAGTTTGGAGTTTCCTCTACCAATGCAGATCAGTATTTGCCTTGCCACTTATATTAGAGAGTTGCTTGGGGGCACTGAGAAGAGTGGTGATTTGCCCACAATCATATAGCCGGTATGTGTCATAGGCAAGACTAGCTCTCATTTGTACTACTCTTAGGAGGATATAAGATTTGTTAAAAGACTTATTAAAAATTGTAAAGACTTATTAAAGAATAATACCGTAAGTATCCACAAAAGTGGATAAAAATCAACTGTAATACTTTGCCAAAAAAACCCCAAATGGGGTCACACAGAATCAGAACTGACTCATCAACAACAATAGAATTATACCTAAAAGTCTGTCACTCTTGGGCAAGCTAGGTGGCATAGTAGATAGAATGCTGGGCCTGAGTTAGGAAGACTCATCTTCCTGAGGTCAAATGTGGCCTCAGACACTTAACTGAATGACCCTGGGCAAGTCACTTAACCCTGTTTCCTCATATGAAAAATGAGCTGGAGAAGGAAATGGGACACTGCTCCATTATCTTTACCAAGAAAACCCCAAATGGGGTAACAGAGAGTCAGACACGATTGGAAAAAAGACTGAATAACAACACATTTAGAATAATGTCATATCAAGAAAATTGTTTCCTTTATTAAATGTGTGTTGCAGCTTGCCACCATCCTAGCAGGAATACATATTTAAGCCTTAGGAACCAGGTTTTTTTTTTTCTTAACCCACTGTTTCCCCCAGTGTCATGGAGCTAAGTTACTCAACCTTGAGTTGCAAAAAAGTTTGCATTTACAACCTGTAAAATTGTGCATCTAGTTAATTTATGTAAGATTTTTGTACGTTGCCTTAATATTCTCACATGACAGTAGAATACCAAAATTTGTAAGTCATCCTAAGAGTTGAGAATTGTAATGCCCAACACGTCATTGTGTAAGGAAAAATAAAAGCGCTGCAAGTAAACTGAAAAAAAAATTGTTTCCATGAATTATATTAGGAGGCTTAGTTATTACCAGTAATAATGTTAGTATTAGTTACTAATCCTGGAAGGGGTACTTTTCTTTCAGAAACAAACACCTGGTAAAGATGGTTGTAATTTTTCCTAGGGAAAATATGTGTGTGTGTGTGTATGCACACACATGTATATTTATATATTTCACATATATACACAGATACATATATACACATACACACATATATAGTATTTCTAGGTATATGCATATCTGGCATTCCTGTGTAAAGACACCATTGTAAGAAACCTTAGTTAGCAGTGAATACATGTTAACAAAGTTTTTTAGGTAGTTTAAAAAAACTTAGGGCTACCTAAATTCCCACTTGTAATATCTTGTTTTAACAATCTCATTTTCTTGCTTTTTCTTTTTTTTAATCTCATTTTCTTTCTAATCTAAATCTTTAATAATCTCATTTTCTTTCTAATCACGTCTATTTTTTTCCTTAGGAGGAAATTCCAGTAGAATGTAGGCTTCTTGGGAGAGCTAGGTGGTGTGGTAGATAGAACTCTGGCCTTGGAGTCAGGAGGACCTGAGTTCAAATCTGGCCTCAGACACTTGACACTTACTAACTGTGTGACCCTGGGCAAGTCACCAACCCCATTGCTTGGCCAAAAAAAAAAGAATGTAGGCTTCTTAAGGTCAAGGGCTATTTTTGCCCTTGTCTTTGTAACATGTATCCCTAGATATAATAAAATTCTTAGCATGCAGAAGGTACTTAATAATTGCTTTGTTGATTGCGTGAAGGGTGGGATTTTCAGCAGGGGAATTACTACAGGTTGCTGCCAGGGCTGACTGGACTGGTTCCCTGCTAATTTAAGATGAATAAAATGAGATGCTCATAATCCATTCAAAGGTTAATAAAAAGAGATTTACTTTTTCAATAAGGATATGTAATGAGGATATGAATTGATTCAGTTAAGTGAAGCTTCTTCTTGCTTCTGAGTAGCCCTTGGTGGTCATCAGGGAGCAGCTCTAGCTTCTCAGGCCACAAGGAAGCAATAGCCTGAACCTCCAGCCCCCTGAGCCATTAAGTCTCAAGGAATATCTTTTAAGGAAAAAGAGCTGCCCCACCCATGTGGCCTGTAGAAACTTCATGGGGAATATAGTCAATCAGTTATCAGTCAGCAAACATTTATTAAGCACTTACTATGTGCCAGGCATTATGTGAAGTACTGGAATATAGAAAAAGCAGACCTGATTCTCTAAATTTAGTTTGAGTTTTTTTTTTAAGGGGGTGGGGCTGGGGTAGAGGTGGAGTTGGAGATGTACAGTAGACTCACAGTTTCATTGTTGTAGGGAGTTTTTGATGTGGACCTTCCTCTACCAGTGTAGATCAATATTTGCCTTTCTACTTACAGTCTTCGAGAGTTGTCTGGGGGCACTGAGAAGGGTGTTGATTTGCCCACAATCATATATCCAGTATGTGTCTTAGGCAAGACATGAACCTAGGTCTCCCTGACTCAAAGATTAGCTCTCATTTGTTCTACTCTTAGGGGGATGTAAGATTTGTTAAAAAGACTTATAATAATACTACATACTGTACTCATAATAATACTATAAGTATCCACAAAAGTCCAACTTCGGTGCTTTGTCATGTGTAGAGGGGTCTCTTGGTTCTCAAAGGCTGTGCTGGCTGAGCACAAGCTTTGGTGGGTTCTTTCAAGTGCAAAGACTTTGGGTCTGCCCTGATGATGGACTGTCAACCTGTTGTCCAAGGACCAGGCTAGCGAGGTTCAAAGAGGCCATCTCCAGGTTGCCAAGGAATGATGGGTGAATTTTTCTGGTGACAGCATCCCTCCAAGCCTCCTCCTAAGTTATTAAAGGTTTCTGATCTGTGTCAATGAAGAGAGAAACCATAATGTGGAAATTACAGGTTTATGAGGTAATGGAAATATAGGATTCATAGACTTATAACTGGAGGAGGACCTTATAGATCCTGTAGTTTAATGCTTTGCTTTTATAGACCAGGACAATAAGACCTAGAGATTTTGAGTGATATGAGTTCACACAGGTTGTCAATGAGTGGCAGACCTGTAGTTCAAACCCAGGTCATCTGGCTCCAATTTTCTTTGTATTGCTACATGTTGTCTCTTTCAGTATATGATAAAGTACTAAAAAATGGAGGTAATTAAGTGCCAGCATATGTGTGGTTCACAAGAAAAGGTTTTATGAAGAAAGTGGGACGTTAGCCTGGGCCTTGAAGAAAAAGAGCATTTAGATAAGGAGAAGGAAGGAAAGCGGTAGGAACTGGGGTAGTGTGGCTTCATGAGTGAAAGCAGCAAGGTAGAATTAAACTCAGCATGGATAGGGGATAGTGAAGACATTAGCTTAGAGTTTAGAAAGTAGTAGGAGGTATGGTGCTGAGGTATAGAATGGAAGCCTCTTGAGGGGTAGGGGCTGGGTCATTTTTTTTGTTTATGACTAAGAGTCTCCAAGCACTTGGGTAAACTTGGTGCTTAAAAAATGCTTGTTGATTCATTGATTTTTTGGTTAGGTAAGATGGGGCTAGATTATGGAGGGCCTTTAATGCCAGAATGAAGAATTTAGACTTCGTCCCATGCAATTCAGTAAGCTTTCTTCTCTATATCAGGGTCTGTGTTACGTGATGGGGACAGAAGACAAAAACAGAGCAGTCTCTTCCCTCATGCAGCTTACGTTCTACTGGAATCCCATGAACCATTGGAATAGGAGAGTGACATGATTAACATGAAATTGTATTGAATGGTCTAATGCTGGTTCATATTTAAATATTGGACTTCTATCGGTATTTAATATGTAAGATGGTAGGTATAAATATAAAATACAAAAATAAAATTTTTTAGAAATAATCAAGCAGGGGCAGCTATGTGGTGCAGTGGATAGAGCACTGGCCCTGTCATCAGGAGGACCTGAGTTCAGATCTGGCCTGAGACACTTCCTAGCTGTGTGACCCTGAGCAAGTCACTTAACCCTGGTTGCCTTAAAACAAAAAAAATCAAGCAGAGAGGCCATAGCTAAGAGGGATTGACTTCAGAGAGCTAGAAAGCAAAGTAGTAGATTCTAAGGCCAAACTTCTTGAGCATTCAGATTCTCATTTCTCTGAAGCATGCAAAGTTATGTTAGCTTACAACAAAGGCAAAGACTGTTGAACCGAATCATCTAGCAATAAGGAAAGCTCATTAAATTTTTTTACCCTCCGTATTCAAAAAGTCATTTAGGAATCTATGATACGAGAATTTAGTTTCCATTAGACTTTGCTTAAAGAAGTGAGGTCATAGTAAGTAACTTGCAGTCTTCCTGGGCAGTAAATTAGGTGGACTTGCAGAAAGCAATGGTAAAGGTTAATGATGGTTGTTTACCCTTTACGTGGAATTTTACATCTGCTGAAGCTGTAAAGCCATTTATATTAGTTACTCATTGATCCATTTTCCATTTCTTTACTGTATGTGGCTTCGTTCCAAGAGAAGGTGATCTTACCCTAGGAATCAGACTAAACTTACTTTATAGCTAACGTCAGATTTTCCAGGAAGAAGGTTGTGGGAGCCAAATGCTTTTTTCTATGAATGTGGAGTGTGTAACCAAGGCATTTCTATTTTAGATTTAGTTTGTTCCTCATAGGAATTCAGGGATGGAATTCAAGCACAAGTGAGAGTCTTTCCCAATGAAGAGCAATTTCTTGAGATGGTATATGATGCTTTGTTCCATCTCAAATAAATTCATTCATTCATTCCTTCCTTCATTCATTCATTCATTCAATAGACATGTACTAAACACCTACTATGTGCTAAGCACTTTGCTGAGCAGGGGATAGAAAAAGAGGCAAAAGACAGCTCTTGCCCTCAAAGAGCTTACTTCTGAATTCCTTCTTAAGTAGGAGCAGAAGACAACAAAGTATGTCTCTGTTTAGAAAAACCTATCTCACCAGACTTGTTTATGAAGAGAAATAGTTTTGTTTATAAAATCAAAATAAGTATACATTTATTAAATTCAAATAGAGAATTATGTACATTAAATAATAAATTAGTTTGCTTGTAAAGAAAAACAAACATAACAGATCTTACCAAATTGTCCTGCACAAGGTGAGCCAGTTATATACGTAAATGTGTGTATGTATGTGTATACACACACGCACACACACATATAATGCGTGCAACCACTTTGTATATGATACACACATATTTATATCTAATATATGCACGGGAGAATGCATAGAATGCTAGACTTAAGAAGACCCTAATTAATATCCTTCCTCAGATATTTAGTAGCTGTGTGACCCCAGAAAGTCACTTAACCCCTCTGAGCCTCAGTTTCCTTGTGCAGTGGAGATAATAATAGTACCTAGCTCACAGAGTTATTGTAAAGATCAAATGCAAACCTTAAAGAACTACAGAAATATCAGCTGAGTTAAACACATCATTCTTATTAACAATAATCTGACACTTACTAGTAAAGTGCCAAATTAAACTATAAATTAAAAATTAATTCATCTTCCTTAATCTCTTTATCTTTTCAAGCATGTGTTGCAGACAGCATATCCAAACAGTTAGCTGCTCCCTCTTGCCTGTACTTTTCCTTCAATTCCTTGACCTCACATTCACTTCTTTTAGAGAATTCATTTGAAGCTGGGAATTTCCCCAGCCTCCCTTTTGCCTTGTCTTCACACTCTCAGATTTTTATTACTAAGACAGCTGTTTTTGATCAGAGGACCATTCCTTCAATTTGGTGCTCCCCTCGTGCCCTAATTTCAAAAGAGAATTCGATTTATTTGCTCTTTGAAAGGCGGTGGGCTGAGTGAATCAATACTGTCGTAGAAAGGCCCAACCAATAGGCTTCCTTTTAAAAGTTTGGAGATCCTATCAGGGCCCCAAGTAGCTTTATTAAACTTGTAAAAGGAAGTTGCCAGCAGAGTCCCCAAGGCCAGTCTGTTTAGCCATTCAGATTAGAGCAAAAATTCTCCACAGAATTTTCTGGCAATATGGCTTTATTTTTCTCATTCTTTCTAGCAATATGGCTTTATGATTGTACTGTACTTTGCGTGAATGAGTATTAAATTTGCCAGCTATCGAAGAGATACAGGGATCATTTTCTTAGGAGCAAAGTAGACAAACCACTAAACAGATAAGTCAATAGATGTAAGAATTGCTGGGGTAAAACTGGCAACTTAGGGTTGTCTTCATTGGAGACAGATCTCCTGACTAAGCATTAGATTTCTTTCTTTTCATGTGAATTTGTAGTGGGTGGAACGGTTTTATCAGAAGTTTCCTAGGAAATATATGAATCTACTAGCTGCTATTAATAATTGCTTGATTAAATATGATTGGGGTGAGATGAATGGGAGCGTTAGCTACTCTATAAACTAGTTATACAAAAGGTTGAGCTGCTAATAACTACTAAAGGGCAAAGAGAGTCCGAAAGAAAGGTCAAGGCTGAGAATACTGAATGAAAGAAAGAATTAACTTCAGAGTCACTTACTTTATCTGGCAGGAAAGTTTTATTGATTTTTTTTTAATTAATGAAGATTGTTGCTGTATGCCTTGGAACAGAGGGTTCAGTGGACCTCACGATCCTGGGGAGTCATTGATGAGAGCAGCAGATTATCCCATCTGGGTAGAGTATAGGGGGTGTGTGTGTGTGTGTGTGAAAAAGCCTTTTTTTCCTCAGGAAATTATAAGGTTTTAAAGGTCTCTATGGAGCAATAAATAAAGCCCAAAAGAAGGATTTTTTTTTAAAAAACAGAAGCCAGAATATATAATTAGAATGTTATTGTTCAGTTGTTTTCAGTCATGCCTGATGACTCTTCATAACCTCATTTGGGGTTTTCTTGGCAAAGATACTGAAGTGGTTTGCCATTTCCTTCTCCAGCTCATTTTACAGATGAGGAAACTGAGGCAAACAGGGTTAATCGATTTGCTCAGGGCCACATATCTAGTAAGTGTCTGAGCGTGGACTTCAGCTCACAGAAATGAGTCTTCCTGACTGCAGGCTCTATCTACCATTCTACGTGGCAGCCAAAAAAAATTAAATAAATCTAAAAATAATTAGAATAAATTGCCATTTATCTAAACCATGTCTCTTCAGTTGCTGCTGTCTTAACAGCTAGTATGGCACCTTGTGCACAGGAGTATCTTAATAAATGTCTGTTGTTTTGTTTTGTTTGGCTCATATTAATGCATTTGCATTAATTTCTAAGTTTCTGGTGGTGAGGGAATTGATTCAGAAACTTACTGAGTATAATAGGCAGAAAATAGTCCAAGATTATGAAAAAAAGTTTCTGAAAGTAATCCTCAAAATTGATGAACTCTTCAGTAGTTCTGTCTTTGAAAGTCAGTTTCTAAGTGCAAAGATAGCTTTGGTTAATTTTACTTGTAGAGCAAGTAGTTCTCTCCTAGTGTTTGATGTGTTGTTTGCGTGTAAAAAACAGGCATCAGCCAATGTCCATGCTTCACAGGACCAGTTGGTAGAACGTTTTCCTAGTAAGAGGAAGACAGTGGAAAAAGGCCAAGTTCTCCCACTGCATCTGGGGTCATTACCAGTCGTCTTGATTTGGGTCTTGCCACTGGACTCTGATGATTCTGGAGGAGAAGTGAGGCTGATGACTTTGCACAGCTCTGCCTCACTTAAACCCATTTTACTTCAAGTCAAGACATTACCCTGCTAATGTCATGGGTCCTCTTTGAGAATGAAGAATAAGCAATAGCAAACAATCTGGAAGGCAGTGGGACTAGGAAGAAAGGGAGAGTGAAAGGGATATAGGCAATAATAGCCGTAGTAGGAATGGGGTGAAGTAAAAATACAAAGTTTAAATGTATAAAACGGACAATCAAGTGCTTTAACGGGAGTCACAAAGATGAGAAGGAGCAGTGACTTTAGAAAAGAGGATTTGAATAGAGAAGTCAGTGACAACAAGTAGCAGGTAGGCTGCTTGATATGGTAATATAATGAACAGTTTAGGGTGATAGTATAATAACATTGATGTGGTAATATAATAAACAATTTAGAATGATAATATAGTAATAATGTGGTAATATGATCATTTAGGATAATGTAATATTATTGATATGGTAATATGATGAACATTTTAAGATGATAAAATACTATTATTGAAATGGCAATCTAATAAACAGTTTGGGGTGATAATATAATATTAATTATATGGTAATGTAATAAACAATTTAGGATGATAAAGTTGGAAGAGACCTTAGAAGTCATCTAGTCCAATGGTATCAAACTCAAATGGATCCCTGTGGGTCATATTGACTTAGAAAACCACAAGTTAACATTATCTAAGTTGTATGGTGTTTAAAAAAAATTGTTAAACATTTTCCAATTACATTTTAATCTGGTCCCCTAGAGGTTGACATTTCTGATTCTGGTCCAATACCCTCATTTTACTGAGGCCCTCAGAGGTCAGTTATACAAGTAGTAGTGGCAGAGACACATTTACATTCACAGTTATGATTACTAACTGTATATTTCCCTCCATTCTATTTGAAGTCCTCTGACTTCAACTCCAGTGTTCTTTTTATGGCAGACATGAAGGGAAGATTGTGCAATAGAACATAGGAAGACATGAGACAGATTTTACTATCTGAAAATCTCAAAATAACATTTGCTAGTTAACTTTTATCACATGGTAAATAGAGCAACCTCCATGAAAGTCCTATTCTGATGATATGTTCTTATGAACGTTAACTAAAGTTAGTTTTTGAAAAAAGTTTTATTGATGTCTTTTGTCGTAATATCACAGTCATTTTACACCCCTCTCCTCCAGATTGGATCCTCCCTTGTGACAAAGAAAAACAAAATGAAATAGTTAAAGTCATTTCATGTAAAGATTATAAGAAATGTAGAAAGGAAATAATCTAAAGTGAAGAAAGTAGAACTAAGAAAACAATATATACACATTATGGCTATTTTAAAGAACAAATTAAAAAATTTTAAATTATCAAGCATTTTTCCCCTCTTACCCTCTTCCTCCTTTGCCATTGAAAAGTGAAAAAGAAAAACAAAACTTTTGCAACAAATATGCATCATCAAACAAAACAAATATCCTTATAGGCCATGTCCAAAATGTATGTCTCATTTTTCGTATTTGGTTCTCTTCCTCTCTCTCAGTTGGTGGGAGGCATTTTTCATCATTGGTCCTCTGGAGTCGTGGGTTGTCATTGTCCTTTTTTTTTTTTTTAGTAGTATTTATTTTTTCCAATTACATATAAAGACAATTTTTAACATTCATTTAGCATTTTAAAAATTTATTTTATTTTTAATTTATGAACTAAAACAAGCATTTCCATAAATTAAAAAAAGATGATTGCACATGAAACTGCTAAAATTTATTATGTACAACTTGCTGTTCCCTTTAAATATATAATAAAATTATCATGTAAATGTCTTTTTCCCCCCTTTTCTTCTTTCCTCCTCACCCTGCCCTATAGATGGCTACCAGTTGACACAGATATGTGTATATACATATACATATTTGTAAAATCATCCTATACATACTTCTGTTTATCAGTTTATATTCTATTTATCAATTATTTCTGTGGATGTAGATAGCATCTTTCGTCCTTTCATAACATTTATTTTTTTTAAAATTTCTAAATTTTCTCCCTCTCTCCTTTCCCTTCTTCCTTCCTAAGATAGTAAGCAATTTAATATAGGTTATATATGTGCAATCATATAAAGCATATTTCCGTATTAGTCATGTTGTAAAGGAAGAAAACAGGTGGTCATTGTTCTAATGACTGTGACTGTATTAATAAAGATGCATGTATTCAGAGGGAAATGGACGAGTGTGTAAGGAGCCATAGAATGCCTAATGGAAAAGTTGTTGCTTGTTCCTATTTTTTAAATTTTAAATGTTACATATTGGTTTTGGTTTATGTGTTAAGTTGAAAAAATAAAATTGGAAAACCTTGTATTTGGTAAGTCTTATATAATTTTCTTTTTAAAAATCCTTTATGAAACCATAATTAAATATTTTTTCCTTAAGGTGATTGATATGCCTGAGCATCACCCTGGCGAAATGGGAGGAACAATGAGGCTGGGGAAAAGAACAACTGTTTTCAAAACAGAAGACTCTATTTTGAGTAAGTTATCTTAGGTTCCTTTATTATTTCAAAAGATGATTGCCCTTCTACTGATTATGTTATTAAATATTTACTAACATCCTCTTTCTTGGCTTCTGGTTCCTCTTCTCTCCATTTAACTGCTATTCAGTTGTTTGTCAAGACCTAGCTCAAAACTCATCTTTTCTAGGAAGCTTCCCCCGATTCCCCCAAAACTCACTTGTTTCTGCATTCTCTGAATTCCCATAGGCTTTATATGACACTCAGTTATAAATCATAGATCCAGAATCGGGAGGGACCTTTGAGACCTATCTCATCCAACCTCCTTATTGTACAAATGAGGAAACTGAGGCCCAGGGTGGTTAAGTGATTTGCCCAAGGTCACTGTGAGGCAGTAAACATCAACAGAGTCAGGATTTGGACCCAGGTTCTCTGACTCCAAAGGCATTTCTCTTTTTACTGTTTATCATTCTTGTTTCTTCCAGCCACAGCATAAGCTCTTTGAACTAAACGAGCGTTTCCTAACCTGTGGACTGTGAAGTTAATGCATAAACCCATAAGCATGCTAAACTTGTCCTCTAACCCACAATAAGAATGTTGTGTGTGTGTGTGTGTGTGTGTGTGTGTGTGTGTGTGTGTGTGTATACACGTACTTGAGAAACAGTACAGTGTGATGGATAGAAGGCTACTCTTAAGAGTCAGAAAGGTCTGATTCAAGTCTTTGCTCTAAGACATACTTGTACCATGACCATGGACAAATCGCTTGACCTCTTAGTGCCTGACAGTTCACTCTTTCTCTTTTTTCAAATAAGTTTTTATTGACATATTATGTTTTTTATTTGCCATAGTTTCCTCTATTATCCCTTCCTTCTCAGAGAGTTATCTCATGTAATAAGTAGTGTTTTTTTAGAAATTTGGGTGCTATATCATCTGGTGCATATATGTTTAATATTGATATTACTTCATTGTCTATGGCACCTGTTATTTTTTAAAAAATTTTTAGTTCAGTTATTTTTCATTTTCAGCATTCACTTCCATAAGCTTTTGAGTTTTCAATTTTCACCCCCTTGTTCCCCTCCCTTCCCAAGACGGCATGCAGTCTGATATAGGCTCTACATATACATTCATATTAAACATATTTTCACATTAGTCATGTTGTAAAGAAGAATCAATGGGAGGAACCACAAGAAAGAAGAGACGAAGTAAAACAACAAAAGAAAAAAAAAGATCAAATAGTATGATTCAGTCTTCATTCAGACTCCATAGTTCTTTCTCTGAATGTGGATAGCATTTTCCATCATGAGTCTTTTGGAGTTGTTTTAGATCCTTGCATTGCTGAGAAGAGCCAAGTCTATGAAAAGTTAGTCATTGCACAATGATGCTGTTACTGTGTACAGTGTTCTCCTGGTTCTGCTCACTTCACTCAGCATCAGTTCATATAAGTCTTTCCAGTTTTTTCTGAAATCTGCCTACTCATCATTTCTTATAGCACAATAGTATTCCATTACATTCATATGCCACAGTTTTCAGCCGTTCCCCAATTGACTGGCATCCCCTCAATTTCCAATTCTTGGCCACCATAAAAAGAGCATCTATAAATATTTTTTACATGTGGGTCCTTTTCCTGTTTTTATGATCTTTTTGGGATACAGACCTAGAAGCTGGGTCAAAGGGTATGTACAATTTTATAGTCCTTTGGGCCTAGTTCCAAATTGCTCTCCAGAATGGTTGGATCAGTTCACAGCTCCACCAACAATGCATTAGTGTTCCAATTTTCCCACATCTTCTCCAACATTTATCTCTTTCCCAATCTGATGGGTGTGATATGGTACCTCAGAATTATTTTGATTTGCATTTCTCTAATCAATAGCGACTTGGAGCGTTTTTTCATATGACTATAGATAGCTTTAATTTCTTTATCTGAAAACTGCCTGTTCATATCCTTTGACCATTTATCAGTTGGGGAATGACTTTAGCAATTGGGGCATTCTCATAAATTTGACTCAGTACCCTATATATTTTAGAAATGAAGCCTTTATCAGAGACACTGGTGGTAAAAATTGTTTCCTAGCTTTCTGTTTCCTTTCTAATCTTGGTTTTATTGGCTTTGTTTGTGCAAAAACTTATCAATTTGATGTAAATCAAAATCATCCATTTTGTGTTTCATAATGCTCTCTATCTTTTATGATGCCTTTTAGCAAGATGTAGTTTCCTTTCTTAATCTCTTTTTATTTGATCTATTTTTGCTTTGTCTGAGATCATGATTGCTACTTCTGCTTTCTTTTTTTTTTTTTACTTTAGTTGAGGCATAATATATTGTGCTCCATCCTTTTGCCCTTACTCTGCTTCAAATGTGTTTCTTGTAAACAACATATTGTAGGATTCTGGTTTTTAAATCACTCCGCTATCTGCTTCTGTTATATGGGTGAGTTAATCTCATTTACATTCACAGTTATGATTACTAACTGTGTATTTCCCTCCATTCTATTTTTTACCATTTATACTTCTCTCTCTCTCTCTCTGTCCTTTCACCCTGTCCCTCCTCACCAGTGTTTTTCTTCTGACCACTGTCTCCCTCAATCTGCCCTCCCTTCCATCAGCTCCCCTTCTTGTCCTCCTTGCCTAGTACTTCCCTATAAAGTAAGATGGATTTCTATACCCAATTGAGTATGTTATGGTATTCTACTTTGAGCCAAATCTGATGATATGAATCACCCTGCTTCCTTCTTTCCCTCCACTGTAGTAGGTCTTTTGAACCTCTTCATATGATATAATTTACCACATTCTGCCTCTCCCTTCTCTCTTTTCCCTTTGGAATCGTCTTTCTCACCCCTTAATTTTATTTATATCATCCCATCAAAGTCAACTTACACCTGCACCCTCTGTCAATGAATAATGTTTTTTAAAAGATTAAAAAAAGAGGAAAAAACCCAGCATATTTGTTCAATACATAGAAAAAATCTGAAAATATGTGTAATAGACAACATTGGTGGACCTTCCATCTCTGCAGAGGGGTGAAGTGAGAGTCAGAAAATTCTCTCATGACTAAGTTGCAGATGAATGCTGTTCTGAATTTTTGAAAGGGTGGGGATGAAAGTTTACTTTACAGCTATGTCATGGTTGGCCCTGAGGACGGGATAAAAGATTCTTAAGAAAGTATAGGATACCTTTTGAGTAGAAATCATGACAGGAGAGACAAGTGAAGTCGTGAAAGTTAAAGACCTCTCACAGAATTAACTCTTCATAACAATAAGAAGAACCTGAGTTTTATTTATATGTGGCGAAGTCCAAAAGGTACAGAAATCTAGGTTTTTGCTGTCCTTAAAAAATTTTTAACTAAGAGCCTAAGTTTTATTTATGTGTGGTTAAATCCCAAAGGTGTAGAAATCTGGTAAGTGAAATAAGTTTGTCTAAAGCACTGATAGGTTTCTGCTATCTAAAAAAACCAAAATAGAATCTGCTAAGCACAAGTATATAAGAGCATATATGCTTTTCTGACCTGGTAAGTTCATGACTTCTTGGTCTCTGCAACTCTCCCCCTCCCAATAGAAGCATCATTGTAAATTTAATTGAAACAGTTATTTAAAGATGGTATATGAAGGTTGTCCAGGATCTTTTTCTTGGCCCCCCAAACAGTGGCAGTTGGGGAATACGATAGCTGACTACTGTGGGGAAAAGTCTAATGCTTTAGACTTTAGAAAGAAAAGGCATGGCACTAACCATTTCCCAGCCATGAAGTATTTACCTAGCCCTGCGAGATAGAAGAGATTCCCTTCGGAAGTTTGTGGCTTAACTGAGTCAGCTAGGACTGACAGTTAGAGAATACTACAGCATGCCATTTAGCTTTTAATCGCTTCACCGTCATGGGATGGTCTACCTCCCTGCCTGGTAGTTATGAGGAGAAACCTTGGTAACGCCAAATGGCAGTGGAAATTGATGCTATTGTCATGATTTGTATTGTTTGTTGTGGGCTGTGGATGCCAGTAGGAAACAAGTCAATGAGCTGGAGTAATCCATGAAATTCCCATGACAGAGATAGGAGTTGAAGTTTAGACGGGATTTTGATTTGAGCAGATGAGACCATTTCCATTAAAACCTTTCTTCTGTACCTCATTGAGGTTTAGAGGCAGTCCTAGGATGGTTCTCAAAGACTAAGGCAATGGAACTTGCGCTCTGGTGAGTTTGGGTCTGGATTTAGCAGCAAACTGAATGTCTCTTATCCAAGGGTTAGTTTTACTAAGTTCAGAGATGTTTTATCATAGTGGGCTTAGCTAGTGGTGTGGTGACTGATTTTGGCCGTATCAGCTCTATGGCAGCTAGGGGGCCCAGCGGATAGAGCCCTGGGCTTGGAATTGTCTTCCTGAGTTCAGATCTGGCCTCAGACACTTCCTAGCTGTGTGACCCTGGGAAGATCACTTCACCCTCTTTGCCTCAGTTTCCTCATCTGTAAAATGAGCTGCAGAAAGAAAGGGAAAACCACTCCAGTATCTGTGCCAAGAAAACCCCAAAATGGGGTCATCGAGAGTCGGACATGACTGAAAGGATTTAACAACAATAGCAACTACATCTCTGTGGCCAAGAAGACAGGCTTCTGAGTTTTGGGAGTGGTTGTGTTGTGGAGGGAATCAATGAACAAACATTTATTAAGTGCCTCCTCTTTGCCAGGTTCTGAAACCAGTGCTGGGAAGATAAAGACAAATGTTAAATAGTCCCTGTACTCAAAGAGCTTACCTTTTTGTTTGTTTGTTGAGTTATTCATTTGTTCATTTAAACATTCATTTTAAAAAAATTTGAGTTCCAGATTCTCTCCCTCCACGCCCTCCCCAACCCATTGAGAAGGAAAGCAATTTGATATCTGTTACGCATGTGAAGTCATGCAAAACAGAGTTCCCTGTTAGCCATATTGCCCCCCAAAAGCAAGAAAAAATAAAGAGAAAAAAGCATGCTTTAATCTGGACTCAGAGTTCATCAGTTCTGTCTTTGGAGATGGATAGCATTTTTTCCTCATGGATCCTTTGGAATTGTCTTGGAACATGGCCTTGATCAGAGTAGTTAAGTCTTTCACCACTGATCATTCTTACAGTATTGCTGTTACTGTGTACAGTGTTCTCTTGGTTCTGCTCACTTTCAGTTTTACATCATTTCATGTAAGAAAGAGCTTACCTTTTTTTTTTGTTGCCTTTTTGGTAAGGCAGTCAGGGTTAAGTGACTTGCCCACAGTCACACAGCTACTAAGTGTTATGTGTCTGAGGTCACATTTGAACTCAGGTCCTCCTGACTCCAAGGCTGGAGCTCTATCCACTGCACCACCTAGCTACCGCAAGAGCCTATCTTTTAACAAGGTAGACGGTATGTACATAAATAGGGATGTATAAGATATATACCGAATGACACAAGATAACCTCAGGGGGTAGGGTGCTGGCAGCTGAGGAAAACTCTGGCAGAGGATGTTGCTTGATTTGAATCTTGAAGAAAACCAGAAGAGCCCAAGTGATATTGGTTAAACCTAGCAAAATCTTTTTTGTGTGTGTGTACATAAATTATGTCATAGTCAAGCTGGTTTGGGTATGTTTTACAGGCTGCCGAGACTTATGAGTCACTGTAATCTTTCTGTGATATTTTTATGACATTTATTTTATAAATGAACCCCAAACTTATTCTGTACTGTTAATCTCTGGTGCATATACAATTTTACCAATAAAAAACCCCATAAAGTAAAGAAATCAGTGTAGCATTGAGATCACATCTTTTAAAATTCTTTTATATTGCTCCCCAGTGTCTAGAATAATTTTCTGTATACAGTGCTAAATACTTTAGGCAGATGGGTAGAATTAAATCTGTGTGGTTCAGTATTTTTCTGAGCTATCAGTCACACTTTTTTGTTTTGAAGCACTAAACACTGTTAAGACATTGCAGTATGTATGTGATTCTCTAGACTACTCTTACAGTCATTTCTCTGAAGAGTGCCTCACTCCTAGAGTTTGGCATATATTATTCTCCTTTATTAAGTAGAGTAAGTTTCTCATCAGGAAATGCTTCAGGATTCTAAGAGTGTTTATTCTCTGCTGGAGAATAATAACTTACATTTGTATCGTGCTTTACAGTTCAAAGTACTTTATGTAAATTATCTAGTTTGAGAATTATAGTAAATAGCTTACATTTACATGATATTTGCGTGAGTTTTACAAATTGCTTTCTTGCTGTAACTTTGAATGGGAGGTAATTTAACAAAGGCTCAGAAATTACTCTGCTAGGAGAGTTATAGGTCATAGGATGCAGAACCAATAGGGACATTAGTGATCATCTCATTTCACCAGTTGTCAGTGATGTCATTTTGAGTTATTTCTCAGACATATCCAACTCTTCATAAACCCATTTGGGGTTTTCTTGGCAAAAATACTGTAGTCATTTGCCATTTCCTTCTCCAGCGCATTTTTACAGATGAGAAAACTGAAGCAAACAGGTTAAATCACTTGTCCAGGGTCACATACCTAGTAAGTGTCTGAGGCTGGATTTGAACTCAAGAAGAGGCGTCTTCCTGATTCCAGGCTCTCTATCCACTGTGCCACATAGCTGCCCTTAGTGATGTCATAGAATGGATCATAGGGTTTAGAGCTGAAAATGACCTGATAGATCACTGAATCCAGACTTAGATAGTCTTAGGAGGCCTTTTTAATTCTGTAATTCTGTCAGCACCCACTGTTAACACATATCTGTTTTGCTGATGAGGAAACGAAAGCATGTAGAAGTTGCAACTACTATGTAGCAGAATCAGGACTTAAATCCAGGCCTTTTGACTCCTAAGCCCAGAGTTATTTTACTCTGCAACCACCTTAGAATAGGCCTGGTTCTAGAAATGAGACATAGAAAAGTGTCATTGTATCATTTTATCTCTCTGGTACCATATTCCGCTCTTTTTAGTGGGTGATTCAAAGTTGGTAGGTAGGGGATGGCATTTCCCCCCCCAATTCGGTATCATTGATCTAGAATTACAAGGGACTATACAGGCCAGCCATTTAGTTCGACCCCCTTATTTTACAGATGAAGAAACTGTTATGAGACCAAATTAAAATAAGTGACTTTCCTAAGGACACACAGGTAGTAGACATCTTAGGTAGATTTGAACTTTGCTTTTTTTTTGTAGTATTTCCTCCTTTCCCTCCCTCCCCCACTGTATCATACTGGCTCCCACATATTCATCATCTTCTCTTTGTTCAGGGAAACTCTATGGGGATGTTGGTTATGTAGAAGAACGGCACAGACATCGGTATGAGGTAAGGCATTGTTGATCCTAATTCATTGTGGAAAGCAGGTGCTTGCTTTAGTTATGGTTAAGAGCCTCAGAATTGGCCCCTCAGGGAAGAAAGTAATTTTTTTTTTCCTATGTGAAGGAGTCATTCTCTTCTGGTTCTCCTCTACCTCTCTGACTACTCCTTCTCAGTCTCTTGATGGATCATTAGCCACCTCAAGCCCATTAACCTAACCTTGAGCGTCCCACAAGGCACAGTCCTGACCCCCTTATTTTCTTCCATTTTTTTTCATAGTTCTGTTTTTTTTTTATTTTTAGTTTTCAACATTTACTTCCACAATATTTTGAGTTCCAGATTTTCACCCCATCTTGCCCTTACCCCCACCCCAAGAGAGCATGCATTCTGAATACCCCCCTTCCCCTAGTCTGCCCTCTCTTCTATCTTTCTCCCCCTTCTCTTATCCTCTTCCCTTTCTGTTTTCCTGTAGGGCAGGATAGACTTCTGTACCCCATTTCCTGTATTTCTTATTTCCCAGTTGCATGTGAAAACATTTTTTTTAAACATGTGTTTATTAAAACTTTGGGTTCCAAATTTTTCTCCCTTTCTCCCTCCCCACCCACCCTCATTGAAAAAGGCAAGCAACTCAATATAGGTTATACATGTACAGTTATGCAAAAACAATTCCATAGTAGACATGTTGTGAAAAACTCTTTTTCCCTTAATTTTATCCTACCCCCCCATTTATTCTATTCTTCTTTTGACCCTGTCCCTCCTCAGAAGTATTTGCTTTTGATTACTCCCTTTCCCAATCTGCCCTCCTCTCCTATCATCCCCCTGCTGTCTTGTCCCCTTCTTCCCCTACTTTCCTGTAGGGTAAGACAGATTTCTATACCCAATTGAATGTGTATGTTATTCCCTCCTTAAGCCAAATCCTATGAGAATAAGATTCCTCATTCCCTCTCACCTTCCCCATTTCCCCTCCACTGTAAGAGCTTTTCTTTTCTGTTTTTTTGTGAGATAATTTACCCCATTCTACCTCTCCCTTTCTTCTTCTCCTAGTGTAATCCTCTCTCATCCCTTAATTTTATTCTCCAGATATGGCCCCTTAATCTTCAGCCCCCCCTGTGCCCTCTTATCTATCTGTCTACATAATACATATAATTTTTTCCTCCAACTACCCTAATACTGACAAAGGTCTCATGAGTTATAAATATCATCTTTCCATGCAGGAATGTAAACAGTTCAACTTAATAAGTCTCTTATGATTTCTCTTTCCTGTTTACCTCTTCATGTTCCACTTGAGTCTGTATTTGAAAGTCAAATTTTCTATTCAGCTCTGGTCTTTTCATCAAGAATGCTTGAAAGTCCTCTATTTCACTGAATGACCATTTTTTCCCCTGAAGGATTATACTCAGTTTTGCTGGGTAGGTGATTCTTGGTTGTAATCCTATCTCCTTTGCCCTCCGGAATATTATATTCCATGCCCTGTGGTCCTTTAATGTAGAAGCTGCTAAATCTTGTGTTATCCTGATTGTGTTTCCACAGTACTTGAATTGTTTCTTTCTGGCAGCTTGTAATATTTTCTCCTTGACCTGGGAACTCTGGAATTTGGCTACAATATTCCTAGGAGTTTTCCTTTGGGGATCTCTTTCAGGAGGAGATCTGTGGATTCTTTCAATTTCTATTTTGCCCTCTGGTTCTACTTATAGCAGGGCAGTTTTCCCTGACAATTTTTTGAAAGATGATGTCTAGGCTCTTTTTTTGATCATGGCTTTCAGATAGTCCAATAATTTTTAAATTCTCTCTCCTGGATCTATTTTCCAGGTCAGTTGTTTTTCCAATGAGATATTTCACATTGTTTTCTAATTTTTCATTCTGTTGGATTTGTTTTACAGTGTCCTGATTTCTCATAAAATCACTATTCCAATTGCTGTATCCTAATTTTTAAGGAAGTATTTTCTTCAGTAATCTTTTGGACTTCCTTTTCCATTTGGCCAATTTTTCTTTTTAGGGCATTTTTCTCCTCATTGGCTTTTTGGACCTCTTTTGCCATTTGGGTTAGGCTATTTTTTAAGGTGTTATTTTCTTCAGTATTTTTTTGGGTCTCCTTTAGCAAGCTGTTGACTTGTTTTTCATGATTTTCTTGCATCACTCTCATTTCTCTTCCCAGTTTTTCCTCTACTTCCTTACTTGCTTCTCAAAATCCCTTTTGAGCTCTTCCAAGGCCTGGGACTGATTCATATTTTTCTTGGAGGCTTTGGATGTAGAAGCTTTGACTTTATTGTCTTCTTCTGGTTGTGTGTTTTGATCTTCTTTGTCACCAAAATAAGATAATATAGTCTGACTCTTTTTGAGCTGCTTACTCATGATCCTGGCCAATTACTTGAGTTTTAAACTCTTTGTTAAGGTAAGAGTCTGCTTCCAATGTGGAGAATGTACTGTCCCAAGCTTCAGGGATTTGTACAGCTGTTTTCAGAGATACTTGTAGGGACCTGTAAATTTTCAGTTCTTCCAAGGTGGTATGATAAGGGGAGAGGTGTTTACTCTTTTCCTGGCCTGTGCTCTGGTCTGTTAGTGACCACAAACACTCCTTTCTGTCCTGGAACTGTGAGGAGGGTTTTCTCTCCACAGCCACCATGAGGTCCACCCCGCCAGTGCTCTTCTTCGCCCTAGGACCGCCACCCAGAATTGTGACCCAAATCCAGGCATGAGCAGAGCAAGAGATTCCTGCCTCAGCACTGGCCAAGAGATCCCTATAGTCGCCCTCTGATCAGCCAACCATTTCCCCCTCAGTCTGTGGGCTGGAAGCTCAGGAGGCAGCCCCCTCCTCTGGCTGCGCTTGGGGAATGGAGCTGAGACCACCTTGCTTCTCTCTCAGCACCGCAGAAACAGACTTTTCCCACTGACCTTCTAAGTTGTCTTTGGCGTTCGTGGGTTGAGAAGTCTGGAAACTGCCACAGCTGCCCACGATTCAGTCCTCTGAGGCCTGCTCCTGGTTCTCTGTGGCCTTCGCACCCATGCTAAACTGCGCTCCTCTCCCAGCCTGCTACGATATACCTTTCCAATCAATCATCCAGGTTGTCTTGGGCTGGAAATTTGCTTCACTCTGTTTTTTTGTGGGTTCTACTGTTTAGAATTTGTTTAGAGCCATTTTTATAGGTATTTGGAGGGGTTTGGGGGAGAGCTCAAGCAAGTCACTGCTTTCACTCCGCCATCTTGGCTCTGCCCCGTTTTCTTCCATTTTACTGTTTTACTTGGTGATCTCATCAGCTCCTCTGGATTAAAAAATCATATTTATGCTAATGATTCTCAAATCTACTTATCTGGTGCTATCCTCTTTGTTGACCTTTAGTCTCTCATCTCCAGTTGCCTATTGACATCTTGAATTGTATGGCTTGTAGGTGTCTTAAACTCAACATGTCCAAAATTTCTCATTATCTTTTCCCCCTAAACCTCCCCATTTCCAACTTCTTTATTTCTGTAGAGGGTACTACTATCCGTTGAATTGGACAGGCTCACAACTTAAGTATCATCCTTGATACTTCAGTCTCTCTCACCTCCCCCATATCCAATCATTTGCTAAGTCCTGTTTATTTTACCTTCATTATGTATCTTGTATTCTCCCCCTTTTCTCCTCTGACATTGCCACCCCATTGGTGCAGGTCCTCATCACCTCACATTTGGGCTATTGCAATAGTCTGCTGGTTAGTCAGCTTATTACAAGTCTCTCCCCACTTTGATCCGTCCTCTAACCATCTGTCTAAGCGATCTTTCTTTTGTTTTTCTTTTTTTTTTTTTCAGCCAAAGACAAGGTTTATTAGAAAATTGATTGGGGGTGGGTGAGATTTAAAGAATCTGCTGTATTGGCCAGACTCTTAAGCAATCTAAACATTTATGTCAGTTTAAGAATCTGAGCACCTTAATGGAGACAAGATGAATCTTATATTCAGGAAGACTATAGGAGGGATCAAGGAGTGGCCAAATAGTTTGGGGTGACTGGAGGAGGGGTCTAAGGAGGATGTGGATGGGAGTGGCCAGTAAGCTGGGGTAAACAGAATGCCAGGGTTTTTCCTTTTTGGGTTCCAGATCCCATCCTCCTGATCTTTCTTTAAAAGAATTTTTTGGCCGGCAATCCCAGTTAAGTGACTTGCCCAGAGTCAAACAGCCAACAAATGTCTGAGGCTGCATTTGAACTCAGGTCTTTGAACTTAAGGGCCAGTGCTATATCCACTGTGCCACCTAGCTGCCCTTAAGTGATCTTTCTAAAGCATAGGTCTTACCCTGTGTGTCACTCTCCTATTCAGTAAACTCCAGTGGCTTCCTATTACTTCCAAGATCTAATATAAAACCCGCCGTCTGGCATTCAAACCTGATACCCTCTGCCTTTCCAGCCTTCTTATGCCCTACATCTCCCCATGTCCTCTGTGCTCCAGTGACTCTGTCCTTCTTGCTGTTCCTAGAACAAATACTCTGCCTCCCAACTGTGGACATTTTCTCTGGCTGTTCCCTGGCCTGGAGTTCTCTCCTTGCGTAGTTCTACCTTCTGACTTGCTTCAAGTCTCAATTAAAATCCCTCCTTCTACAGGAAGCCTTTCTTGATTCTTCTTACTTCTAATACCTGCCCCTGGTTGATTATTTCCAATTTATCCCATTTATAGCTTGTATGTACATAGTGGTTTGCATGTTGTCTCTTCCATTAAACTGTGAGCTCCTTGATGGCAGGGGCTATCTTTTGGCTTTTTTGTATTCCTAATATTTGGAACAGTGCCTGGCACATAATAGGTACTTAGTAAATGTTTATTTTAAAAACATTTATTATTTATATACAATATATACAACATAATGACACATTATAACTGAATACATCACTGCATTTAATAATGTAATTAATTAATATAATTGATGATGATGAAGAAGAAACAGAATGTCTGCTTTTGCCTCAGAATTGAGAGTAAGAGAACAGACAGTTCAGAGTTTGGGACAATTCCCTTTCTCCTACTCTGTACCAGAAATAAATTGTAGAAGAGGGTGTGTGTTTCTTGTAAATATGTACATAGCCTGTTGACATTAGTATATAGATTATTTCTTAGTTCAGTGTACCTTTACCTTCTAGGTAAATACCCTGTCTCAGTTTTCTATCCTTAGTCCCTTACCTTGATGAGTTCATATGATTTAGAGCCAGAAAGTACCTTAGAGGTCGTTTATTCAAAATTCTCTTGTTTTAAAGAGGGAAGACAGAGAGAGGTAAAGTGATCTGCCAGAGTCACATAAGTAAATGGCAAAACCAGGATTTGAACAGAGGTCAATAAATCTAGATATTTTTCTATTATAGCATGCTGTCTTTTAACTTTACAGGGTTTTTTCTTTGTGGAGGGGGGAAGTATGGCACCAAGGGGAAATCTGATTATACTCATGAGGATATATTATTTCAATAGTCACTTGAGGGAGATCAGTCATTATTTTAGTTTTCTAGCTCAAACGCAAAAATCTAGATATGGCCAAAGGCTGAATGGCTCCTGGTGCCATGATGCTACTCAAGTCATTGGAGTTCTTTTTTTCTTTTTCCCCTAGGTTAACCCAGAATTAATACAGCAATTTGAAGAGAAAGGTTTGAAGTTCGTAGGTCGGGATGTTGAAGGAGAAAGAATGGAGATCATTGAATTAGCAAGTAAGTAGGCTTGGAAAACTTTGAAGTGCCCAAATCTCTCCCCACCCCTCATTTTTTTCTCCCTCCCCCCTTTCTTCCTCTCTTCTTCCATTCCTTTCTGCCTCCATTCCTCTCTGCCTCCATTCCTCTCTCTCCCTCTCTCTCTTTCCCCTTCCTCTGTCTTTCTTTCTGTCTCTATCTCTCTCCCCACCCCTAGCCTCAAAAAACTTTTACTGTGTTCTTATGTTTTTATATCATGATCATTTCTCTTTAATTCTACATGCTTTGTTCCCTGTCCCTGGACCCATTGAGCTTTTTTTTTTGTAAAAAAGAAAAGGACTTAAGCAAAGCTGATAGACACAGCCACCATGGCTGACATTATATATGTATACATACGTGTGTGTGTGTGTGTGTGTGTGTGTGTGTGTGTGTATTTATACAGTGTTCCATCTTTCTACTGAGAGGAGCAAAGTGTATGTCCTTACTAGTTCCTCAAGATCGAGATGATTCATTGTGGTTTTCTGAGATCAATTCTTTTTTAATGTTGTTATCCTTTGCATTGTTGTTTTCAGTCCGTAGTCTCTTGGGTCTGCTTTCTTTACTTTGTATCACTTTATATAGTTCCTCCCATGTTTCCCTGAAGTCTTTATATTTCTATTCTCTTACGATGCAAGAATATTCCATTAAATCTGTATACTAACATTTGTTCAGATATTCCCTTATTATTATTATTACTGTTTTTTTTGGCGAGGCAGTTGGGGTTAAGTGACTTCCATATTTTGCTTCTATTGCCTCATAGAAGCTCTCACTTATTTCAAGACCCAGCTGAAGCATAACCTTCTACACAAAGCCCAATTTGCCAGCTGCTTCTTCACTGACACCTTGTCCTTAAACATCTTACATTTATTAAGCATTTGTTCTATATATACGGTGCCTTCAGCAATACAATGTTAACTCTGTAAAAGCAGGAATTATTGCATCTTTGTATTTGTGTACACGGTGCCCATCACAGTACCTGGTACATAGCAGCTGCCAACTCAGAATATGGAAGAGATGTCACTAAACTGTTGATGGCCCTTTACCCAGCAATCCCACTCTCCCCCACCCCCAGGTCATTTACAGTGTTGTGGTAATTGTGTAAATAGTTCTCTGTCTTTTCTTCACTTCGCAGTTCTCTGCATTTTAGACTGATCTTACCAGATTTCTCTGAAACCATCCCTTTCGTCATGTCTTATGCACATATGCATTTCTATTACATCCATCTACCATAATTTTATTCAGCCTTTCTATAATTGATGGGCACCCATTTTGTTTCTTGCTCTTTGCTGAAACAGAGTGTTTCTAGAAGTGAATTGGTGTATATAGGTCCTTTTCCTCTTTCTTTGATCTTTTTTAGATTATATGCCTAGTAGTGGTATTACTGGATCAAAAGGTATACATAGTGTAGTGACTTTTGGCTATAGTTCCAGATTACCTTCCCAAATGGTTTAAACAATCTTCAACTCTACCAACGGTGCCTTCGCATGCCTCTTTCCCTACACAGCCCTTCAACAGTTGTTATTTTCCCTTTGTAGCATCTTTACCAATCTGATGAGTGTCAAGTGGAATTTCAGGTATTTTACTTTGCACTTCTTTTATTATTAATGATTCAGAGCATTTTTTCCATCTAGTCATTGATGGCTTGCTTTTTTATTTTGAGAATGAATGATTAACTAAAACATTTAAGTACTTACTTTGTACAAGGCACTGTGCCAGACGTTGGGTATGCAATTAGAAAAGTGAGACAAAACTCCCTTCTCTCAAGAATGGGAGAGACATGGGCCAGCTAGGTGGTGCAGTAGATAGAGCACTGGCCCTCAAGAGGACCTGAGTTCAAATCCGTCCTCAGACACAACACTTAATAGCTGTGTGACCCTGGGCAAGTCACTTAACCCCAACTTACCCCCCCCAAAGTAAGAATGGGAGAGACAGCACATATGGATGATTTCAGCTGTAAGTCATATGGAAAAGTCCTACGGCCCTTAGATTTTAGCAGCAAGGCAGATGTTAATCCCTCTTTAATAATCATTTCTCCAATAAAATTGTATCAGTTTCTGATGTTGAGAATTACTTGTTCATATCTTTTCACCATTTATCTATTGAGGCATGGCTCTTATTCTTATATATTTGAATCAATACCTTACGCATCTTAGATATCATATCTTGATCAGAGAAGCTTGACACATTTTCTCCCAGGCAAATGTTTCCCTTTTAATTCTAATTGCAGTGGCTCTCAATTTTATATAATCAGAATTATCCATGTGATCTTCAGTGTGAACAAGAACTTCCCTTATCCATAGTTGTGAAAGATATCTCCTTTCATTATCCTCCAGTTTGTTTGTTATTCCCTTTTACATTTAGGTCTTTTTTCTTCATTTGAAGTTTATTATGGTATATGGTGCAAGATGTTGATCTAAGCTTCATTGGTTCCAGATTGTTTTCCAAATTTTTTAGCAATTTCGTTAAATAATGAGTCCCCACCCAAGCAGTTGGTGGTGTTGGATTAGCTGAACTCTGCTACTGTATTCTGGTATTTCTGGATCATGCATACCTGATATAGTCCATTTATTAACTCTTCCATCTTTTAAGCAGACCAAATAATTTTGATGGTTACACCAAGCATTGCTTGATAAGTGGTACTGCCTCCCCTTCATTCCCATGTGCTTTTCACTGTTTCCCTTAAGATTCTTGACCTTTTGTTCTTCCAGATGAATTTTGTTGTTATTTTGTCTAGTTTTAAAAAGTAAGCCTCTGGTACTTTGATTGTTTTGGTACTTAATTTATGCATTTTATTTAGGTAGTTTTGTTATTTTTATTATATTAGCTGAACCCAACCATGAATAACAGATTCTTTTCCAATTATATGGCTTCCTTTATTTCTTTAAAGGCTATTTAGTTTTGCACAAATTGGAATTCTTGTGTGTCTTAGTAAGTGGACTTCTAGATATTTTATTCATTTTGTAATAATTTTGAATGGAATTTCTTTTTCTGTCTGCTGAGTTTTGTTGGTAAGTTTGGAAAGGCTGGTTATTTTTGTGAGTATATTTTGTAAACTGCTGCTTTATTGAAGATATAATTTTCATCATATTTTTAGTTGAAACTCTAGGGTTCTCAAGTAGACTATCAAATCTGCAAAAATTGATAATTTTGTTTCTTCTTTATTATATCTTTTCTCCTCAATTTCTTTTTCGTATGTTGCTGCTGTAGCTAAGGCCCCTAGTAGAATGCTGAGCCTGGAGTCAGGAAGACCTGAGTTCAAATTCAGCCTCAGACACTTAGTAGCTGTGTGACCCTGGGCAAGTCACTTAACCCTGTTTGCCTCAATTTCCTCATCTGTAAATTGAGCTGGAGAAGGATATGGCAAACCACTCCAGTATCTTTGCCAAGAAAATCCCACATGGGGTCACGAAGAATCAGACACAACTGAAACAACTAAATAAGAAATAATAATTGCTATAGCTAGTATTTCTAGAATTATATAATAAGTTGCTAACATTTATATAGGATTGTAAAGTTTGTTGAGCGCTTTATATAAAATAAAATTTTATTTGATAGTAATGATACCAAATCATAGTGGTTACAGTGTAGCCAAGCTGAACAGGTCTAATTCCTCTAGATTTTGATAGTTCTTCAAGGACTAGTTATCATTATTATTAGCAGAGATAATTGATAGTTAACTATTAAATTCTCTGTACAATAAGGGGTGCTTGTTTAAAATAGGGAGATAACTTAGGTCAGTGTTGTTCTCAATGCTCCTTTAGTTCCAGTTACAGTAACTAGGCAGCTAGGTGGTGCAGTGGATAGAGTGCCGGGCCTGGAATCAGGAAGACCTGAGTTCAAATTCAGCCTCAGACACTTAGTAACTGTGTGATCCTGGGCAAGTCACTTAACCCTGTTTGCTTCAGTTTCCTCATTTGTAAATGAGTTGAAGAAGAACATGGCAAACCACCCCATTATCTTTGCCACAAAGACCCCAAATAGGTCAGGAAGAGTCAGATATGGCTGAAGAATAATGAGGTGGTGTAGTAGATAGAGCGATGCCCTTCAAGTTAGGAGGACCACAGTTCAAATCCTTCCTCAGACACTTACTAGCTATGTGACCCTGGGCAAATCATTTAACCTGTATGCCTCAGTTTCCTCATCTGTAAAATGGGGATAATAACAGCATCTTCCTCCCAGGGTTATTGTGATGAGCTTTTGAAAAGTACTTAGCAAATCTTAAAGCTCTCATCTACATAAAAATAGTAATTGGACCGCAGGAGCTGATAAAGTCACCAAATGAGAGAGTGAGTGTATGGGGATATTAGAAGAGGGCCTAGGACAGAGCCTTTGGGATGTAATTGTGGGTAATGACAAGATCAAAAGTAGGTGTAGCTGAGGTAGACGGGAAGAATAGGTCATAGGAGTTGAGTCGGTTGAAGAAGTGAGAGGTTAAAGTATTTTGTATTTATATGTTGAAGCATAAAGGCCAGTGTTGGGGTGGGGAGAGGGATTGTGATTCAGGCACTTAACTCATTGAGAAAGGAGAACAGTGACATGCTAGTAAATATTTAACAGCTGCCTCTCTGGCCAAAACAAAACAAAAATAGCATATGTAGGACATACTTTTAAATTTAATCTTCAGTATTAACATTTTCTCCATCACTTTTTAAAGTCTAGACAGTCAGCAAAGCAATAAATCAGACCCTGATTTGTAGCGCATTTTTGATATCCACAGACAGCTAGGTCGCACAGTGAATGGAAAGCCAGGCCTGGAGTCTGGAAGACTAAGTTCAGTTTTAGTCTCAGATACTAGCTGTGTGACCTTGGGCAAGTCACTTAACATCTCTTTTCCTCCATTTCCTCATTTATAAAATGAGGATAATAATAGTGCCTACCTACCAGGGTTGTTGTGAGGATCAAATGAAATGATATTTGTAAAGTGATTAGCACAGTGCAGGGACACATGGTAGGTGCTATATTTGATGATGATGATGATGATG